GTCACAACAAGCAGACGTCATAGAGTCACAACAAGCCGACATCATAGTCACAACAAGCAGATGTCATAGAGTCACAACAAGCAGACATCATAGAGTCACAACAAGCAGACGTCATAGAGTCACAACAAGCAGACATCATAGAGTCACAACAAGCAGACATCATAGAGTCACAACAAGCAGCCGTCATAGAGTCACAACAAGCAGACATCATAGAGTCACAACAAGCAGACATCATAGAGTCACAACAAGCAGACGTCATAGTCACAACAAGCAGACATCATAGAGTCACAACAAGCAGACATCATAGAGTCACAACAAGCAGACGTCATAGAGTCACAACAAGCCGACATCATAGTCACAACAAGCAGATGTCATAGAGTCACAACAAGCAGACATCATAGAGTCACACCAAGCAGACGTCATAGAGTCACAACAAGCAGACATCATAGAGTCACAACAAGCAGACATCATAGAGTCACAACAAGCAGACATCATAGAGTCACAACAAGCAGACATCATAGAGTCACAACAAGCAGACATCATAGAGTCACAACAAGCAGACGTCATAGAGTCACAACAAGCAGACGTCATAGAGTCACAACAAGCAGACGTCATAGAGTCACAACAAGCAGACATCATAGAGTCACAACAAGCAGACGTCATAAAGTCACAACAAGCAGACGTCATAGAGTCACAACAAGCAGACATCATAGAGTCACAACAAGCAGACGTCATAGAGCCACAACAAGCAGACGTCATAGAGTCACAACAAGCAGACGTCATAGAGTCACAACAAGCAGACATCATAGAGTCACAACAAGCAGACATCATAGAGTCACAACAAGCAGACATCATAGAGTCACAACAAGCAGACATCATAGAGTCACAACAAGCAGACATCATAGAGTCACAACAAGCAGACATCATAGAGTCACAACAAGCAGACATCATAGAGTCACAACAAGCAGACGTCATAGAGTCACAACAAGCAGACGTCATAGAGTCACAACAAGCAGACGTCATAGAGTCACAACAAGCAGACGTCATAGAGTCACAACAAGCAGACATCATAGAGTCACAACAAGCAGACGTCATAGAGTCACAACAAGCAGACGTCATAGAGTCACAACAAGCAGACATCATAGAGTCACAACAAGCAGACGTCATAGAGCCACAACAAGCAGACGTCATAGAGTCACAACAAGCAGACGTCATAGAGTCACAACAAGCAGACATCATAGAGTCACAACAAGCAGACATCATAGAGTCACAACAAGCAGACATCATAGAGTCACAACAAGCAGACATCATAGAGTCACAACAAGCAGACATCATAGAGTCACAACAAGCAGACGTCATAGAGTCACAACAAGCAGACGTCATAGAGTCACAACAAGCAGACGTCATAGAGTCACAACAAGCAGACGTCATAGAGTCGCAACAAGCACACGTCATAGAGTCACAACAAGCAGACGTCATAGTCACAACAAGCAGACATCATAGAGTCACATCAAGCAGACGTCATAGAGTCACAACAAGCAGACATCATAGAGTCACAACAAGCAGACATCATAGAGTCACAACAAGCAGACGTCATAGAGTCACAACAAGCAGACGTCATAGAGTCACAACAAGCAGACGTCATAGAGTCACAACAAGCAGACGTCATAGAGTCGCAACAAGCACACGTCATAGAGTCACAACAAGCAGACATCATAGAGTCACAACAAGCAGACATCATAGAGTCACGACAAGCAGACATCAGAGAGTCACAACAAGCAGACATCATAGAGTCACAACAAGCAGACGTCATAGAGTCACAACAAGCAGACGTCATAGAGTCACAACAAGCAGACATCATAGAGTCACAACAAGCAGACGTCATAGAGTCACAACAAGCAGACGTCATAGAGTCACAACAAGCAGACGTCATAGAGTCACAACAAGCAGACGTCATAGAGTCACAACAAGCAGACGTCATAGAGTCACAACAAGCAGACGTCATAGAGTCGCAACAAGCACACGTCATAGAGTCACAACAAGCAGACATCATAGTCACAACAAGCAGACGTCATAGAGTCACAACAAGCAGACATCATAGAGTCACAACAAGCAGACATCAGAGAGTCACAACAAGCAGACATCATAGAGTCACAACAATCAGACGTCATAGAGTCACAACAAGCAGACGTCATAGAGTCACAACAAGCAGACATCATAGAGTCACAACAAGCAGACGTCATAGAGTCACAACAAGCAGACGTCATAGAGTCACAACAAGCAGACGTCATAGAGTCACAACAAGCAGACGTCATAGAGTCACAACAAGCAGACATCATAGAGTCACAACAAGCAGACGTCATAGAGTCACAACAAGCAGACGTCATAGTCACAACAAGCAGACATCATAGAGTCAAATAGATACTTATTTAATTGATTATCACATAACTTGTATGTCTGTGTCCATTTAATTGTGTGTGAAAAATATTGCGATACTGAACAGAATCAATTTTTCCCAACACGACTGCATTACTGTCCTACAGCTAATCAGCCTCAGTCCTGGGTCTACAGCCTCAGTCCTGGGTCTACAGCCTCAGTCCTGGGTCTACAGCCTCAGTCCTGGGTCTACAGCCTCAGTCCTGGATCTACAGCCTCAGTCCTGGGTCTACAGCCTCAGTCCTGGGTCTACAGCCTCAGTCCTGGGTCTACAGCCTCAGTCCTGGATCTACAGCCTCAGTCCTGGGTCTACAGCCTCAGTCCTGGGTCTACAGCCTCAGTCCTGGGTCTACAGCCTCAGTCCTGGATCCACAACCTCAGTCCTGGGTCTACAGCCTCAGTCCTGGGTCTACAGCCTCAGTCCTGGGTCTACAGCCTCAGTCCTGGAACTACAGCCTCAGTCCTGGGTCTAAAGCCTCAGTCCTGGGTCTAAAGCCTCAGTCCTGGATCTACGACCTCAATCCTGGGTCTACAGCCTCAGTCTTTGGTCTACAGCCTCAGTCCTGGATCTACAGCCTCAGTCTTTGGTCTATAGCCTCAGTCTTGGGTCTACAGCCTCAGTCCTGGATCCACAACCTCAGTCCTGGGTCTACAGCCTCAGTCCTGGGTCTACAGCCTCAGTCCTGGGTCTACAGCCTCAGTCCTGGAACTACAGCCTCAGTCCTGGGTCTAAAGCCTCAGTCCTGGGTCTACAGCCTCAGTCCTGGGTCTACAGCCTCAGTCCTGGGTCTACAGCCTCAGTCCTGGGTCTACAGCCTCAGTCCTGGAACTACAGCCTCAGTCCTGGGTCTAAAGCCTCAGTCCTGGGTCTAAAGCCTCAGTCCTGGATCTACGACCTCAATCCTGGGTCTACAGCCTCAGTCTTTGGTCTACAGCCTCAGTCCTGGATCTACAGCCTCAGTCTTTGGTCTATACCCTCAGTCCTGGGTCTACAGCCTCAGTCCTGGGTCTACAGCCTCAGTCCTGGGTCTACAGCCTCAGCTCCGCTCCCTATAGGCCAATTTCTCAGTGTCTTTTATTGCATTTCCTGATTTTGATTCTCTGATCTGTTGTTGGTGAATCCACAACTGTATAAAGTCCTCAGAGACGACTGCTGAGGTTTAGGGCGAGACACAAATACATTGATTTGAATTAAATCGGCAGGTTCCATTATTTTTTAAGTAGCAACTTAGCAAGCGTTCATGCCCCTAACTTATGAATTACTCTACACTACTCTACTCTACTCTACATTATTCTACTCTATCCACTCCGCACCAGGGTCAGTACAACTCCCTCCTCCTGCCGAGTCTCCACCACAAATTGAACTCATGTTGAATGATAGTAATCCTTTGATCTAAATACCTTTAGAATAAAAGAATCACAGAGAACCACTTCTTTCTGCCCTGAAGTGTAAACCCCAGGACTCACAGAGAGAGACCAGAGAGGGACCAGAGAGAGACCAGAGAGAGACCAGAGAGGGACCAGAGAGAGACCAGAGAGGGACCAGAGAGAGACCAGAGAGGGACCAGAGAGGGACCAGAGAGGGACCAGAGAGAGACCAGAGAGAGACCAGAGAGGGAACAGAGAGGGACCAGAGAGAGACCAGAGAGGGACCAGAGAGAGACCAGAGAGGGACCTGAGAGAGACCAGAGAGTGACCAGAGTGAGACCTGAGAGAGACCAGAGAGAGACCTGAAAGAGACCACAGAGAGACCAGAGTGAGACCTGAGAGAGACCAGAGAGGGACCAGAGGGGGACCTGAGAGAGACCAGAGAGTGACCAGAGTGAGACCTGAGAGAGACCAGAGAGAGACCTGAAAGAGACCACAGAGAGACCAGCAAGACCATGAGACCAGAGAGAGACTTAAGAAAGACCAGAGAGAGACTTAAGAAAGACCAGAGAGAGACCAGAAAAAGACCCGAGAGGGAGACCAGAGAGACCAGTGAGACCATGAGACCATGAGACCAGAGAGAGACCTGAGAGGGAGACCAGAGAAAGACCTGAGAGGGAGCAAGACTAGAGAGGAGAAAGAAGCTAGTCGACAACTACCACAAAAGAAGGCAAGTTTCGGAGAACTGGGGGATGGAGACTTCTGGAGATAAATACCTCGTAATCAGTAGTTCAGAGAAACCATGTTGGCTTGACTAAAAACTAGTTCAGACAAACATCAACAGTGAGAGAGAAACGTGTTTTCCTCACAATCTCTTAAACACGAGCAAAAAACATGAAATTATAAATGTATTCTCTGCTTATGGCCTCTCGTTGATCCAGTCTCAGCTCCAGACCCCCTCCCCACCGGCCCATCAGCCCAGTCCTCCTCAGCCCCAACTGCATGTACTTTAAGCTCTATACACTCATATATATAGAACCATATCTCCTCAGAAGCACAGTCTCACATGTTTTTAGTTCTGGCTCAGTTCGTGGAGACTCCTCACAGCGCCTGGCCTTCATCTGGTCCAGTCTCAGATCCCCAGTGCTCCTACCGCCTCATCCCCAGCACTTCACGCCTCTCCCCGGGCTCCTCACCTGCTCATGGCTTCCTCCTTCGCCTCCTCCTCCCGCTGCCGCTCCAGCACCGCCAGGATGATCTTCCGCTCCTCCTCCGTGAGGTGGCTGAGGTCCGGCTCGGGCACCGGGGCCTGCGGAAGTCCTCCTCCGCCCCTGGAGCCCTGCACCGAGGCGAACATCATGACTGCAGCCGCCTCCTGCTTCACTCACTCTGGGCCTTCACGACATGGCCCCGGTGCGATGCGTGGGTCCCATAGCGGCAGCAGAGGACGTAAAACACTGGAAGAAAATGACCGTCTCCTCACGGATCTGTGCCCGGTCTCAGCCTCGTCAGAGCGGCCGCAGCAGCGGCAGAGCAGGCATCTCGCGCTCCATCGCGTTTGGCTTCGCTCTTGGCACGGTGCTGGCTCGGTTTGGCACGGCACACACCCCCCACCCCCCTCCCCTTCCACCCGGGCTACTCTTTTGCTCACGGATGCTCCATAGTGGTCGTGGGCAGTGGTCGCCTGTGCTCCCGGTGAGGATGGAGAGGCTGGCGGTGTGAGGAGGTCTCTGTTCCCGGGGTTGGAGATGGAGGAGCCGGTCCTGGGTCTCTGCTTGTGGAAGCCTCTCCTCCTCCTCCGTGATGAAGAGGATGCTGCTGCTGGAGGATGAAGCAGGAGCGCCGTCAATGGGACCGCAGCGCAGGGATACAGAAGAAGCTAGAGCGCGCTGGAGAGGAGGAGGAGGCCGCCATCTTGTGTTTACAGAAAATCAAACTCCACAGAACAAACAAAACTATAAACCCAGGGTCTCCTCTTCCTCACACTGAGGGACACTGGCTGAAGGGTCAACGACACTCTGGTCTCTCTCTGCTCCTTCTTGGTCTCTCTCTCTCGGGTCTCTGTTTGGTCTATCTTTCTGGTTTCTCTTTAGTCTCTTTCTCTATGCTCATTCTCTCTGGTCTCCGGTCTGTCTTTGGTCTCTCTCTCAATTCTCTTTCTCCATGGTCTCTCTCTCTCTCTCTCTCTCTCTCTCTCTCTCTCTCTCTCTCTCTCTCTCTGCCTCTCTGGACTGTGACTTTAGACCCATTATGACATTTAACATTCGTCTGGTACAGTCTGGTCTAGATCCGGTCCTGGGCCATATGAGTCTGGTCTGGTCCGGTCCGGTCCGGTCTGGTCCTCAGAGATGTTGGCCGTTTCCATGGAGATGGGTGCTCTAGCGTCTTCTGTGGCGCGTGGACCGCAGCCCCTCCGCGCGCGTGCATGTAAGAAAGGAGCGCGCGTCCTGCTTTGAGAATGAGGTGCGCGCCCACGTCACGGCACACGCGCGCGCATCTTTGGGGACGCCGCGTTTGAAACTCACGGTTGATTCATGAATGTGGAGAGAAAGTCTTTATCCAAAACTGGGGTTTGTAACTTTACCTTCATCAACACGACAGGTCTTTTGTCTAAAGCAGGACTACAACAAGTCTAAAACAGGACTAAAGCAGGACTAAAGCAGGACTAAAGCAGGTCTAAAGCAGGACTAAAGCAGGACTAAAGCAGGTCTAAAGCAGGACTAAAGCAGGTCTAAAGCAGGACTAAAGCAGGACTAAAGCAGGTCTAAAGCAGGACTAAAGCATGTCTAAAGCAGGACTAAAGCAGGACTAAAGCAGGTCTAAATCAGGACTATATAGGTCTACATCTACAAAGCAGGTCTACATCGAGCCTAAAGCAGGACTAAAGCAGGTCTAAATTAAGACTAAAGCAGGTCTAAATCAAGACGAAAGCAGGTCTAAAGCAGGACTAAAGCTAGACTAAAGCAGGCCTAAACAGGACTAAAGCAAGACTAAAGCTGGTCTAAATCAGGATCAAAGCAAGTCTAAATCAAGACTATAATCGGAATAAAGTAGGTCTAAAGCAGGCCTAAAGCAGTTCTATATCAAGACTAAAGCAGGTCCAAGCAGGTCTAAAGTGCAGGACTGAAGGTCTAAGTTGCTTATAAGTTCATTCACAGTGGTTAGCCGTGCTTCTAAGTTCACCCATTATGGTTATCCGTACTTTTAAGTTCATACAATATGCGTAGCCGTGCTCCGTATGCCCTGGACCACAGTAAACTCACTTCAGCACCACGGGCAGCTCCAGAGTTTTATTGTGTTACTTCCGGTCTATTCCGGAAGTAGCCACAGTTGACGGAAGCTTGCCGTAATCCCGCTGCAGAAACATCTCAGTCACGTGCTCCGTATTTTTATTCTGTCTCCAAAGGGTCCACACGGGTCCGGTCGCTCCTCTCTCTGTCTGCGGTTTATCTGCTGTAAACCTGGGTCACATTATTTCATTTATTATATATTTTCTGTTGTTGCAGAGGGAGTCGGTGGAAGTAGGTCATTCCCGCAGAGAGTGTCCAGGCGCTGCGTGAGAAAGGTATCTATGCAGAGCTCTGAGACCCGAAATTATGTTTCAGTTTACAGAGTTTACAGACTGAAAATGTTATCGGTATTATTACTATTACTACTATGAAAGTGATGGTGATCTGCAGTGAAATAACAGGTACCTCATACATGTAAAGAACCTATTCTGCAAAAAAAAAAATCCAACATTGACCCACATTTCGGCCCAAACTCTGGTGTCCCTCTGATTTCTTTCTTTCTGGTCTCTCTCTGGTTTCTCTCTTTGGTCTCTCTCTGGTCTCTCTCTGGTCGCTCTTTTTGGTATCTCTCTGGTCTCTCTCATTGGTATCTCTCTGGTCTCTCTCTTTGGTCTCTCTCATTGGTATCTCTCTGGTCTCTCTCTTTGGTATCTCTCTGGTCTCTCTCTTTGGTATCTCTGGTCGCTCTTTTTGGTATCTCTCTGGTCTCTCTCTGGTCTCTCTCTGGTCTTTCTCTTTGGTATCTCTCTGGTCTCTCTCATTGGTATCTCTCTGGTCTCTCTCTTTGGTATCTCTCTGGTCTCTCTCTGGTCTCTCTCTGGTCTCTCTCTTTGGTATCTCTCTGGTCTCTCTCTTTGGTATCTCTCTGGTCTCTCTCATTGGTATCTCTCTGGTCTCTCTCATTGGTATCTCTCTGGTCTCTCTCTTTGGTCTCTCTCTTTGGTATCTCTCTGGTCTCTCTCTTTGGTATCTCTCTGGTCTCTCTCTTTGGTATCTCTCTGGTCTCTCTCTTTGGTATCTCTCTGGTCTCTCTCTTTGGTATCTCTCTGGTCTCTCTCTTTGGTATCTCTGGTCTCTCTCTTTGGTATCTCTCTGGTCTCTCTCATTGGTATCTCTCTGGTCTCTCTCTGGTCTCTTTCTGGTGTCTCTCTAGGATAGTAGACAATAAAGCAGTAAGATAATAAAACAATAAAACTCTTGGGTCCAGGATAAGTTAGCAGTGGCGGACACACTGTGGGTTTCACAAAAGTTGTGTTGCTGTCAGTTTAGAGATTGTGTGACTGTCTGTAGTGTGTGTGTTTTAAGGCTGTACAACCCCTCACCAGAGAGAGACTGAAGAGAGACCAGAGTGAGACCAGAGAGAGGGACCATAAAGAGAGACCAGAGAGATTCTAGAGGGCGAGACCAGAGAGAGGGCCCTGTCTGTTCTGTGTTCTTGTGTGCAGCACTTTGGAAACTTCTTGTTGTGAATGCTACATATACAGTGCCTTGCGTGCAATATTATTCGGCCCCTTGTGCTAATACTTTGTAGCACCACCTTTTGCTGCAATTACAGCTGCAAGTCGCTTGGGGTATGTCTCTATCAGTTTTGCACATCGAGAGACTGGAATTCTTGCCCATTCTTCCTTGCAAAACAGCTGGAGCTCAGTGAGGTTGGATGGAGAGCGTTTGTGAACAGCAGTCTTCAGCTCTTTCCACAGATTGTCGATTGGATTCAGGTCTGGTTCACAAATAGACGTATCCAGGTGTTAGAATGGCCAAGTCAAACTTGGCCATTCTAACACCTGGATACGTCTATTTGTGAACCATTCCATTGTAGATTTGGCTTTATGTTTTGGATCATTGTCCTGTTGGAAGATAAATCTCCGTCCCAGTCTCAGGTCTTTTGCAGACTCCAATATGTTTTCTTCCAGAATGGTCCTGTATTTGGCTCCATCCAATTTTAGCCATCTTCCCTGTCCCTGCTGAAGAAAAGCAGGCCCAAAGCATGATGCTGCCACCACCATGTTTGACAGTGGGGATGGTGTGTTCAGGGTGATGAGCTGTGTTGCTTTTACGCCAAACATATCGTTTTGCATTGTGGCCAAAAAGTTTGATTTTGGTTTCATCTGACCAGAGCACCTTCTTCCACATGTTTGGTGTGTCTCCCAGGTAGCTTGTGGCAAACTTTAAACGAGACTTTTTATGGATATCTTTGAGAAATGGCTTTCTTCTTGCCACTCTTCCATAAAGGCCAGATTTGTGCAGTGCACGACTGATTGTTGTCCTATGGACAGACTCTCCCACCTCAGCTGCAGTTATCTGCAGTTCATCCAGAGTGATCATGAGCCTCTTGGCTGCATCTCTGATCAGTCTTCTCCTTGTTTGAGATGAAAGTTTGGAGGGACGGCCGGGTCTTGGTAGATTTGCAGTGGTCTGATACTCCTTCCATTTCAATATAATTGCTTGCACAGTGCTCCTTGAGATGTTTAAAGCTTGGGAAATCTTTTTGTATCCAAATCCGGCTTTAAACTTCTCCACAACAGTATCTCGGACCTGCCTGGTGTGTTCCTTTGTCTTCATGGTTCTCTCTGCGCTTTAAACAGAACCCTGAGACTATCAAAGAGCAGGTGCATTTATACGGAGACTTGATTACACACAGGTGCATTCTATTTATCATCATCAGTCATTTAGGACAACATTGGATCATTCAAAGATCCTCACTGAACTTCTGGACTGAGTTTGCTGCACTGAAAGTAAAGGGGCCGATTAATATTGCACGCCCCACTTTTCAGTTTTTTATTTGTTAAAAAAGTTTAAATTATCCAACAAATTTTGTTCCACTTCACGATTGTGTCCCACTTGTTGATGATTCATGACAAAAAATTAAAACTTTATATCTTTATGTTTGAAGCCTGAAATGTGGCAAAATGTTGAAAGGTTCAAGGGGCCCGAATACTTTCGTACTGTAAATAAAGTGGACTGAACATGTGTTTCCTTATGGTTACCAGGTGATGCGTCCCGTGGTGGTGGTCCATGGGGGGGCGGGCCACATCCCGTCTGAGCGCGCTCAGAACTCCAGCAGAGGGGTGTGTACTGCCGTGAGGGCGGGGTACCAGGTGCTGACAGCAGGGGGCAGCAGTGTGGAGGCCGTGGTGGAGGCCGTGAGGCTCATGGAGGACGACCCCCACTTCAACGCAGGTCAGACACACAAGCTGGGTCTTCTGGTACTTCTGGTTTCTGGTGGCCTTCCCTGTGGTCTCCCTCTCTCTGGCCTCTTTCTGGTCTCTATTAATTCTGCCTGGTTCCTCTGGTTCTTCTCTGGTCCTTCTGCTTCCCCTGGTTTCTCTGGTCCTCAGGCAGAGGCTCGGTCCTCACTGCAGGAGGTCAGGTGGAGATGGATGCTCTGGTGATGGACGGCAGAGACCTGTCGTCTGGAGCCGTGTCAGCGGTGTCCAACATCAAGAACCCAGTGAAGCTCGCAAGGCTCATCATGGACAAGGTACTCTCTCTCTGGTCTCTCTCTCTGGCATCTCTCCAGTTTCTTTCTGATGTCTCTGTCTGGTCTCTCTATTTTCTCTCTGGTATCTCTCTGGTCTTTCTGGTGTGTCTCTCTCTGGTCTCCCTGGTATCTCTCTGGTCTCTGTTCTCTCCTTGTACAGTAAATAGTGACATATATATATATATCTCTGTTGTGTACAGACCAGCCATGTGTGCCTGACAGCAGGGGGCGCCCTTCAATTCGCTCGGCAGATGGCGGTGGAGGAAGTGTCCACTGAGTCTCTGATCACAGACTACAGCAGAGAGCGCTGGAGGAAGAACCTGCAGCCGGGGGCCGACCCTGTCCAGTGCCAAATGTACGAAACACCACCAGTTAGCACGGTTAGCACAGTTAGCATAGCCTGCCCTCAAACCCAGAGTATGGCCCCCAAGCGGAAAAGGCTAATATGTTTTAAGTTGTTTTAGGGTTAGGGATAATTTAATTGTGACGGGGCCACACAGCTTGTCCTAGTACTGAGAGCACCGCACTGGGACGTGCGCTCTTTTTCTCTGGAGCGTCCGTGTTATGCACGTACTACAGCAGCGTTTACACATTACCCACGGCTAGTTCTCTGTCTGGGGGGGAGTGTGAGTGCGTTTGGTGAGATCTCGGGTGCACACTAGGTCTCACCGTCGTGCTACTCACCGTTCGCGTGTGCGCGCACGTGCGTGCGCTCCTCGGGACTGCGCGCGCGTGTGTCCCGTGGGTTGGCCAAACAGAGGCAGAGACGCACACACACATTATAAGTGTTGAGGAGCGTCATGTGATCCTTATTTTGTGTTTTTGTTTCTTATGACTGTAAAGGGGGATTATTCAGTGTGGGGATTATCCTATTCTTTACTGTGTAGTGGGGGACTATTTCTATAGTATTGTTTTGGGGGTAAATGGACTTTAAAGTCAGTGAATGTATTTTGTGTTTGTCAAACGCCCAGGGGAGGGGCTTGTGCTTTAAGAGCAGGACCGGTCTGGCCTGCTCGAGTTGAGTGATGCTTGGTTGCAGAGAAGGCAACACCTGAGAACCTGAGATGAGCATGCGCCTACAACTTGTAAATATTGCACTGTATTGCACTGGGATAATAATGGGAAATAATAAATCACTGTGAAAAGTGTTTTTTGACTGAGCCATTGTGTTTTTGGGAAAAGACCCCACAACATATGGTGTCAGAAGTGGGATGGCCAGTCAGAAGAAGCATTCTTATTTTCCGCGCAAACGCACCGGACTCAGGTCACAGAAGACTGAGAGTTTGTCTTTGGGGGCCACCGGGGGAATAGAGCGAGATGAAGATGCCTGGGCGACGGAGGACGAAGAGGAGCCCTCCTCCCGTGGCCAACCTCCATCCGATGGATCAGGAGGGGAGCTATTGGCACTGATGCGGGGCTTCCTGGAGGGACAGCAGAGGAGGGAAGAAGGTCTGCTCGCTGAGCTCAGAGAACTCCGAGCATCAGGGCCACAGCGGGCTGGTTCCCCAGATGGAGATCGCTCATCCGCTTGGAGTCCACGAATCGACCTGCCCACTCCTGCACCTCGGCAGCGTGGCCAAAACTCCATGAGAGAGAGAAGCGGGGTACTGGAACAACCGAGACCAGAGGTCAGATCGTACAGTGACCCCAAAATTCCACTGTATCAGGTTGGAGAGGACATTGAGAACTATCTCCTGCGCTTTGAACGCATTGCAAAGACATGGGCGTGGCCAGAGAACGAGTGGGCTTGCCGCCTGGTTCCCCTGCTTACCGGCAAAGCATTAGAGGCGTATACAGCAATGGATGAGGAGCAAGCTCATTGCTATCCAGAGCTCAAAGCTGCACTGCTGGAAAAATTTGACATTTCCCCAGAGACATATCGTCAGCAGTTTAGGTCAACCGTTGTCCCTCCGAATGAAAACCCAACTGAAACGTATCACCGTCTGAAGTCCCTTTATCGACGCTGGATCCATCCGGAGCTACACACCAAGGAGGATATAGGAGAGGCTATCATCCTGGAGCAGCTACTTCGTGTTCTTCCGGGAGAGGTGAGAACGTGGGTGAAGGAACATGAACCAAAGAATGGGCTGGCAGCTTCCAAGCTGGCTCTCCAATACTTCAATGCTCGGAAGGGGAGCATGACGTCGTACTCCAGCAGCTCTGCTCGTCGACCAGCACCGCCGCCCAGATTGGTGAGACCAGAGGCCAGCCATGATACTCCTCCAGGTAACTCCGGACACCCCTCAAGTCGACCAGGATACGGTAAGGAGCTTATCTGCTTTTACTGTCAACAATCAGGACACAAGGCCTCACTCTGCCCTATCCGTAAAACAAAGCTCTCTGGTGCATGTTACGCGCCACGGCCTGAAAGAGACAGACAGACTGTGACTTTGAGACGGCATAAGCCTCTGGTAGTAAATGGACAAAGAGTGAATGCTTTGTTGGACAGTGGCAGCTTCATGTCTCTTGTAAGGCAGGATCTTGTACCAGTGAGTAAAATAGACTATGGGGTGCAGGAGGACATTGTATGTGTACATGGTGACAGACACCTCTATCCAACCACTGACTTGACTGTGGACATTGATGGGCAAACCTACCTGCTGACTGTGGGGGTTGTGGAGAACCTGCCGGTTCAGGTAATACTTGGCTGGGACCTACCCATACTACTGGACTTGTTATTGGACAATAGACATGACCCAGAGGAGAAGGAGACAACCAGTCAATCCTGTGCGGTACTGACTCGGGCGCAGGCTAGGAACAATCTCCAGGTGGCATCAAAGACATTGGACTCGGGGGCTGGGGGTAGCCTGAATCCAGTTGGTGATATAGTTTACCTGATCTACCATTTTCTTTTGATGACAGTGTTTTTGAGGGGGGTTCTAAAGGGCTGAGAAAGTCTCGGCGTCAGCGCCGTTTTGAAAAGCAGCTGCACAGGGAGTGCCCAGACGAGCGGGGGGAGATTAAAGGCCATTGGGAAGTGCCAGGGGACATTTCAGAGTTACAGAAGGGTGATAGTACGTTGAAACCGCTGTTTTCAAAGGTGATTAACAGTGCAAAAGAAGCTAAATTTGACCAGGAATGTTTTGTACTTGACAATGATGTGTTGTGTAATGTGGGGGAAGGTTCTAAACGGCTGGTAGTCCCTTCCACCGCAAGACCACTTGTTATGCACCTTGCACATACTATTCCGTGGGCGGGGCACTTGGGCCGACATAAAACCTATCTCCGTGTTAGCTCTAGATTTTATTGGCCATCCATGTATTCCGATATACAGAAATACTGTGCTTCGTGTCCAAGTTGCCAAAAGACATGCTTTGTCCGCAAATCTGACCGAGCTTTCCTTCAGCCTTTACCCGTCATTAACATTCCCTTCCGCCGCATAGCCATGGATATTGTTGGACCCCTCCCGAAAAGTAGCCGAGGTTTTCAGTATATCCTGGTTATTTCAGATTATGCCACCCGTTTTCCGGAAGCGTTTCCTCTGCGAACAATAACTGCTCCCGCGGTTGTGCGTGCTCTCATTCAGCTGTTCTCCCGTGTAGGAATCCCTGATGAAATTCTGACAGATCAGGGTACAAACTTCACCTCTCGGCTCATGCAGCTTTTCCATAAGCAGCTGGGAATCTCTCCACTCCGAACAACACCGTATCATCCTCAAACTGATGGTCTCGTTGAAAGATTTAACCAGACATTGAAGAAGATGCTGCGAAAGTTTGTATCAGACACTGGCAAGGACTGGGACCAGTGGCTGCCATTTTGTCTATTCGCCTATCGAGAAGTGCCGCAGGCCTCGACCGGGTTCTCGCCATTTGAGCTCCTCTACGGCTGGGATGTTCAAGGTCCCCTGGATCTCCTGCGTAAAGGCTGGGAGGAAGCCACCCCTCAACCCAATGAACGAAGCATTGTACAGTATGTCCTGGACATGAGGGATAGGCTGGGGAAGTACCAGGAGGAGGCAGAGGTGAACCTGCGGGATGCCCAACGCAGCCAAAAGACCTGGTATGATCAGCAGGCTCGTCATCGGGAGTTCCAGGCTGGACAAAAGGTTCTCTTGCTGCTGCCGTCGGCAAACAGCAAACTATTGGCGAAGTGGCAGGGGCCTTACACAATTGTTCGCAAAATGGGCCCTGTGACGTATGAGGTGCATCATCCAGACAAAAAGAAGTCAAAACAGACTTATCATGTCAACTTACTCAAGGCGTGGAAAGATGCACCACCTTCCTTGCAATCCCTACTGGTGAAGAAAGTAGACTCAGATGAGGAGGAGTTGGGGATGGAGTCCCTGCCCAAATCTGCAGTTCCCGTGTTGGCCCACCTCACTCCAGAGCAGACAACACAGTTGTTCCAGGTTTTTGAAGAAGCTCCATCCCTGTTCCAAGCCAAACCTGGACGGACTACTTTAGTAGAGCATGTGATCCGCTTGAGAGAGGGACGCCCAATCCGCCAACGGTCATATCGCGTTCCACAGCACCTAGTCAACAAGCTCAGAGAGGAAGTGGAAGAGATGCAGCGGTTAGGAGTCATTGAGCCGTCTAATTCTGAGTGGTGTAGCCCAGTAGTGATAGTGCTGAAGAAGGATGGTTCCCTCAGGATTTGTATTGACTTCCGCAAACTCAATGCAATTTCAGAGTTTGACGCCTACCCCATGCCGCGTATTGACGAACTGCTCGAGCGCATTGGAAGTGCCCGGTATATCACCACCCTCGACTTGTGTAAGGGGTACTGGCAGGTGCCCTTGGGGAAGTCCAGCCGACCTTTTACCGCCTTCCAGACACCAGCCGGGCTCTTTCAATTTACTGTCATGCCCTTTGGACTGCATGGAGCCCCGGCCACCTTCCAAAGATTAATGGACAGAGTCCTCCAAGGGTGTGGTCAGTGCAGCGCGGCCTATCTGGACGACGTGGTGGTGTTCAGTCACACCTGGGAGGAACACTTGAACCACTTATCTTTGGTTCTGGGAAAGATTCAGGAGGCTGGATTGACCCTGAATCCTTCAAAGTGTGAGTGGGCGAAGAAAGAGACTCAGTACCTGGGCTATCGTCTTGGACGGGGTGAAGTGCGGCCGCAGGTTGATAAAGTGGAGGCGATTCGCAACTGCCCCAGGCCCCGGACGAAGAAGGACGTGAGGTCCTTTCTGGGATTATCGGGCTGGTATCGCCGCTTTGTGCCACAGTTCGCCTCCATTGCAGCACCCCTCACATCATTGACAATGAAAGACCAAAAGAACCCTGTAGTGTGGACCGATGCCTGTGAAACTGCTTTCCAGACGCTAAAGGCTAGTCTCTGTTCTTCACCAGTTTTGAAAAGCCCTGACTTCACCAAACGGTTTCTGCTCCAAGTGGACGCTTCAGCTGTGGGCCTTGGAGCGGTTCTCGCGCGAGGAGACCCTGGGGAGGAGCAGCCAGTCCTATATTTGAGCCGCAAACTGTTGCCGAGAGAGACTCGCTATTCCACCGTAGAAAAAGAGGGCCTGGCAATAAAGTGGGCATTGGACAGTTTACGGTACTATCTCTTAGGTAGAGGATTTGATTTAGAGACGGACCACCGAGCACTAACTTGGATTAACACTATGAGAGATCAGAACAGCCGTCTGACGCGCTGGTATTTGTCCCTCCAACCATTCCAGTTTCAAATTCGCCATCGGGCTGGGAAAGACAATATCGTGGCAGACTTCTTGTCAAGGCTACCGCACATCGCTAGCCTCCCAGAGGGGGAGGGTAATGTGACGGGGCCACACAGCTTGTCCTAGTACTGAGAGCACCGCACTGGGACGTGCGCTCTTTTTCTCTGGAGCGTCCGTGTTATGCACGTACTACAGCAGCGTTTACACATTACCCACGGCTAGTTCTCCGTCTGGGGGGGAGTGTGAGTGCGTTTGGTGAGATCTCGGGTGCACACTAGGTCTCACCGTCGTGCTACTCACCGTTCGCGTGTGCGCGCACGTGCGTGCGCTCCTCGGGACTGCGCGCGCGTGTGTCCCGTGGGTTGGCCAAACAGAGGCAGAGACGCACACACACATTATAAGTGTTGAGGAGCGTCATGTGATCCTTATTTTGTGTTTTTGTTTCTTATGACTGTAAAGGGGGATTATTCAGTGTGGGGATTATCCTATTCTTTACTGTGTAGTGGGGGACTATTTCTATAGTATTGTTTTGGGGGTAAATGGACTTTAAAGTCAGTGAATGTATTTTGTGTTTGTCAAACGCCCAGGGGAGGGGCTTGTGCTTTAAGAGCAGGACCGGTCTGGCCTGCTCGAGTTGAGTGATGCTTGGTTGCAGAGAAGGCAACACCTGAGAACCTGAGATGAGCATGCGCCTACAACTTGTAAATATTGCACTGTATTGCACTGGGATAATAATGGGAAATAATAAATCACTGTGAAAAGTGTTTTTTGACTGAGCCATTGTGTTTTTGGGAAAAGACCCCACAACATTAATCAATAACATAATTTTACCGTCAACATTAAACCCTGAAAGCAATAAGCAATAATCCAAAGTAAACTTTATTAACAAAAATAATGATTTGGTCGAAACACCTTCATGATTATAAAAAGTCAGACACTCTCGTCTCCCTCTTGGTTTGTCTGCTCTCTCTCTGGGTTCTCTCTCTTGTCTCTCTCTCTCAGGTCTCTCTTGTCTCCCTCTGGTCTCTCTCCCTCTCTAAACTCTGGTCTCTTTCTGGTCTCCCTCTCTGGTCTCTCTCTGGTCTCTTTCTGGCCTCCCTCTCTGGTCTCTCTTGTCTTTCTGGTCTTTCTCTGGTCTCTAACTCTCTGGTCGCTCTGGTCTTTAGCTTCAGTTTCCCACATATAGTCTGTGTGTCGGATCCTCCTGGAGGGTGTCTGTGTGCTGCAGGGGGAAGATGGGGACCGTGGGGGCGGTGGCGGTGGATGCAGATGGTCACGTCGCTTGTGCCACTTCCACCGGAGGAATCCTGAACAAGATGGAGGGCAGAGTGGGAGACACGCCCTGCATCGGTCTGTACCATGTGCGCAGGAACCATCGTTCTGACCACCCCCTTTACACACACTGTTCTGCCGGAAAATATGTATTATTGTCCTCACTCTCTCTGGTCCCACTCTTGCCTTTCTCTCTGGTCTCTCTCTGGTCTCTCTGGTCTCTCTCTGGTCTCTCTGGTCTCTCTCTGGTCTCTCTCTGGTCTCTCTCTGGTCTCTCTCTGGTCTCTCTCTGGTCTCTCTCTGGTCTCTCTCTGGTGTCTCTCTAGTCTCTCTCTGGTCTCTCTCTGGTCTCTCTCTGGTCGCTCTGGTCTCTCTCTGGTGTCTCTCTGGTCTCTCTCTGGTCTCTCTCTAGTCTCTCTGGTCTCTCTCTGGTGTCTCTCTGGTCTCTCTCTAGTCTCTCTGGTCTCTCTCTGGTCTCTCTCTGGTCTCTCTCTGGTCTCTCTCTGGTCTCTCTCTGGTCTCTCTCTGGTCTCTCTGGTCTCTCTCTGGTCTCTCTCTGGTCTCTCTGGTCTCTCTCTGGTCTCTCTCTGGTCGCTCTGGTCTCTCTCTGGTGTCTCTCTGGTCTCTCTCTGGTCTCTCTCTAGTCTCTCTGGCCTCTCTCTGGTCTCTCTCTGGTCTCTCTCTAGTCTCTCTGGTCTCTCTCTGGTCTCTCTCTGGTGTCTCTCTGGTCTCTCTCTAGTCTCTCTGGTCTCTCTCTGGTCGCTCTGGTCTCTCTCTGGTCTCTCTCTAGTCTCTCTGGCCTCTCTCTGGTCTCTCTCTGGTCTCTCTCTAGTCTCTCTGGTCTCTCTCTGGTCTCTCTCTAGTCTCTCTGGTCTCTCTCTAGTCTCTCTGGTCTCTCTCTGGTCTCTCTCTGGTCTCTCTCTAGTCTCTCTGGTCTCTCTCTGGTCTCTCTCTGGTCTCTCTCTGGTCTCTCTCTGGTCTCTCTGGTCTCTCTCTGGTCTCTCTCTGGTCTCTCTCTGGTCTCTCTGGTCTCTCTCTGGTCTCTCTCTGGTCTCTCTGGTCTCTCTCTAGTCTCTCTGGTCTCTCTCTGGTCTCTCTGTGGTCTCTCTGGTCTCTCTCTGGTCTCTCTGGTCTCTCTCTGGTCTCTCTCTGGTCTCTCTGGTCTCTCTCTGGTCTCTCTCTGGTCTCTCTCTGGTCTCTCTCTGGTCTCTCTGGTCTCTCTGGTCTCTCTCTGGTCTCTCTGGTCTCTCTCTGGTCTCTCTCTGGTCTCTCTCTGGTCTCTCTCTGGTCTCTCTCTGGTCTCTCTGGTCTCTCTGGTCTCTCTCTGGTCTCTCTCTGGTCTCTCTCTGGTCTCTCTCTGGTCTGATAACAGTTGAATAGTTTTGCCCTTTGTTCCCAGTGCCTGTGAGCTAATATTTGACTGAGCTTTGTCTTTAACAAAACTGAAGGAACTTGAGGATTGAAAAACAAACATGAACTTTATCAACTATAAAATCATTTTTTAAACTCACACTGATGTTTAGAGGTGTTTGCTAAAGCCACCCGAGGTTTTAAACTACGAACAAATTCAAAACCTTTAAACAAAACAAACTCTTAACTGGTTTGATAAATGTGTCTGCCCTCTAGTGGACAGAGTAACGTACAGCGGGGCAATAAAACTTAAATATCCATGTCACTCTCTCTCTGGTCTCTCTCTGGTCTCTCTCTGGTCTCTCTCTCTGGTCTCTCTCTGGTCTCTCTCTGGTCTCTCTCTCTGGTCTCTCTCTCTGGTCTCTCTCTGGTCTCTCTCTGGTCTCTCTCTGGTCTCTCTCTCTGGTCTCTCTCTGGTCTCTCTCTGGTCTCTCTCTCTGGTCTCTCTCTGGTCTCTCTCTGGTCACTCTCTGGTCTCTCTCTGGTCACTCTTTCTGGTCTCTGTCTTTGGTCTCTCTGGTCTCTCTCTGGTCTCTCTCTCTGGTCTCTCTCTGGTCTCTCTCTGGTCACTCTTTCTGGTCTCTGTCTTTGGTCTCTCTGGTCTCTCTCTGGTCACTCTTTCTGGTCTCTCTCTCTGGTCTCTCTCTCTGGTCTCTCTCTGGTCTCTCTCTGGTCTCTCTCTGGTCTCTCTCTGGTCACTCTTTCTGGTCTCTGTCTTTGGTCTCTCTGGTCTCTCTCTGGTCTCTCTCTGGTCACTCTTTCTGGTCTCTGTCTTTGGTCTCTCTGGTCTCTCTGTGGTGTTTATGAAGATAAAGTTACGTCCCTGAGCTTTAACGTCCTCTGTATTCAGGAAGTGGGGGATATGCAGACGACTCGGTGGGAGCGGTCTCCACCACGGGACACGGAGAGGCCATCATGAAGGTTGTCCTGGCCAGACACATCCTCTTCCACATGGAACAGGGTAACCATGGCAACACTGAGGCTGTAGACCCAGGACTGAGGCCTTAGACCCAGGACGGAGGCTGTAGGCTGTAGATCCAGGACTGAGGCCTTAGACCCAGGACTGAGGCCTTAGACCCAGGACGGAGGCTGTAGGCTGTAGACCCAGGACTGAGGCCTTAGACCCAGGACGGAGGCTGTAGGCTGTAGACCCAGGACTGAGGCCTTAGACCCAGGACGGAGGCTGTAGGCTGTAGATCCAGGACTGAGGCCTTAGACCCAGGACTGAGGCTGTAGACCCAGGACGGAGGCTGTAGGCTGTAGACCCAGGACTGAGGCCTTAGACCCAGGACTGAGGCTGTAAACTGTAGATCCAGGACTGAGGCTGTAGACCCAGGACTGAGGCCTTAGACCTAGGACTGAGGCTGTAGACCCAAGACTGAGGCTGTAGACCCAGGACTGTGGCTGTAGACCCAGGACTGAGGCCTTAGACCTAGGACTGAGGCTGTAGGCTGTAGATCCAGGACTGAGGCTGTAGAGCCAAGAGCAGTAGTCGCCGTAGCCAGCGTGAGGATTTTACCTCAGTAGCTTGTGGTAGGGCAAACCGGAGCACCTGGAGGAAACCTACACAGACCAGGACCAGTACTTTCTCATCAGTGCAATTGTGTCTTAGTCTAATCCTAGTTCAGACCTGGTTTAGAGAGACACCAGATAGAAACTAGAGAGAGACCAGAGAGGGACTAGGAGAGACACCAGAGAGAGACCAGAGAGAGACCAGAGAGAGACCAGAGAGAGACACCAGAGAGAGACCAGAGAGAGACCAGAGAGAGACCAGAGAGAGACACCAGAGAGAGACCAGAGAGAGACCAGAGAGAGACCAGAGAGAGACCAGAGAGAGACACCAGAGAGAGACCAGAGAGAGACCAGAGAGAGACCAGAGAGAGACCAGAGAGAGACCAGAGAGAGACCAGAGAGAGACACCAGAGAGAGACCAGAGAGAGACCAGAGAGAGACACCAGAGAGAGACCAGAGAGAGACCAGAGAGAGACCAGAGAGAGACCAGATTAGGGTTCACTCTCACAGACTCCATGTAGAATAACCGTGGAGCTAAATGTGTGGGGAGCAACAACAAAACCAATCCGGATGCTTCTTGCCTCTGTTCCCAGGCAGGTCTGTGGAGGAGGCGAGCGACCTGGGGCTGTCCCACATGAGGAGTCGGGTCTCTGGACTGGGGGGCGTGGTCACCGTGGATACCAAAGGGGCATGGTCTGCTCGCTTCTCGTCCAATCAGATGGCCTGGGCCGCAGCATGTGACCAGACGCTGCACTGGGGGATTTACAAAGGGGAGGAGTTTACAGAGAAGATTGTAATTTAGTGTGAGAAGTACTACTACTGTTATTACTACTACTATTACTGTTTTTACTGCTACTACTGATACTACTACTACTGATACTACTACTATGTCTATGTATATAGTATGTATAATCATGTTTTAATATAGGTCCAATCAACATTGTCCAATAATTGGGTCTAACTATAAATTTATTTTTGTTAAAATGCTTTACGTGTCTTATGGGAAATCTTGGTTTAGATGCACTGCCTTCATTATGCATTTGGGGGCGCTCTCAGGGGGCAGCGAGCCTGGGTACGAAGACTTTTGACTGCACTGGAACAATACATCATTAAATCATCCTCACTGTATTTTAACTGTTTTTACAATTTACTTTTTACCTGATTGTAAGGTTTTTTTTTTTTACTTAACCTTTAAAGAACAACTTTAAATTAAATGAACTTTTTAACTCATAAACTGCATACATTTGTTTCATACATTAGTGCTCTCTTCATGTCTGGGTCAATCTTTTGACATTTTTGTGCGAATTAGATAAAATTAAAAGCCACCCTGTGTCATTTTTACAGCTGCTCCATATGAAAAAACATGTTAATAACAAATGTGACTTTTTTAAGAATATTTATCTCCACCATGTTTTTGTTTGTATTCATAGACTTAGAATTTAACTTATAAGTGTCCATGAGAGAGGAGTGCTCTCAAAGGCTTCCGCACTATACTAGACTGCAATATAAGATCTCAACGCTACCTTTTTGGTGGCACTACATTTTAATCTGGAGCCTGGCTCTTCCATTGGCTCTGGTGTGATGTGTGATGTCACTGGTACTGTGTGACGTTCGTCTCTGCACCAATGGTATAAACCCATATTCTGGTGACATCTAGTGGTTTAAATTTGAATTACATCAATTGACAGTCACTACTGCTGAGATAATTCTGTGGTTCAGGTTCAGGTGTGTAACTCTACAATTATCTTCGTGTGTAAACAAAAGTAGAATGGGAATTTCTAGTGTGAAAAACAGCGCAGACCACTCCCCTTCTTGTCCCTTGGTCCTCCAGGCAACGCCCTTTTTAGAGAGGATTTTCAATGCTCAAGTGAGCAGAGTCAGGCTGAGCACTGGTGTTTAGTATTTCTTAAAGTTTGGAGAACAGTAACTACAGTTGCAGTATCATCTACGTTTCACAAGATGGCGCCAAAATAGGTGTGAACGAAAGAGTCGTCTTAAACCCGCAGGAAATCACTTTAATTTGACAAAATATGAAACCTGTGCCTTTCAGATCTGAAGCTGTCTCCGTGCCCCTGGTCCTTCTGTGGAAACGTGAATTAGGATAGTTGAACTTCACACAACAATCGCCTTCTTTGTGCACTAATACATTGGTAAAAGAGACCAGAGAGAGAGGCAACTAAAGCTTACCCATCTACTGTGAACTGGAGGATGGAGATTTCTGATCAGGGTAAAGAGATGGGTTTGTGTGCACGTCAGTGTGTGTCTGTGCGTGAGCGTGTGCGTGTGTGGGTTCTGAAGGTGACCCAGGTCACTCCAGTGTTTTCAAAGTAAACACTCTTCTTTGTCACTAAACAACAGAAAAATACGGGCAGTAAGTGAGCTGTGAGAGACCATGCAGGGACCTGAGGGATCAGAGAGAGACCAGGGAGAGATACTCTTATACTTTATGCACATTTAAAATTGATCATTTGCAGTTTTTGTGACTTAAAGTTCTGATAAACGGAATTTGAATGGTTGAAAAGAGTTCTAAAGGAAAAAATATTTTAATAATTGTAAATATTATTAGGGAGCAACATTGTGTAAGATTATAGGGACCACTGATCACAAACACAATTTTGTTGCTAATGTGTATTTTTTGTTTAAAAAAAAATGGGTCTATTTGAATGAACACAAACCACAGCTGCTATTTCCTCAAATTCATCATAAAATACAACATTCCTTTTGTGCTTTAATTTTGTAAAGTTTTGGCGCTGTCTTACTGTGAAAGGGCGCGTGTCCGGAAGTGCTGTCCGCGGTTGCCATGGCAGCAGCAGAAAAAGGACAGTGCCAATCGAAGTCTCCTTCAGACCTCTGCGGGATCCCAGCCACTTCCCCCGGGATAAACCTGCTCCAAACCACCGCTGTGGAGACCAAGGAAGGACCAGGACAACCGCAGGACTCACACACGGACTTTGGTACAGCTTCGACCTGGTTTAGACCAAGTTCAGACCCGGTTTAGACTTTGACCACATCCGAATTGACGAACGTGCCTCCTTTTTCTATCCGTGCCATTCATTTTTATTTCATTTTAGTGACTTTATTTTACCACATTTGTCTATAAATCGTTTTAGTTATCAATTCATCAAAAATAGGGCTGTTTTTTTAATATCATGAATGATCAAATTCCAAGGAAAAGGAACCCCGTGAAGGAGGTAGGTTTGAGGAATTCGGACGCAGCGCTGATGGAAAAGTTTTGAGCCGGTGTCGGTGAGTTCAAAGCCATGGATACTATTTTAGTAATTTAATCTTTTTATGATAGAAACTTTGATTAAAAAGTATTAAAACAGGATTACAGTGTTATTCTAATCTGACAGCACTGCAGGTGAATTACATCACATTTCTGTAGAACTAAAGCTGAGTTACCTGACTTTTCTGTATAACATGTTTGGACAGACCACTCACCACTACGTAATTCCTCTCTCTCTCTCTGTGTCTCTCTCTCTCTGTGTCTCTCTCTCTCTGTGTGTCTCTCTCTCTCTCTCTCTCTCTGTGTCTCTCTCTCTCTCTCTCTCTGTCTCTCTCTCTCTCTCTCTGTGTCTCTCTCTGTGTCTCTCTCTCTCTCTGGTGTCTCTCTCTCGGTCTGGTCCCTCTCTCTCTGTCTGGTCCCTCTCTGGACTCTCTCTTTGTTCTCTCTGGTCTCTATCTCGGTCTGGTCCCTCTCTGGACTCTCTCTGGACTCTCTCTTTGTTCTCCTTGGTCTCTCTGTCCTGGCCTCTTTCCGGTCTCACTGATCCCACTCTGCTCTCTCTCTGGTCTCTAATCTTTCTTCTCTCTTTCTGGTCTCTCTCTCTGTTCTCTGTCCGGTCTCTCCCTGGTCTCTCTGCTCTTTCTGGTCTCTCTCTCTACTCTCTCTCACTTTTCCGTCTGAAAGTAGAAACTGTTTTAGAGACAGAAACTAGACTGACATGTGTTTATTCTCTTGTAGTGGTTTGAAAGTTATGTCCCTCAGCTTTAACTAATTATAGTCTTTCATTCATTGGAGAAAAACACAAGATGATTAAAAGGAGGTGAGTGCAGTGTCACTGAGACGCTGTAATAGATTACTTATCTTTAGTTACAGGAGTAATGCACTACTGTGAGTTACTGCAGAACACAGGACAGGACAGTGTGGGAAAGGTCAGACCAGAGGGAGACCAGAGGGAGACCAGCGAGTGAGACTAGAGGGAGACGGAGACTAGAGTGAGATTCCAGAGAGTGACCAGAGAGAGTGACCAGAGAGAGAGACCAGTGAGAGAGAGACCAGAGAGAGACCAGAGAGAGACCAGAGAGAGACCAGAGAGAGACCAGAGAGAGACCAGAGAGAGACCAGAGAGAGACCAGAGAGAGACCAGAGAGAGACCAGAGAGAGACCAGAGAGAGACCAGAGAGAGACCAGAGAGAAAGAGACCAGAGTGAGACCAGTGAGAGGGAGACCAGCGAGTGAGACTAGAGGGAGACGGAGACTAGAGTGAGATTCCAGAGAGTGACCAAAGAGTGACCAGAGAGAGACCGACGAGAAAGAGACCAGAGTGAGACCAGTGAGAGTGAGACCAGTGAGAGTGAGACCAGAGAGGGACCAGCGAGAGAGAGAGACCAGAGAGACCAAAGAGGGACCAGAGGGAGATCAGCAAGAAAGAGACCAGAGAGAGCGAGACCAGAGCGAGACCAGAGCGAGACCAGAGCGAGACCAGAGCGAGACCAGAGCGAGACCAGAGCGTGAGACCAGAGCGTGAGACCAGAGCGTGAGACCAGAGCGTGAGACCAGAGCGTGAGACCAGAGCGTGAGACCAGAGCGTGAGACCAGAGCGTGAGACCAGAGCGTGAGACCAGAGCGTGAGACCAGAGCGTGAGACCAGAGCGTGAGACCAGAGCGTGAGACCAGAGCGTGAGACCAGAGAGTGAGACCAGAGAGTGAGACCAGAGAGTGAGACCAGAGAGTGAGACCAGAGAGTGAGACCAGAGAGTGAGACCAGAGAGTGAGACCAGAGAGTGAGACCAGAGAGTGAGACCAGAGAGTGAGACCAGAGAGTGAGACCAGAGAGTGAGACCAGAGAGTGAGACCAGAGAGTGAGACCAGAGAGTGAGACCAGAGAGTGAGACCAGAGAGTGAGACCAGAGAGTGAGACCAGAGAGAGTGAGACCAGAGACTTTCTAAAGGGAAGCGCAGCAAATGCAACAGCCTGAACCTGAGCTTGCTTCAGCCAAACACAGCTCCACGGCTCGTTCTGCTGTCCCTGGTGCGACATGTGACGTGTCAGAGAGAACAGCCACATTCCGTTGTGTGTTTGTCTCTGATATTGGTCCAAACTGAATGTTCTAAAAGATTAACAGCCTCTTGAGACGATAAACTCGATCTCTGCGAATCCCTCACTTCAAAGTCCGACACATTTCTCATTTTCAAACAATGATTCAAAGAAAGTGGAGCAAACAAAGAACAAAGAGATCAGAGAGGGACCAGAGAGGGACCAGAGAGGGACCAGAGAGGGACCAGAGAGGGACCAGAGAGGGACCAGAGAGGGACCAGAGAGAGACCAGAGAGAGACCAGAGAGAGGCCAGAGAGAGGCCAGAGAGAGGCCAGAGAGAGGCCAGAGAGAGACCAGAGAGGGACCAGAGAGGGACCAGAGAGAGACCAGAGAGGGACCAGAGAGAGACCAGAGAGAGGCCAGAGAGAGGCCAGAGAGAGGCCAGAGAGAGACCAGAGACGGACCAGAGAGAGACCAGAGAGGGACCAGAGAGGGACCAGAGAGAGACCAGAGAGGGACCAGAGAGGGACCAGAGGGGGACCAGAGAAGAGAGAGACCAGAGAGGGACCAGAGAAGAGAGAGACCAGAGAGGGACCAGAGAGGGACCAGAGAGGGACCAGAGAGGGACCAGAGAGGGACCAGAGGGGGACCAGAGAAGAGAGAGACCAGAGAGGGACCAGAGAGGGACCAGAGAAGAGAGAGACCAGAGAGGGACCAGAGAGGGACCAGAGAAGAGAGGGACCAGAGAGGGACCAGAGAGGGACCAGAGAGGGACCAGAGGGGGACCAGAGAGAGACCAGAGAGAGACCAGAGAGGGACCAGAGAGGGACCAGAGAGGGACCAGAGAGGGACCAGAGAGGGACCAGAGAGGGACCAGAGAGGGACCAGAGAGGGACCAGAGAGGGACCAGAGAGGGACCAGAGAGAGACCAGAGAGAGACCAGAGAGGGACCAGAGAGCTTGTGCAAACGTGTTTGTGCATTTTCTCAGTTCTCATTCTAGTCATGCTCGTCCATATATTTTTTACGTAATAAACTCATTCAGGTTGTAGAACTTGAGGCTCGAGGGTCAGCCCCTGCTCCCCCTTTGTCTCTGGCTTCAACATTAACCAGCTGCCGTCACACTTCACTGCCTCGTTTGGAAAATCTCAAGTCAAACATTTAACCTTTCCTCCGTCACGTCTGCTCTCCAGTTTAGACCCACAATGCAACAGTGTCAGCCTTTATGCAGAAGATACTGATTTCAATATGGACATTTGTGCCCATGGTAAGTAAGTAAGCTTTATTTATATACCGCCTTTCACAGACCAGAGTCACAAAGCGGTTTACAATTGTTATTTTTTGGGCACTTGTCTCTCACTCCACACAGAGATGGGAGCGGGGCCAGTACAGGAGGCGCATGCCAGACCTATTGGACATATTTTTAGTGGTAGGGGAAACCAGAGTACCCGGAGGAAACCTACGCAGACACGGGGAGAACATGCAAACTCCACTCAGAAAGGCCCTTGTCCGGCCGGGATTCGAACCAAGGACCTTCTTGCTGAGAGGCGAGAGTGCTATCCACTCAGCCACCGTGCCGCCCACGGTGGTCTCTCTCTCTCTCTCTCTCTCTCTCTCTCACACTCTCACTCTCACTCTCTGGTGAAGGCCTCTGATTGGTCAGTTCTTATAGAGTTCATATCTGGATTAACAAAGACAACATCACTATATAAACTGCAGGATTATACATATACCAGGGAGAGACCAGGGAGAGACCAGGGAGAGACCAGGGAGAGACCAGGGAGAGACCAGAGAGAGACCCGAGAGAGACCCGAGAGAGACCCGAGAGAGACCCGAGAGAGACCCGAGAGAGACCCGAGAGAGACCCGAGAGAGACCCGAGAGTGACCAGGGAGAGACCAGGGCGAGACCGGCCTCTTGTCTCACTCTTTCACTTGGTTTCTCGTATCTCAGGAGGTAATGGTTCTTTCTCCATCCGTCCACAGTCTGAGGCTTTGTGTCTCCATCTAATCCAAACATTTCACAAAGTCTGAAAGAAACACCAGAACCAGAAAGTCAAACACAACTGTCACGTTTGTAAATCGCACGGATCTGGTCCCAACTCTGAGCCACAGGTTCACAGAAAACTATATTTTTACCAGTCCTCTCTCTGGTCTCTCTCTGGTCTCTCTCTGGTCTCTCACTGGTCTCTCTCAGGTCTCTCTCTGGTCTGTCTCTGGTCTCTCTCTGGCCTCTCTCTGGTCTCTCTCTGGTCTCTCTCTGGTCTCTCTCTGGTCTCTCTCTGGTCTCTCTCTGGTCTCTCTCTGGTCACTCCCTTGTCTCTCTCTGGTCTCTCTGGTCTCTCTCTGGTCTCTCACTGGTCTCTCTCTGGTCTCTCTCTGGTCTCTCTCTGGTCTCTCTCTGGTCTCTCCCTTGTCGCTCTCTGGTCTCTCCCTGGTCTCTCACTGGTCTCTCTCTGGTCTCTCTCTGGTCTCTCTCTCTGGTCTCTCTCTGGTCTCTCTCTGGTCTCTCCCTTGTCTCTCTCTGGTCTCTCTCTGGTCTCTCTCTGGTCTCTCTCTGGTCTCTCTGGTCTCTCTCTGGTCTCTCTCTGGTCTCTCTGGTCTCTCTCTGGTCTCTCTCTGGTCTCTCTCTGGTCTCTCTCTGGTCTCTCTCTGGTCTCTCTCTGGTCTCTCCCTTGTCTCTCTCTGGTCTCTCCCTGGTCTCTCACTGGTCTCTCTCTGGTCTCTCTCTGGTCTCTCTCTGGTCTCTCTCTGGTCTCTCTCTGGTCTGTCTCTGGTCTCTCACTGGTCTCTCTCTGGTCTCTCCCTGGTCTCTCCCTTGTCTCTCTCTGGTCTCTCTCTGGTCTCTCTCTGGTCTCTCTCTGGTCTCTCTCTGGTCTCTCTCTGGTCTTTCTCTGGTCTCTCTCTGGTCTTTCTCTGGTCTCTCTCTGGTCTCTCTCTGGTCTCTCTCTGGTCTCTCCCTGGTCTCTCCCTTGTCTCTCTCTGGTCTCTCTCTGGTCTGTCTCTGGTCTCTCACTGGTCTCTCTCTGGTCTCTCTCTGGTCTTTCTCTGGTCTCTCTCTGGTCTCTCTCTGGTCTCTCTCTGGTCTCTCACTGGTCTCTCTCTGGTCTCTCTCTGGTCTCTCCCTGGTCTCTCCCTTGTCTCTCACTGGCCTCTCTCTGGTCTCTCTCTGGTCTCTCTCTGGTCTCTCTCTGGTCTCTCTCTGGTCTCTCTCTGGTCTCTCCCTGGTCTCTCTCTGGTCTCTCTCAGGTCTCTCTCTGGTCTCTCCCTTGTCTCTCTCTGGTCTCTCTCAGGTCTCTCTTCTCTGATACCTGTAAGAGCCTGTAATGATGACACGTCTGTTTGAAAAGGCAGATCTCCTCCGCTCTGTGATGTCATAGATGGGGGGGGGGGATGTGGTGGTGTAAACAGTGACATGTTATTTCTGTAAACACAGAGTGAGGGATGGAAACGCTGATCAGAGCTACCCACGCTCCAACAACAGCAGATCCACTGGGCATCCAACCCGCCTTGCGACCCTAGTCCTGGACCAAATATAGTTGTTATTAAAAGCTGTTCTCTCTGCTGCTCACACGTCACACCAGAGACAGAACTCTGCGTAATGACAGCGGAACGAGCCGTGGAGCTGTGTTTGGGTGAGTGAAGCTCTGAGTCAGGGTTTGGGATGTTGCATGTTCTGCTCTTTCGTGCAGAACGAAAGTTGTGTTTGTGTAAAAAACAAAATTGAAAACGTATCGAGTGCTTTATGTGGAGGAGAAGCTTGTCCATAATCATGTGATTCTGTCTCGTCTCTCTCTGGTCTCTTTGCTCTTTCTGGGATCTCTGGTTCCTCTCTGGTCTCTCTGATATGTCTCTGGTCTCTCTGGTATGTCTCTGATCTCTCTCTGGTTGTCCTCTCTGGTCGATCTATGTTCTCTCTCTCTCTGCTCTCTCTCTGGTCTCTCTCTCTGGTCTCTCTCTGGTTTCTCTCTGTTCTCTCTCTCTGGTCTCTCTCTGGTCTCTCTTTCTGGTCTCTCTCTGGTCTCTCTCTCTGGTCTCTCTCTGGTCTCTCTCTCTGGTCTCTCTCTCTGGTCTCTCTCTCTGGTCTCTCTCTCTGGTCTCTCTCTGGTCTCTCTCTCTGGTCTCTCTCTCTGGTCTCTCTCTCTGGTCTCTCTCTCTGGTCTCTCTCTGGTCTCTCTCTCTGGTCTCTCTCTCTGGTCTCTCTCTCTGGTCTCTCTCTGGTCTCTCTCTGGTCTCTCTCTCTGGTCTCTCTCTCTGGTCTCTCTCTCTGGTCTCTCTCTGGTCTCTCTCTGGTCTCTCTCTCTGGTCTCTCTCTGGTCTCTCTCTCTGGTCTTTCTCTCTGGTCTCTCTCTGGTCTCTCTCTCTGGTCTCTCTCTGCAGGAGGAACCATGGGGCAGTGTCGGCTGCTGTAAACATCTTTGACTGGAAGCTGCTGAACTCTGGAGGCTTTCAGTTGGATGTTTGCAGCAGCCCACAGCCAAGACCAGCAAGACCAGGACCAGCAGAGTCAACACACACCAGGATGCGGACCAGAAGAGTCAACACAATTCCAGACCAGGACCAGCAGAATCAACAAAGACCAGGATCCGTATCAGCCATCTCACTCTGGTGTCTCTCTGCTCGCCCTCTCTGGTCTCTCGCTCTTGTCTCTCTCTCTTGTCTCTCCTTTTCTGGTGTCTCTCTGGTCTCTCTCTGATCTCTCTCTGGTCTCTCTATAGTCTCTCTCTAGTCTCTCTCGCTGGTCTCTCTCTGGTCTCTCTCTGTTCTCTCTTTGGTCTCTCTCTCTGGTCTCTCTCTGGTCTCTCTCTGGTCTCTCTCTGGTCTCTCGCTGGTCTCTCTCTGGTCTCTCTCTGGTCTCTCTCTGGTCTCTCTCTCTGGTCTCTCTCTGGTCTCCCTCTGGTCTCTCTCTGGTCTCTCTCTGGTCTCTCTCTGGTCTCTCTCTGGTCTCTCTCTGGTCTCTCTCTGGTCTCTCTCTCTGGTCTCTCTCTGGTCTCTCTCTGGTCTCTCTCTGGTCTCTCTCTGGTCTCTCTCTGGTCTCTCTCTGGTCTCTCTCTGGTCTCTCTCTCTGGTCTCTCTCTGGTCTCCCTCTGGTCTGGGTCTTAGGTGTTGGTATGGTTACAGGATGTGGGTGTGACGGAGGAAGGAAGTCCTGATAAACAGTCTCGGTCTGGACCTGAGACCAGAGACTCTGTGTGTTTGAGTTCATCTCCTGAAATCTCTGTTCTCACCTCCCCCCTGTCCCCGCCCTCTCTCTCTGAGGCCTCAAACATCTCCCCCAAGGTTCTGTGACACCAGAAACATCTGATCTGAGCCGTGTAAACATCCTACACTCTCGGTGCTGCCCCCTGTGGCCGAGAGGGGGACTGTTTGCTCTGCTCGCCTCAGACCTCACACCGGACCCACCTCTCGCTCTGGTCTGTTTTCACTGTGTGTGTGTTCTCTCTCTCCGGTCTCTGTGGTGTCTCTGGTCTCTCTCTGGTCTCTCTCTTGTCTCTCTCTCTCTTGTCTCTCTCTCTGGTCTCCCCCTCTGGTCTCTCTCTCTTGTCTCTCTGTCTCTGGTCTTATCTGGTCTCTCTTTCTGTTCTCTCTCTCTCTTGTCTCTCTCTCTCTGACCTCTGTCTCTCTGATATCTCTCTGACCTCTCTCTGACCTCTCTCTGGTCTCTCTCTCTGGTCTCTCTCTCTGGTCTCTCTCTCTGGTCTCTCTCTGATCTCTCTATGGTTTCTCTCACTGGTCAAATCTTCCCCCAAAGTAAATATTCTCTTTATCGGCTCAAAGGGACAAATGTAAATGTGAAAAATAAACAGTTTGAAATCTAATGTTTTTGAGTCTTTCAATCTGTAAACCCAGTATTTGCCTCTGCAGCGCCCCCGTGAGGTCTACCCCTTTAACAGCACTCTGGTCTCTGCTCTAGTCCTGCTCTAGTCCTGCTTTAGTCCTGCTTTAGTCCTTCACTAGACCTGCTTTAGTCCTGCTTTAGACCTGCTCTAGTCCTGCTTTAGTCCTGCTTTAGTCCTTCACTAGACCGGCTTTAGTCCTTCTTTAGTCCTTCACTAGACCTGCTTTAGTCCTGCTTTAGACCTGCTCTAGTCCTGCTTTAGTCCTGCTTTAGTCCTTCACTAGACCTGCTTTAGTCCTGCTTTAGACCTGCTCTAGTCCTGCACTAGTCCTGCTCTAGTCCTGCACTAGACCTGCACTAGACCTGCTCTAGTCCTGCTCTAGTCCTGCTCTAGATCTGCTCTAGTCCTGCTCTAGTCCTGCTTTAGTCCTGCTCTAGATCTGCTCTAGATCTGCTCTAGTCCTGCTCTAGTCCTGCTTTAGTCCTGCTCTAGATCTGCTCTAGTCCTGCTTTAGTCCTGCTCTAGTCCTGCTTTAGTCCTGCTCTAGATCTGCTCTAGTCCTGCTTTAGTCCTGCTCTAGATCTGCTCTAGATCTGCTCTAGTCCTGCTCTAGTCCTGCTCTAGTCCTGCTTTAGTCCTGCTCTAGATCTGCTCTAGTCCTGCTTTAGTCCTGCTCTAGATCTGCTCTAGATCTGCTCTAGTCCTGCTCTAGTCCTGCTCTAGATCTGCTCTAGTCCTGCTCTAGTCCTGCTTTAGTCCTGCTCTAGATCTGCTCTAGATCTGCTCTAGTCCTGCTCTAGTCCTGCTTTAGTCCTGCTCTAGATCTGCTCTAGTCCTGCTTTAGTCCTGCTCTAGATCTGCTCTAGATCTGCTCTAGTCCTGCTCTAGTCCTGCTCTAGTCCTGCTTTAGTCCTGCTCTAGATCTGCTCTAGTCCTGCTTTAGTCCTGCTCTAGATCTGCTCTAGATCTGCTCTAGTCCTGCTCTAGTCCTGCTCTAGATCTGCTCTAGTCCTGCATTAGTCCTGCTTTAGACTTGGTTTGGATCCATTTTGTTCTCGGACTATAAGTATTAAATATGAAACAGGAAGTGTCATTGATAATAGAAGTCCATGTAATCCGTGAGCGCCACCAGCAGAGGGCGCCACTGCACCATCAGTCAGAGACCAGACCTCTCCTCTGACCGAGTGAGAGCTGTTCGTCAAAGATAAATGGGAAAAACCTCAGTCTCTATGAAAAACACATGAACATATTTCACTTTAGTCCTGGTGTTGTGTCCTAACTCCCGCTGTCTTCATCTAGATCCACCAGAAAGAGTTCCAAACATTTACTGTTGAAATTGGGTCCGGAGTGGAATTGGAGTTGATCGAAGAATATGGAGAAATGTGGAGAAAGGTGAAGAATGAGAAACTGGTTTACAGGTGCCATGTGCAGCCCAGAGGAGGGGCCAGAGGAGGAGCCAGAGGAGGGGCCAGAGGAGGAGCCAGAGGAGGAGCCAGAGGAGGAGCCAGAGGAGGGGCCAGAGGAGGGGCCAGAGGAGAAGCCAGAGGAGGGGCCAGAGGAGGAGCCAGAGGAGGGGCCAGAGGAGGAGCCAGAGGAGGAGCCAGAGGAGGGGCCAGAGGAGAAGCCAGAGGAGGGGCCAGAGGAGGAGCCAGAGGAGGGGCCAGAGGAGGAGCCAGAGGAGGAGCCAGAGGAGGAGCCAGAGGAGGAGCCAGAGGAGGAGCCAGAGGAGGGGCCAGAGGAGGAGCCAGAGGAGAGAGAGGAGGGCCAGAGGAGGGGCCAGAGGAGGAGCCAGAGGCCAGAGGAGGAGCCAGAGGAGGAGCCAGAGGAGGAGCCAGAGGAGAGCCAGAGGAGGGGCAGAGGAGGAGCCAGAGGAGGGCCAGAGGAGGCAGCCAGAGGAGGAGCCAGAGGAGGAGCCAGAGGAGGAGGAGCCAGAGGAGGGGCCAGAGGAGGAGCCAGAGGAGGAGCCAGAGGAGGGGCCAGAGGAGGGGCCAGAGGAGGGGCCAGAGGAGGAGCAAGAGGAGGGGCCAGAGGAGGGGCCAGAGGAGGGCCCAGAGGAGGGGCCAGAGGAGGAGCCAGAGGAGGAGCCAGAGGAGGGGCCAGAGGAGGAGCCAGAGGAGGAGCCAGAGGAGGGGCCAGAGGAGGAGCCAGAGGAGGAGCCAGAGGAGGGGCCAGAGGAGGAGCCAGAGGAGGAGCCAGAGGAGGGGCCAGAGGAGGAGCCAGAGGAGGAGCCAGAGGAGGAGCCAGAGGAGGAGCCAGAGGAGGGGGGAGGGATTTCTCACACTGTAGATGCGCACTAGCCTGGCTCTGCCAGACCCTTGTAGTTCCGCCATGCTCCACCAGAGGCGTTTGGCTGAACCACATGGGTCTGGTATCGAGCCCATAGCGAACGCCTTCCCCAGGTTATTTTTTAATCGACCAATCAGGATTTCCGGTGTTACGTGGGGTTTGCACTGTCTTCTCAAGCTTCTCTCATGCAGCAGCGAGGGGAATCCAAGATGGCGGACGTAAAGTCCGCGAATCTTTTTAAAAGAGTAAATACGATCGAATTAAGACACGGAGGTCACTTTTAATGCAATTTGAGGGGAGATGTTGATGGTTCTATGTTGATATATGTGTGTTTTAAGAGTCAAATGTTCCTGTAAAGTTTGGTTGAAGCACTGGTTCAGTGTTCCTGTTTACACACTATGCAGCAGGGTTGCCAGGTTTGGTGGTTCCCGCATATTTTTTTCATAGACTGTATATATTAATGGACAGAGTCACGCCTATCTCCGCCGTTCATAGGAGTTGGCCATGAAAAGTGCTTTCATGGAGCAATCCAAAATGGCCGCGAGTGGTCCCGCCCACAAGAAAATTGTGAGAAAACACATCTGCGCATGCGTCAGCCGGAGAGAGCTCCATTCATTTGAACGAGAGACTTCAAAAATTCCCTGCAAGTAAACTAGAGTGGACCAGAACACCCCCCTCAGCATTGACACACATGTGGAACGGAGCTTTGGGCCAAGAGTGACTTTTGGACCATCCTGTAAAGACGTTTTTGAGAGGTCTGCCAACGCTATATGTTAGCATTGGCTAATTCTACTTCCGGGTCCACCCCCACAGGCCCGGGGTGGTATTGCAGCATGTCAGCGCACGTCATTTTGGACACTTTTGAGCCGGGACCCGACCCCAGTGATTTTTTTCCAAGAGACTTGTAGGTATTAAATAAACAGAAAAACAGTAAACAGAATCATGATAGCCCAAGTTGATTACATTACGTTTTTAGCCAAAAAATCATTCTGAGTGTTTTTTTTTTGTGTGGGTATTCTCGCGGATTTTGGGTTGGAAAATCTTGCTGGGATTTGGCAACCTATGGGAGTCGTATGCTTCGATGTGATTGGTTGAAAGCAGACTTCATTCAAGATAACAAGTGGTCTATCCAATCACATACAAGGATTTTTTTTACAAGGCCCTCCCTTCTGAAATCCAACCACTATGGCTCAGTACCAGACTCATGTGTGAAGTGCAGCGAACTACATGGGTCTGGCCAGAGTCAGGCTAGATGTGCACGGCTTGTAGATTCAGAAATCTAGAAATAAACTAAATGAGTTTTTTTTTTTTAAAGTGCATACTTTATACTGGTCCTGGGTTCACTGGAGTTTTGGTTTAGACTTGGTCCACTTTCGTCGTGTAATGTCCAGTTTCGGTCCTGGTTTAATCCAGTTTCGGTCTTGGTTTTTTGGTTTCTGTTTACAGAGATTACTTCCTGTTTAAAGCAGAAGTCGCAGCTGAAGTTTCGACCAAAGTGAGAAAGAAACTCCCCGAAACCAGGTCAAGTCATGGGGTCAAGTACACTGTAGATATACACACACACACACACATACACACACACACGCACACACGCACGTTTTTGTTACCTGGTGGGTCCCTTTGACAGGGCCGTTCAGAATGGGACCCATAGACATAATCTTTTTTACTGGGACTACTTTAAGTAATACAAAACAGTCAATAGAAAACAAACAACTCTTTTAAAGGAATTTTATTTTAGATTTTTTTTTTCGAATTGCAGTGATTCTGATTTTGACATAGAATTTAATGCCACTCCATGTCCGATGTCTAAGGTCATCTGGTGAGGCATTAATGCAGGCCAGGCAGTGAGACTTCCCAGGGACCTTTCCAGTCTGTATGAAAGGTGTCATGGTCTTCTCCACAGCCTTCACCTCAGATGCAGACCATGGCTTTCTCTAACGTTCTAGGGAGAGAAATAAAAATATATTAGCAATATACACTCCCAGGGTTAGGACCAAGCAGCCTGGCTGTAATCCCCCACCTGGTACACTTACCAGAAGGGGCACTGCCACTACCATGGGGTGCATCTGGATGAATGGTTGAAGGTTCTCCGCTTGAAGTTTCTTTTAGCCCGTCCGTTTGTGAGAGGATCTCTACTGCTCTCCCTGTCGCACAGAAAATAAAAATACAAGTGGCCTTTAGGGGAAAAAAAATCATACATATTTTAATAATATCAAGAATTACCTTCAGGCTCAATTTGTATCTGGTCGAGGCTCTTTCCTTCGAATTCCGTCACTCTTCCCTGCTCCATGGCCATCAACACTTTGCTGATTTTGGCCAGCTCCAGTGTCCCCTCTGGTAGTCTGTAATATTGCCTGTGGATGCGAATGTCATGGCCGAGGAAGTTGGCAAGTATGTCCATCTCATTCTCTTTCATATTGAGAACTGTAGACATAGTAGCTATGTGCTTTCTAAGTTTGGTTGAGGATAGCATCTCTGGATGCACCGCACCACATTCTTTGGCTACCTGGCGTAGGGAGTCTGATCCCCTGATGTGGGTGTCTGCGCCCGGGCGGGAAAAGAAGTATGGGTTATGGTCAGAGATGGAACAGGCCCTTCTGTTCTCCACCAGCACCTCCATCGAAGCAATCATTTCAGGAGTCAAAAGAACCACCACTTTCCGACTTCTTTTCCCTTTAATTTCAATGCGTTGAAAATGCTGACACAGCTTTTTCTCAAGTTGGGACAGTCTCAGAGCAATGTCAGAATGGATCCCAGTCTTACTTCTTAAGGTAAAGGCTGTCAGTGGCATTTTTGAAACCTCACCTTCCCTTCTTCGATTGAAAATAATGACCTCACAAAGAGTCAAAACTGCCAGTTTAGACCAATGCTTAGACGTTGGCTCACTTATTAGGGTTTGCACATATTCAGGTCGACATACCTCAATATGTGCATGCATGGCTCTAACGTCCTCAGTCAGAGGGAGCAGGTCCGGAGTGTTCCACTTGGCTTGCCGGAGGGTCTGTAGGGCAGCAGAAGAAACACAGACGTCCCACCTCTTCTCAAAAAGCAGCCGGCTTCGTTGGAGGTTTTTAATAAATAGTTCATCAACACAATGCTCCATTTTTGAGTCACATTCAAGAATATCTGCTAGCTTTCTGAGGCTATGGCCGAGTTTGAGGGCCAAGGATGGAGTCTTGTATTGATTTGTTTCCTCATCATATCCAGCCACAGACCTGACTGCATCAATCACATGGTTAAAGTTGGAAGGAATAAAGAAATCCTTAATTGTTTTCAGTTTCCCTGCAGTTTTTGCTTCGTTAATTAACCTACCGACTTCTCTCATTTTCTGCCTAATGTAATCATGCTTAGTCTTATCATGCCCGTGTTTTAAGTACAGGTGCTCTCCAAGTCTCAGAATCCCCTTTTCTGCTTTGACAACACCCGTGACCTCATCCTGATGCATTGCCGAAATTAAAGACCACAGCTTTTTGCTGATGCCCTCCGGTACAGGCTGGGCTAGGGAGCAGAGGGACTGGACCCTACTTCTACCTGGTTTAGCCTGGTTTAGCCTGGGCATCTTTCTGTGAAAGCCGGCACCTGGCCACATGCCTCCACAGCGACTTTCGCTTAAGCAATGCCCCACAGTCTATACAGTGCAAAAACTCACTGGATTTAACTGGGGAATTTGGCTGTTTAGCTGGGACTAAAGTTCCAATGCCGGCCTTTAAAACCTCAAAATTGTGCTCACGGTTTCCACTATTCCTGATCAAATCAAACTGAAGTTTACGTGCTTTAGATTTCACAGGTAGAGCCAATGCTCTGGCTACGTCACTTTCATTTCCATGTTTTCTAGTCAAATGACGGGACATTTTGTGGCAGGACATTGAACAGTAGAGGCAGAAGTGTCTCTTGCTGTAAACTCGCCCCCCATTTTTCTTCTTTTGCAGCTGCATGATAACAATCTTATTTGCCTTTGGTTCGTCACTTTCCGAGTCTTGAAGAAAAGTGTTTTTTTTCTTTTTCCATACTTTTTTACAGGTTTCTTCTTGACAGTTAAATCGTCAGAATCTGAGTCGACTTCATCAATTAGGGACTCTTGACTAAGCTGCACAAACAACAAATAATTTGTAATCATTCTATATAACAATTTGAAGTCATGACTTGTAGTCAGCACTTACCAGTGGTTTGTAAGCGTGCGCTTCAGTGTGCTGCTCTGTGATTGGCTGCAGCCTAATGAACCACACACTTGCACCTTTTCTAGCCTGACACCTGATTTCCTCTGTTGTGCTGCTCCATGATTGGCTCCAGCCTCTGTTGTGCTGCTCCATGATTGGCTCCAGCCTCTGTTGTGCTGCTCCATGATTGGCTCCAGCCTCTGTTGTGCTGCTCCATGATTGGCTCCAGCCTCTGTTGTGCTGCTCCATGATTGGCTCCAGCCTGCTGGACTGAAATTGCCCCAGTGTGCCCCTCCTTGATATTCCGCAACCCACCACCAGGGTTCCGACACATAACACACTTTTTTCAGGAAAGTAAACCTCCAGGGGTCCTTTCCATATTTTTACAGATTCAGATTCAGATTCCTTCAGATTCATTTATTATGCCATTTGCAGTAATACTACATTGGAATACATTTGTATGAGTTCCCAGTGTGCACAGGACAAGTACAGACACAAAACAACATTAAAAGACAAAAATAAAACAAATTTTAAAAAACAGTAAACAAATGTCACCGTGAAGTTGACCAACTTAAAACAGATCTGTACGAGTGCAAAAAAAAAAAAAAAAAAAAAAACATTAAAGTGCTCTATTCAGACTGTTAACAGCTCGTGGAAAAAAACTATTTGCATAACGAGATGTCCTGCATCTCAGAGAACAGTATCTTCTGCCAGAGGGAAGAAGCTGGAACAAGGCTTTTCCTGGGTGGCCAGAAGAGTCATTGATAATTCTCAGGGCACTGTTAAAAAGTCTGGATTTATAAAGAACCTCCAGAACAGGAAGCTCACAGCCTACAGTCCTCTTTGCAGAGCGGAGCACCTTGTTTAAAGCTCTCTTTTCTTTATCTGTGATGTTACCGAACCACACAGACACAGAACCAACAAGTAAACTCTCAATGGTGCAGCGATAAAAGTTAAGCAGAATCTTAGAGTTAGTGGTAAATTCTCTAAGTTTCCGCAGGAAGTAGAGACGCTGACGAGCTTTCTTTACGACTCGGTCAGTGTTTTTAACCCATTTCAGGTCATTAGACAGAGTTAGACCCAGAAACTTACACTCCTCTACAATCTGCACTTGGGAGTTGTCGATTACGACAGGCAAATGAGAACTATTGCGACTGAAATCAAAGACCAGTTCACATGTTTTGGATGCGTTCAGCTGGAGGTTGTTAGCCTTACTCCACTGAACCACGTTTTGGATCTCGGCTCTATAAGACGATTCATCGTTATTACTGATGAGACCGATGATGGTGGTGTCATCAGCATATTTGATGATCAGGTTAGAGTCTGAGGAAGACACACAATCATGAGTGTACAGTGTAAAAAGTAAAGGACTCAAAATACATCCCTGAGGAGATCCAGTGCTCACAGAAACAACATCTGAAAAACAGTCATTGATTTTCACTCTCTGAGATCTGTCTGTTAAAAAGCTATAGATCCATTTACACATGGCAACACTGCATAAGGACCGTTAGAAAAGCATTACCCATTGATTATTAAGCTTGGACCAGTGGGGTCCGGTGTTCGGGCCCCACCACGTAAAACCAGTCCCCATGACGTGAGCGGAATCTCAGGTTATGGACCCCACCAGGAGTTGAAAACAAGTGCACACACACACACACACACATACACACACACACACATACGCACACATACGCACACACACACACACACACACACACACACCTGGTCGTTTAGCTGCTCCTGTCAGACCTTTCTGCAGATAGAAATACAAAAGAATCTTTCTGTCTGCATAAATATTAATAATATTTTAACATTAATATATCATTAATATTATCCTCAGGTCTCAGGTCTCCACTGGTCTTGTCTGGTCCAAGGTCTTGTCTGGACTCAGGTCTCCTCAGGTCCTCTGGTCTCAGGTCTGGTCTGGTCTCAGGTCTCTGCTGGTCTAAGGTCTCCTCAGGTCTTGTCTGGTCTAAGGTCTTGTCTGGTCTTGTCTGGTCTCAGGTCTCCACTAGTCTCCTCAGGTCTTGTCTGGTCTAAGGTCTTGTCTGGTCTCAGGTCTCCTCTGGTCTTGTCTGGTCTCAGGTCTCCACTAGTCTCCTCTGGTCTTGTCTGGTCTAAAGTCTTGTCTGGTCCCAGGTCTCCACTGGTCTTGTCTGGTCTCAGGTCTCCTCTGGTCTTGTCTGGTCCCAGGTCTCCTCAGGTCTCAGGTCTATGAAAAAGAGACAAGCTGAGATTTGCATAATGTTTGGTTTATTCACATTTCCAGGGTCGGATTGGAGGGAAGCACAGTCAGAACCATCAGTGTTTTACTAAGAGGCACTTTTCACTTTCACACACCAGCATCAGGACCAGGAGGCCAGAGGTTAAAGCTCAGAGACGTAACTTCAGACCCACACCAGAGTCAGAGACAGATCAGACTCCATCTCATTAGTGGTTTAGAAGTAGGGAGCGAGACCAGGAAGAGACCAGAGAGAGAGACCAGGAAGAGACCAGAGAGAGAGACCAGGGGTAGACCAGAGAGAGTAACCAAAGAGAGGCCAAAGACAAACCAAAGAGAAACCAGAGAAAGACAAATTGATGTATTGTTTGACACAGTTCCATTGTTGTGGTCTGAAAGTTACATACCTCAGCTATAACCTGTTTTGTTTTATCAGAAATGCCTCAAAAACTAAAATGATTATAAAACGACATTTTAAACTGAGACGGTTCAGCGTTGGGTGAGTTTTAAAAACACAATTATCACACATTACTTTATACACTACTTAGTTACTGCATCATAAAAGTACGTTGCCGTGGTTACCGCTACAGCGCATGTGTTTGTATTGTGTGAGAGCGCCCCCATGTGAACAGATGTGAAACCGAAAATGACATTAGAAAAAAAATATCCGTCTGTGCGGTTTGCTAGCTGCTTCCGAAAGCTCGACATGTGCCTCCTCCTCCGTGGCTGGGATACAAGGAGGAGCTCGGACTAGAGTCGCTACCTCTCCCCTGGATAAAGAGGATGTGTGGAAGGTACAAACATGGCTTTTATTCTGGTTCACATAAGATTAAAACAATATTATCAAAGTTCACATTAAGAATTATAAATATCTCAACACGAGGCAGGAAGACGCTAAAACACCTGAAGGTGGATATTACAGAGACCAGAGAGAGACCAGAGAGAGACCAGAGAGAGACCAGAGACCAGAGAGAGACCAGAGAGAGAGACCAGAGAGAGACCAGAGAGGGACCAGAGAGAGACCAGAGAGAGACCAGAGAGAGACCAGAGACCAGAGAGAGACCAGAGAGAGACCAGAGAGAGACCAGAGAGAGACCAGAGAGAGACCAGAGAGAGAGACCAGAGAGAGACCAGAGAGGGACCAGAGAGAGACCAGAGAGAGACCAGAGAGAGACCAGAGACCAGAGAGAGACCAGAGAGAGAGACCAGAGAGAGACCAGAGAGGGACCAGAGAGAGACCAGAGAGAGACCGGAGAGGGACCAGAGAGGGACCAGAGAGAGACCAGAGAGGGACCAGAGAGGGACCAGAGAGAGACCAGAGAGGGACCAGAGAGAGACCAGAGAGGGACCAGAGAGAGACCAGAGAGAGACCAGAGAGAGACCAGAGAGAGACTAGAGAGGGACCAGAGAGGGACCAGAGAGAGACCAGAGAGAGACCAGAGAGAGAGACCAGAGAGAGACCAGAGAGAGACCAGAGACCAGAGAGAGACCAGAGAGAGAGACCAGAGAGAGACCAGAGAGAGACCAGAGAGAGACCAGAGAGAGACCAGAGAGAGACCAGAGACCAGAGAGAGACCAGAGAGAGACCAGAGAGAGAGAGAGACCAGAGACCAGAGAGAGACCAGAGACCAGAGAGAGACCAGAGAGAGAGACCAGAGAGAGACCAGAGAGGGACCAGAGAGAGACCAGAGAGAGACCGGAGAGGGACCAGAGAGGGACCAGAGAGGGACCAGAGAGAGACCAGAGAGGGACCAGAGAGAGACCAGAGAGAGACCAGAGAGAGACCAGAGAGAGACTAGAGAGGGACCAGAGAGAGACCAGAGAGAGACTAGAGAGGGACCAGAGAGGGACCAGAGAGAGACCAGAGAGAGACCAGAGAGGGACCAGAGAGAGACCAGAGAGAGACCAGAGAGAGACCAGAGAGAGACCAATTCTCATAACAGGAAAAGAGGTTATAAATCCTGAAGTTGTAATACAAGCCTTTATACGGCGGTTACATCTGTTTATATATTATTTTTTGATTATTGTTGCTGCTTCTGTCGAAACCATGAAGCGTCTGTTTGAAATCACAAACTACAAAGTTCAAGTCAGAGGAATATTGCTGAAAAACCACATTTCTTTTTCCCTGATGGAGGTTCTGCTGAGGGGGAGGTTCTGCTGAGGGGGAGGTTCTGCTGAGGGGGAGGTTCTGCTGAGGGAGAGGTTCTGCTGAGGGGGAGGTTCTGCTGAGGGGGAGGTTCTGCTGAGGGGGAGGTTCTGCTGCGGCTCCAGTTTAAGGCTGTTGTGTTTCCGAAGCCGAGAGACCGATGACCGAGTGTGTCAAATCCAAACGTCCACAATCCTCTTCACTATATCAGAGCCCTGTGGTACCCCCGTTTGTACAGAGAGACCAGAGGGAGAGACCAGAGGGAGAGACCAGAGGGAGAGACCAGAGGGAGAGACCAGAGGGAGAGACCAGAGGGAGAGGGAGAGACCAGAGGGAGAGAGAGAGACCAGAGGGAGAGAGAGAGACCAGAGGGAGAGACCAGGAGAGAGAAAATTACTTGTCCAGCCCGGTCTCTTCTCTTTCCTCCCTTCTCCTCCTCCCCCTCTCTCTCTCCCCTCCCCTCTCCACCCTCCTCACTCCTCCAGCTCCTCTCTCCTATGATGTTCTGGGGTAGGGTTGGGAGCCCTGTACCCACTGCCCTCCCCCTCCTCCCCCTCCTCCCCCCTCTCCCCCCTGGGTTTCCCCCAGATGAAGGCGTGTGGGGGGGTGTAGTGTCTCTGTGCGTATCTGAGGAGGCGGCGGCGGGAGGAGCGCAGTCTGACAGTGAACACAAAGTACTCCAGAGCGCTGTGACGCATGTTGACCAGTGTGCGGCGCTCTAGCGCCTCCTGCAGGAGGAGGCGCACCAGCGGAGCCTTGAAGCCCTCGTACCCCAGCTCCCCCAGAGACTTCAGGATCCGAGTGATGCGCAGGTAATTGTGCTGAGACCTGGGGGAGAGAGGGGGAGAGAGGGGGAGAGAGGGTGAGACCTGAGACCAGAGACCAGAGACCAGACCAGAGACCTGGGGGAGAGAGGGTGAGACCAGAGACCAGACCAGAGACCTGGGGGAGAGAAGAGGAGAGAGAGCAAAGAGATCTGAAAGACCATAGAGAGAGACCGGAGAGAGTTCATCATTAAGTCTGTTTCCTTCTTTTTAATTGAGTTCTGGGCTCAGAGTCGTTACGGCTGCGTTACTATGGAAACACAACAGGAAGTCGCAGTAAACGAGCCGTGACCTCAAAGTACAGTGCACTATCACAGAGACTTCTCAGAGACCTGGAGATGTGTTTCACCCCCTTCTGTCTCAATGCTCTGTCTTCAAACTCTGAGACAACAGTGCTGTCCCCACTGTGGGGCCAATAAACTGATCCTCAAGTCATAGACTCTGAGAGATTAGAGCTCAGACGTTTGACTGGACGTTTATGGTGTTTATGGTGTTTATGACGTCAAACTGTACCATTACTAAGCAGAGTATAGTTCCCCTTTGGTCTCTCTCTGGTCTCTCTCTCTGGTCTCTCTCTCTGGTCTCTCTCTGGTCTCTCTCTCTGGCCTCTCTCTCTGGTCTCTCTCTCTGGCCTCTCTCTCTGGTCTCTCTCTCTGGTCTCTCTCTCTGGTCTCTCTCTCTCTGGCCTCTCTCTCTGCCTCTCTCTCTGCCTCTCTCTGGTCTCTCTCTCTGGTCTCTCTCTCTGGCCTCTCTCTCTGGCCTCTCTCTCTGGCCTCTCTCTCTGGCCTCTCTCTCTGGTCTCTCTCTCTGGTCTCTCTCTCTGGCCTCTCTCTCTGGTCTCTCTCTCTGGCCTCTCTCTCTGGTCTCTCTCTCTGGTCTCTCTCTCTGGTCTCTCTCTCTGGCCTCTCTCTCTGGCCTCTCTCTCTGGCCTCTCTCTCTGGTCTCTCTCTCTGGTCTCTCTCTCTCTGGCCTCTCTCTCTGCCTCTCTCTCTGGTCTCTCTCTCTGGTCTCTCTCTCTGGTCTCTCTCTCTGGTCTCTCTCTCTCTGGTCTCTCTCTCTCTGGCCTCTCTCTCTGCCTCTCTCTCTGCCTCTCTCTCTGGTCTCTCTCTCTGGTCTCTCTCTCTGGTCTCTCTCTCTGGCCTCTCTCTCTGGTCTCTCTCTCTGGTCTCTCTCTCTCTGGTCTCTCTCTCTCTGGTCTCTCTCTCTGGTCTCTCTCTCTGGTCTCTCTCTCTCTGGCCTCTCTCTCTGCCTCTCTCTCTGCCTCTCTCTCTGCCTCTCTCTCTGGCCTCTCTCTCTGGTCTCTCTCTCTGGTCTCTCTCTGGTCTCTCTCTGGTCTCTCTCTCTGGTCTCTCTCTCTGGTCTCTCTCTCTGGTCTCTCTCTGCCTCTCTCTCTGGCATCTCTCTCTGGTCTCTCTCTGGTCTCTCTCTCTGGTCTCTCTCTCTGGCCTCTCTCTCTGGTCTCTCTCTCTGGTCTCTCTCTCTCTGGCCTCTCTCTCTGGCCTCTCTCTCTGGTCTCTCTCTCTGGTCTCTCTCTCTGGTCTCTCTCTCTGGTCTCTCTCTCTGGTCTCTCTCTCTGGTCTCTCTCTCTCTGGCCTCTCTCTCTGGCCTCTCTCTCTGGCCTCTCTCTGGTCTCTCTCTCTGGTCTCTCTCTCTGGCCTCTCTCTGGTCTCTCTCTCTGGTCTCTCTCTCTGGTCTCTCTCTCTGGTCTCTCTCTCTGGTCTCTCTCTCTGGTCTCTCTCTCTGGTCTCTCTCTCTCTGGCCTCTCTCTCTGCCTCTCTCTCTGCCTCTCTCTCTGGCCTCTCTCTCTGGTCTCTCTCTATGGGTTCTCTCTCTGGTCTCTCTCTCTGGTCTCTCTCTCTGGCCTCTCTCTCTGGTCTCTCTCTCTGGTCTCTCTCTCTCTGGCCTCTCTCTCTGCCTCTCTCTCTGCCTCTCTCTCTGCCTCTCTCTCTGGCCTCTCTCTCTGGTCTCTCTCTCTCTGGTCTCTCTCTCTGGTCTCTCTCTCTGGTCTCTCTCTCTGATCTCTCTCTGGTCTCTCTCTGGTCTCTCTCTCTGGTCTCTCTCTCTGGTCTCTCTCTCTGGTCTCTCTCTGCCTCTCTCTCTGGTCTCTCTCTCTGGTCTCTCTCTCTGGCCTCTCTCTCTGGCCTCTCTCTCTGGCCTCTCTCTCTGGTCTCTCTCTGGTCTCTCTCTCTGGTCTCTCTCTCTGGCATCTCTCTCTGGTCTCTCTCTGGTCTCTCTCTCTGGTCTCTCTCTCTCTGGCCTCTCTCTCTGGCCTCTCTCTCTGGCCTCTCTCTCTGGTCTCTCTCTGGTCTCTCTCTCTGGTCTCTCTCTCTGGTCTCTCTCTCTGGTCTCTCTCTCTCTGGCCTCTCTCTCTGGCCTCTCTGGTCTCTCTCTCTGGTCTCTCTCTCTGGCCTCTCTCTCTGGTCTCTCTCTGGTCTCTCTCTGGTCTCTCTCTGGCCTCTCTCTCTGGTCTCTCTCTCTGGCCTCTCTCTCTGGCCTCTCTCTCTGGTCTCTCTCTCTGGTCTCTCTCTCTGGTCTCTCTCTCTGGTCTCTCTCTCTGGTCTCTCTCTCTGGTCTCTCTCTCTCTGGCCTCTCTCTCTGGCCTCTCTCTCTGGCCTCTCTCTCTGGCCTCTCTCTGGTCTCTCTCTCTGGTCTCTCTCTCTGGTCTCTCTCTCTGGTCTCTCTCTGGTCTCTCTCTCTGGTCTCTCTCTCTGGTCTCTCTCTCTGGTCCCTCTCTCTGGTCTCTCTCTGGTCTCTCTCTCTGGTCTCTCTCTCTGGTCTCTCTCTCTGGTCTCTCTCTGGTCTCTCTCTCTGGTCTCTCTCTCTGGTCTCTCTCTGGTCTCTCTCTCTGGTCTCTCTCTCTGGTCTCTCTCTCTGGTCTCTCTCTCTGGTCTCTCTCTCTGGTCCCTCTCTCTGGTCTCTCTCTCTGGTCTCTCTCTCTGGTCCCTCTCTCTGGTCTCTCTCTGGTCTCTCTCTCTGGTCTCTCTCTCTGGTCTCTCTCTGGTCTCTCTCTCTGGTCTCTCTCTGGTCTCTCTCTCTGACATTATGTGGCACTCACTCGTTCAGGTGGAGGAACCTTTGCTCCCAGTTCGCGGCTCGAGTCACGTTTCCGTTTTTATCCAATAGTTTGACGCCGTAGAAGTCGAGCATCAGAGAATACGCCGCCAGGAAGCGGCGCTTGGCCTCACGAGTGCTTTGGAATTCCTGCAGGAAAGACAAAAAGTGAGGGAGCGAAACAGGAAGTGTTGGAGAGAAACAGGAAGTGATGGAGAGAAACAGGAAATGATGGAGAGAATCAGGAAATGATGGAGAGAAACAGGAAGTGATGGAGAGAAACAGGAAGTGTTGGAGAGAAACAGGAAGTCATGGAGAGAAGCAGGAAATGATGGAGAGAAACAGGAAGTGATGGAGAGAAGCAGGAAATGATGGAGAGAAACAGGAAGTGATGGGGAGAAGCAGGAAATAATGGAGAGAAACAGGAAGTGATGGAGAGAAGCAGGAAATGGAGAGAAACAGGAAGTGATGGAGAGAAGCAGGAAATGATGGAGAGAAACAGGAAGTGATGGAGAGAAACAGGAAGTGATAGAGAGAAACAGGAAGTGATGGAGAGAAGCAAGAAATGGAGAAAAACAGGAAGTGATGGAGAGAAGCAGGAAATGATGGAGAGAAACAGGAAGTGATGGAGAGAAACAGGAAGTGAAGGAGAAAAACAGGAAATGATGGAGAAAAACAGGAAGTGATGGAGAAAAACAGGAAGTGATGGAGAGAAACAGGAAGTGATGGAGAAAAACAGGAAGTGATGGAAAGAAACAGGAAGTGAGGGAGAGAAACAGTTGGAGAGAAAGAACACTGATGAAGAATGGGTTCATCCAGGTCTCTGGTTCCTAAAACAGTTGCTTCTATCACTTGTTATGAAACACACGATTTGGACCTTGGCCCTCGTCCTGGGATTGGTCTTGGTCCTGGTCTCAGTTAGTTTTGGACCCCTGTTCTAGTCTTGGCCTTGTCTCTTCCCTGGACTTAGTCTTTCTCTGATCCTAGTCTCGGCCTCGGCCCTGGCCTCAGTCTTGGTCTTGGTCCTGATCTAGTTTTAACATCATGTATTTCTGTCTGATCTTTAGTTTTTTCAGACAGAAAAGTGTAAAAGAGGAGACCACCCTCACTCGGCCAATCAGCTCTGGGCCCAAAGAGTCAAAAGGTGACTATGAGGGTTTTATGAGGCTAAAGTCAGGTATCAGGCTTTATAGTTTGAGTGACTGATTCTCACTTTGATCTCGTCCTGAGTGAGTTCGTGAGCGTAGAAGTTCAGCCCTTGTTCTCGCAGCGGAAACAACCTGAAAACAAAAATATGACGATAAACATGACTGATGCTCAATGCTAACCCCCTAGCTCAATGCTAACTCGCTATCTCAATGCTAACCCGGTAGCTCAATGCTAACCCGCTAGCTCAATGCTAACTCAAAAGTGGCAGTGGCAAGTAACTCTGTGTGTGTGTGTGTGTGTGCGTATGTGCATGTGTGTGTGCATGTGTGTGTGTGTCTCACCACTGGATGTACGTGTGGTTGTGTTCCAGTTTGTCGTAGTCTCCTCTCCACTTTGTCAGAATCTCCTCGATGTAGATTCCTAAAACAGCAGAGACGCATTCAACAGAGTGGTCTGAGAGGGGGGTCTAAACTACAGCTCTGATTATGAGGAGGAACAATCCCCAGAGAGATGCCAGAGAGAGAGAGATCAGAGAGAGAGACCAGAGAGAAAGAGACCAGTGAGAGACTAGAGAGAAACCATAGAACACCTAGTGAGAGACCAGAGCAAGACTGGAAAAAGTCCAGGTCTGGTCTGGTCTTGGTCTGGTCCTAGTCCAGGTCTTTTTTCATCTCCTGCTCCTCGTTCCTGTGGATGCTTATGAAATATGAATAAACTATAAATGTTTTAAACTGAGATAAATAAAAGAGTTTCTCACCGTCAGGAACCAGCGGGATCTTGTTCAGATAGAAACGCAAGTTACGGTATTCGTTTGGCTGTCTTGACTTACGGTAACTCTGTAAAGAGACCAGAAAGAGACCAGTGAGAGACCAGAAAGAGGGACCATAGAGAGACCAGAGAGAGTTTACAGAGAGAGACCAGAGAGAGACCAGAGAGAGACCAGAGAGAGACCAGAGACAGACCAGGGAGAGAGACCAGAGAGAGACCAGGGAGAGAGACCAGAGAGAGACTAGAGAGAGACCAGAGAGAGAGACCAGAGAGAGACCAGAAACCAGAAAGACCAGAGAAAGAAAGAAAATAGAGAATCATAGTAATGCATTGGTTTTCAACACTTTTCTGGACGCTCCAAACACAGTGGTGATAAACTACTGTAGCCACAGCTGCCCTGGTCACACAGAAGCGAGGCAACCAGTCTGTGCCATCAGCCCCTCCCACACACACTCCAGACTTATTCTAATGTGGGGGAAGCTTCTATTGTTGTTATTGACCCAAGCTTTAAATTTGAACTGAAATGAGCTGGTACCTGGTAACTGCTGTGTCTGTACTTGTACAGGTCTCGAGCTGCGTAGAAACTTCTCTTCACCTTCGGCACCGACTCTGGAGAATCACACACCTGCAAAACACACCAGAGAGACCAGAGAGAGGCCAGAGAGAGACCAGAGAGAGACCAGAGAGAGACCAGAGAGAGACCAGAGAGAGACCAGCGAGAGACCAGAGAGAGACCAGAGAGAGACCAGAGAGAGACCAGAGAGAGACCAGAGAGAGACCAGAGAGAGACCAGAGAGAGACCAGAGAGAGACCAGCGAGAGACCAGAGAGAGACCAGAGAGAGACCAGAGAGAGACCAGAGAGAGACCAGAGAGAGACCAGAGAGAGACCAGAGACAGAGACCAGAGACAGAGACCAGAGAGAGACCAGAGAGAGACCAGAGAGAAAGACCAGAGAGAGAGACCAGAGAGAGACCAGAGAGAGACACCAGAGAGAGAGATCAGAGAGAGACCAGAGACAGAGACAGAGACCAGAGAGAGAGACCAGAGAGAGACCAGTGGGAGACCAGAGAGAGACCAGTTGGAGACCAGAGAGAGAGATCAGAGAGAGAGATCAGAGAGAGACCAGAGAGAGAGATCAGAGAGAGACCAGAGAGAGACCAGTGGGAGACCAGAGAGAGACCAGTTGGAGACCAGAGAGAGACCAGAGAGAGAGACCAGAGAGAGTTTAAATGTGTTCTCGTAAACGTTTTATCTGGACATAAACAGTAACATTTGTCACAGTGCTGTGGCTCTTTCTGCGCCTCTGGTACATTTGTGCTGATGGTATCACAAACACTATCATTACACTGTTATTATGACAATTCATTACCCGCGCTATCACCACGCTCTGGTTCCCCGGGCTTTGACCAGAGAGAGAGACCAGAGATAAACCAGAGAGAGAGACCAGAGAGAGAGAGAGACCAGAGATAAACCAGAGAGAGAGACCAGAGAGAGACCAGAGAGAGACCAGAGAGAGAGAGAGACCAGAGATAAACCAGAGAGAGAGACCAGAGAGAGACCAGAGAGAGACCAGAGAGAGACCAGAGAGAGAGAGACCAGGGAGAGAGAGACCAGAGAGAGGGATCAGAGAGAGACCAGAGAGAGGGACCAGAGAGAGACCAGAGAGAGACCAGAGAGAGAGATCAGAGAGGGACCAGAGAGAGACCAGAGAGAGACCAGAGAGAGAGCCCAGAAAGAGAGACTATTATCCTGACATTATTCCAGTAACTGCCCCCTTCGTTCTCACCTCGCCCTGGTCCCCCGGGTCTCGCCTCTCCTCCCCGGGGCTTTCTCCTCTTTGCACGCCGCCTCCATCACTCTCTTCTTCGGAGTCAGAGCACCAGGTGGAGTCGCAGTCCTCCACGGTGCTCGGTTCTCGGATGCGCAGCGCGGAGACCAGGGACCCCATGGAGCTTCTCCTTCCACCTGCAGCGCTACATGCCCGACTCGGTCACAGCATCACCGGTGTGCATTTAAGAGGAACCAGGAGGGACCAGAGGAACCAGAAGGGACCGGGGTTTTCCCACTGACTACACCGTCAATAGAGCACGGACTTTCCGCGTCCAGGAGCGACAGAGGCGGTGACGCGCTGGAGGATGGCCTTAAAGAGACAGCGCCAGTGTTTAGAGCCAGTTGTTTTATAAGTATTTAGTTACAGAATATTGAATGCATGTGTAAAGTCTTTTTGGTCTCACGCTTTTATTTATTCATTTAATTAGCTATAAATCATGTGCCTGCATATGAGTCCTTACTAAAGTCTAAATATAATAATAATAATAATAATAATAATCTGTTTCTCTTTCTGTTCTCCCTCTGGTGTCTCTCTTTTTCTGATCTCTCTCTCTGGTCTCTATTTCTCCTCTCTCTATGGTCTCTCTCCTCTCTTTCTCTGGTCTCTCTCTTTCTCCTCTCTCTCTGGTCTCTCCCATGGTCTCTCTAGTCTCCTCTCTCTGGCCTCTTTCTCTGTGTTCTTATGTTTTACCCTGTTGTTTGAAATAATAATGGATTGAAACATTTCTGTCATATTTTCTGAAACCACCGACTCACGTCTCAAGAGATAGAGAGATAGAAAGATCGATAGAAAGAGAGATAGAGAGAGAGAGAGAGAGAGAGAGCATTCCTTTTTGGGAGAGAAATATTCTGAAATCCTCTTCAGTTTTACCAGAATAGATTGGTATTTAAAGACCTAAAGCAACTGTTTTTGGAATAATTCCTCCCACAGTGAGGAAATGTCAATGTTACATCACAAGTTATACAAAACAGTAGGAATGAGGAGCACGCAGCACAAGATAAGTGAATATTAATAATTATAGCACTCTAAAAATCTCTATCTGGCAACCTAATAAAGAAGCGAGTAGAACACGGCATCCTCTAGTGCAAGAAAAATAAACTTGTACACATCTGCAGATAAATATAATACACTGTTTTAGCTACTTATTTCTCACAATGATTTTCTCCCGGTGATAAAACATGTATCAACAACCAGCGCCTTTCAAAACACATGCTCCAGGTGAGGCTCGAACTCACAACCTCGGCATCGCTTCGCCTCGCACTGTCATATAAGTACCGCGCGCTAACCGATTGCGCCACTGGAGCTCACTGTGTCCGCCCCGAAAAAGCCTTTAAGAACGTGAGGTCATCGGGGATACGCCATATATGCAGAAATATGAGGACATAAACAGTAATTATTATATTTATATATGTTCTAACACACTGGGGAAGGCGTTAAGAGCGAGAGAGACGCGATAGATGTGAGATTGTTGATTTATAGAAGCAAGAGGCAGCGATAGACACGGGGTTTAGTTTTGTTTAGTTTCGTGGTTTTAGAGACTGGAGAATGACCAGGGAGAGTCCACAGAGAGAGAGGAGAGAGAGAAGAGAGAGACCAGAGAGAGTCCAGAGAGAGTCCAGAGAGAGACTAGAGAGAGACCAGAGAGAGACCAGAGAGAGACCAGAGAGAGACCAGGGAGAGTCCACAGAGAGAGAGGAGAGAGAGAAGAGAGAGACCAGAGAGAGTCCAGAGAGAGTCCAGAGAGAGACTAGAGAGAGACCAGAGAGAGACCAGAGAGAGACCAGAGAGAGACCAGGGAGAGTCCACAGAGAGAGAGGAGAGAGAGACCAGAGAGAGTCCAGAGAGAGACCAGAGAGAGTCCAGAGAGAGACTAGAGAGAGTCCAGAGAGAGTCCAGAGAGAGACCACAGAGAGAGAGGAGAGAGAGACCAGAGAGAGTCTAGAGGAAGACCAGAGAGAGAGACCAGAGAGAGTCTAGAGGAAGACCAGAGAGAGAGACCAGAGAGAGACCAGAGAGAGTCCAGAGAGAGAGAGAGACCAGAGAGAGTCCAGAGAGAGACTAGAGAGAGTCCAGAGAGAGTCCAGAGAGAGACCAGAGAGAGTCCAGAGAGAGACCAGAGAGAGACCAGAGAGAGTCCAGAGAGAGAGAAGAGAGACCAGAGAGAGACCAGAGAGAGTCCAGAGAGAGAGAAGAGAGACCAGAGAGAGACCAGAGAGAGACCAGAGAGAGACCAGAGAGTCCACAGAGAGACCAGAGAGAGTCCAGAGAGAGACCAGAGAGAGACCAGAGAGAGTCCACAGAGAGACCAGAGAGAGTCCAGAGAGAGACCAGAGAGAGACCAGAGAGAGACCAGTGAGAGACCAGAGAGAGACCAGAGAGAGTCCAGAGAGAGACCAGAGAGAGAGAAGAGAGACCAGAGAGAGTCCACAGAGAGACCAGAGAGAGTCCACAGAGAGACCAGAGAGAGACCAGAGAGAGAGAAGAGAGACCAGAGAGAGTCCACAGAGAGACCAGAGAGAGTCCACAGAGAGTCCAGAGAGAGACCAGAGAGAGACCAGAGAGAGTCCACAGAGAGACCAGAGAGAGTCCACAGAGAGTCCAGAGAGAGTCCACAGAGAGACCAGAGAGAGTCCACAGAGAGTCCAGAGAGAGACCAGAGAGAGACCACAGAGAGACCAGAGAGAGACCAGAGAGAGTCCAGAGAGAGACCAGAGAGAGTCCACAGAGAGTCCAGAGAGAGACCAGAGAGAGACCAGAGAGAGACCAGAGAGAGTCCAGAGAGAGTCCAGAGAGAGACCAGAGAGACACAGCACATACATGTGTACAGGAGTAGAGAGAAATAACAGCGACAATAAGTCGTAATTACCTTAAAACACAAGGAGAAAGCCTCTGAGAGCGAGAGAGTGTGAGGTGAACGGGATCCAAGCAGAAAATGTGAGAAAAGCGAAAGTATCACAGGTGAAGCCTCTTCAGACAGATGAGTTTCTGTTGAATGTAGAGCAATAAAGAGGTTAAAATGTTGGAAAATAATGATTTTTAACACATCAAAAACAAGCCAGTAACTTCTGGTAAATGTACTTTCACCAGAAGTGACTGGCTTGTTTTTTGTTTATTAACAAACAGGTAAGGGAAGTTTATTTGTATAACACAGTCCAAACACATGGAAACTCAAAGTGCTGAAAAAAACAAGATATAATCAATAATTAGTGAAGATACTATACTTCAGTTATTTTTAACCTGAATTGAAGAAGCCATTTTCAGAAAGACTGTTCCAGATCTTAGCTGCATAACTCCCCATGTTGAGTCCTAAAAGTTCTAAAACACCTTATTACTACCAGTTTCATTCATATGGTGTCATTATGCAAAAAAATAAAATATTTCTGGTCTCTCTCTGGCCCCTATAATAATTGTATCTTTGCTAACGTGGCTAGCTAACCAGTTTGTTTTTCTATAATATTTTCTGCATAAACGAAACTTATGGAGCGAAACTTTCAAATGCTAAGATTACAGCTTGTTTCACTAATTATAAAGATTATAATTATTATAATTGGACTGTGTGTTCCTGACTACATTAAAACCATGTAAATCGAGTCAATAAATAATTAAAAAACATGTGTAAGGTTTATATCGGAACCTTTGCGTTGCTTCTGTGTTCCCACCCGGACCTCGCTAAGAAGCTCACACATCGCTGGATTCTGCTGCGAGCGCGAAATTAAAGAGAAAAATTGGCGAAAATTCAGAATAACAGCGCAATATTTCAATGGACAACGACATAATAGTGTCTCTGGAAGACCTGGGGTGAGTGTGGCCGGGATGGGGTGGCGAGGGGAGCCCCAAACAAGGCCAGGAGAGCGGCTAAAGTCCAAATGTGGAGCCGCTGTAGAGACAGGGCGACGTGGAGCAGAGACACCGGGTTATTTTAGGAAGATCCCCGGGTAGAGTGAGTCTGCTTTATCACAGCGGAGCCCGGGTTCAAAGGGGGGCTTAGGCTTTAGGGGGGTTTAATAATAAAAGGATGCCATCTAAATGCGAAATGACTGCATCTTGTTCCAAAGAGCGATACACATTTAAAACCAGGGAGAGAGAGAAGCCAGAGAATGTCTCTCTCTCAGGCCTCCCTCTCTGGACCGGCCTCCTTCTAGTGTCCCGAGTCAGAACATGGTGAGTGAGCAGTTCAGAGTTTCAGATTCATGCTGCTAAAATCTGGAACAATCTTCCTGAAAATTTGAGACAAGCTTATCGCTGACAACGTTTAAGTCCATTTTTTAAAACAGTTCTGTTTAGCTGTACAAACAACTGAGGGATTTGATATGTAAATCTTTCTTTTTAATGTTCTGAAGAAAGTCTGGGATCGTGTCTTTAATTCAGACAGAAGACGTGTTTTATTGTTGATGGTAGACAGCACGAACAAAGGTGTTATTATACAGCATGGAGGAATGGAGACCGTCCAATCAGCTCTCGCCACAGTGCCAGTGGCTTCAACCTTGATATAACCAAAACATGCAGTGGAGAAAATTACTGCCCTGTGCATATTATTAGAAAGATGAGTTAGAACTTTAATCACAGTTGATTCAAAGTGTCATGAATCATCCAAAATACTGTATTTATTATTATTTCATTTTAATGCCTTGTGTGGTTGTGTTATTTTCAGCACTTTGAGTTGCCTTGTGTATGAATTGTGCTATACAAACTTGCCTTGCCTCTGATCTTTCTCTCTCTGGTCTCTCTCTGCTCTTGAGACTGATTTGCCTTCCTGTTGGCAGATACCAGGGCCCTCTCCTGGAGGATGGCTCTCTGGATGCAGCTGCCTCTCATGGAGCTGCTTCCCCTGAGTTCACCAAACTGTGTGCGTGGCTCGTGGCAGAGTTGAGACTCTACTGCAGACTGGAGGAGAACGTCCACGCCACCAACTGTGAGTGACACCTTGGCGCCATGGAAAGAGCTCTGGTGTGTGCTGGTGCACACTGGGGTCTCTCTCTCTGGTCTCTCTCTGGTCTCTCTCTGGTCTCTCTCTGGTCTCTCTCTCTGGTCTCTCTCTCTGGTCTCGCTCACTTGTCTCTCTGGTGTCTCTGGTCTTTCTCTGGTCTCTCTCTTGTCTCTCTCTGGTTTCTCTTGTGTTTCTCTCTCAGGTCTCTCTCTGCTCTCTCTCTCTTGTGTCTGTCTGGACTCTCTCTTTCAGTTGTATTCACCCTGTCCCTCCTGTCCCACAGGCCCCAGTGAGGCAGAAAGCTTCCAGCTGGAGATGAGTGGGCTTCTGTCGGAGCTGAACTGTCCCTATCCCGTCCTTACGTCCGGAAACGTCACACAAAGATTTCAGATCAAGAACCACTGTCTGCTGCTACTCTGTGAGTCAATACGCTGATGTTTAGACCTAACTCAGGCCGTATTAAAATCATTCAATTTATTCTTGTATCGCCCTAAAGCACAACAGTAGTTATCTCTGAGTACTTTAGAGCTGTCGATTCGCCAACACAGATCAGAGAATCAAATAGTTCAATCACAGGAAATGCAACGATAATAAATACATAGATCCATTGGTTCATTAGGGGCAGAGACCAATGTCCATAAATGATAAATGTTGAATCAGCTTTACTGTCCTTTGACTCTCCTGCATCAATAAGGAACGACTCTAAAAACCCAGTTGGAGAAAAGTGAGAAACCTTGGGGAGGCCTCAAGCCTCTTTGGCAGCCTAATGGAATACTGTATGTCTCTCTCTATCTTTCTCTTTGGCCTTGGTCTCTCTCAGTCTCTTTTTCTCTCTCTCTCTGGTCTCTTTTTCTCTCTCTTTCTCTGATGTTTCTCTCTCTCCAGCGTTCCTGGTGTCAGAGCTGGAGGCCTCCCGGATGTCTCTCCTGGTCTCCCCCCAGAGCAGATCCACAGACGGGGGAGCAGACATCAGTCCAGCCTTCTCTGAGCTAAAGGGCGTGTGTGTGTCTCTGGGGATGTCCAAACCTCCATCCAACATCACCATGTTCCAGTTCTTCACCGGCATCGAGAAGAAGGTACCAGCCCAGTTTTATTTACTGCTGTCTCTCGGGTCTGTCTCTCGGGTCTGTCTCTCGGGTCTGTCTCTCGGGTCTGTCTCTCGGGTCTGTCTCTCGGGTCTGTCTCTCGGGTCTGTCTCTCGGGTCTGTCTCTCGGGTCTGTCTCTCGGGTCTGTCTCGCGGGTCTGTCTCTCGGGTCTGCCTCTCGGGTCTGTCTCTCGGGTCTGTCTCTCGGGTCTGTCTGTCTGCCTCTCGGGTCTGTCTCTCGGGTCTGTCTCTCGGGTCTGTCTGTCTGCCTCTCGGGTCTGCCTCTCGGGTCTGTCTGTCTGCCTCTCGGGTCTGTCTCTCGGGTCTGTCTCTCGGGTCTGTCTGTCTGTCTCTCGGGTCTGTCTCTCGGGTCTGTCTCTCGGGTCTGTCTCTCGGGTCTGTCTCTCGGGTCTGTCTCTCGGGTCTGTCTCTCGGGTCTGTCTCTCGGGTCTGTCTCTCGGGTCTGTCTCTCGGGTCTGTCTCTCGGGTCTGTCTCTCGGGTCTGTCTCTCGGGTCTGCCTCTCGGGTCTGCCTCTCGGGTCTGTCTCTCGGGTCTGCCTCTCGGGTCTGTCTCTCGGGTCTGTCTCTCGGGTCTGCCTCTCGGGTCTGCCTCTCGGGTCTGTCTCTCGGGTCTGCCTCTCGGGTCTGTCTCTCGGGTCTGTCTCTCGGGTCTGTCTCTCGGGTCTGTCTCTCGGTCTGTCTCTCGGGTCTGTCTCTCGGGTCTGCCTCTCGGGTCTGTCTCTCGGGTCTGTCTCTCGGGTCTGTCTCTCGGGTCTGTCTCTCGGGTCTGTCTCTCGGGTCTGTCTCTCGGGTCTGTCTCTCGGGTCTGTCTCTCGGGTCTGTCTCTCGGGTCTGTCTCTCGGGTCTGTCTCTCGGGTCTGTCTCTCGGGTCTGCCTCTCGGGTCTGTCTCTCGGGTCTGCCTCTCGGGTCTGCCTCTCGGGTCTGCCTCTCGGGTCTGTCTCTCGGGTCTGTCTCTCGGGTCTGTCTCTCGGGTCTGCCTCTCGGGTCTGTCTCTCGGGTCTGTCTCTCGGGTCTGCCTCTCGGGTCTGTCTCTCGGGTCTGTCTCTCGGGTCTGTCTCTCGGGTCTGTCTCTCGGGTCTGTCTCTCGGGTCTGCCTCTCGGGTCTGCCTCTCGGGTCTGTCTGTCTGTCTCTCTCGGGTCTGTCTCTCGGGTCTGTCTCTCGGGTCTGTCTCTCGGGTCTGTCTCTCGGGTCTGTCTCTCGGGTCTGTCTCTCGGTCTGTCTCTCGGTCTGTCTCTCGGGTCTGTCTGTCTGTCTCTCGGGTCTGTCCTCTCGGGTCTGTCTCTCGGGTCTGCCTCTCGGGTCTGTCTCTCGGGTCTGTCTCTCGGGTCTGTCTCTCGGGTCTGTCTCTCGGGTCTGCCTCTCGGGTCTGCCTCTCGGGTCTGTCTCTCGGGTCTGCCTCTCGGGTCTGCCTCTCGGGTCTGTCTCTCGGGTCTGTCTGTCTGTCTCTCGGGTCTGTCTCTCGGGTCTGTCTCTCGGGTCTGCCTCTCGGGTCTGTCTCTCGGGTCTGTCTCTCGGGTCTGTCTCTCGGGTCTGTCTCTCGGGTCTGCCTCTCGGGTCTGTCTCTCGGGTCTGTCTCTCGGGTCTGTCTCGCGGGTCTGTCTCTCGGGTCTGTCTCTCGGGTCTGTCTCTCGGGTCTGCCTCTCGGGTCTGTCTCTCGGGTCTGCCTCTCGGGTCTGTCTCTCGGGTCTGTCTCGCGGGTCTGTCTCGCGGGTCTGTCTCTCGGGTCTGTCTCTCGGGTCTGTCTCTCGGGTCTGCCTCTCGGGTCTGCCTCTCGGGTCTGTCTCTCGGGTCTGTCTCTCGGGTCTGTCTCTCGGGTCTGTCTCTCGGGTCTGCCTCTCGGGTCTGCCTCTCGGGTCTGCCTCTCGGGTCTGTCTCTCGGGTCTGTCTCTCGGGTCTGTCTCTCGGGTCTGTCTCTCGGGTCTGCCTCTCGGGTCTGTCTCTCGGGTCTGCCTCTCGGGTCTGTCTCTCGGGTCTGTCTCTCGGGTCTGCCTCTCGGGTCTGCCTCTCGGGTCTGCCTCTCGGGTCTGCCTCTCGGGTCTGTCTCTCGGGTCTGCCTCTCGGGTCTGTCTCTCGGGTCTGTCTCGCGGGTCTGTCTCGCGGGTCTGTCTCTCGGGTCTGTCTCTCGGGTCTGTCTCTCGGGTCTGCCTCTCGGGTCTGTCTCTCGGGTCTGTCTCTCGGGTCTGTCTCTCGGGTCTGCCTCTCGGGTCTGTCTCTCTCGGGTCTGTCTCTCGGGTCTGCCTCTCGGGTCTGCCTCTCGGGTCTGCCTCTCGGGTCTGCCTCTCGGGTCTGCCTCTCGGGTCTGCCTCTCGGGTCTGCCTCTCGGGTCTGCCTCTCGGGTCTGCCTCTCGGGTCTGCCTCTCGGGTCTGCCTCTCGGGTCTGCCTCTCGGGTCTGCCTCTCGGGTCTGCCTCTCGGGTCTGCCTCTCGGGTCTGCCTCTCGGGTCTGCCTCTCGGGTCTGCCTCTCGGGTCTGCCTCTCGGGTCTGTCTCGCGGGTCTGTCTCGCGGGTCTGTCTCGCGGGTCTGTCTCGCGGGTCTGTCTCTCGGGTCTGTCTCTCGGGTCTGTCTCTCGGGTCTGTCTCTCGGGTCTGCCTCTCGGGTCTGCCTCTCGGGTCTGCCTCTCGGGTCTGCCTCTCGGGTCTGCCTCTCGGGTCTGCCTCTCGGGTCTGCCTCTCGGGTCTGCCTCTCGGGTCTGTCTCTCGGGTCTGCCTCTCGGGTCTGCCTCTCGGGTCTGCCTCTCGGGTCTGCCTCTCGGGTCTGCCTCTCGGGTCTGCCTCTCGGGTCTGTCTCTCGGGTCTGTCTCTCGGGTCTGTCTCTCGGGTCTGTCTCTCGGGTCTGTCTCTCGGGTCTGTCTCTCGGGTCTGTCTCTCGGGTCTGTCTCTCGGGTCTGCCTCTCGGGTCTGCCTCTCGGGTCTGCCTCTCGGGTCTGCCTCTCGGGTCTGCCTCTCGGGTCTGCCTCTCGGGTCTGTCTGTCGGGTCTGTCTCGCGGGTCTGTCTCGCGGGTCTGTCTCTCGGGTCTGTCTCTCGGGTCTGTCTCTCGGGTCTGCCTCTCGGGTCTGCCTCTCGGGTCTGCCTCTCGGGTCTGCCTCTCGGGTCTGCCTCTCGGGTCTGCCTCTCGGGTCTGCCTCTCGGGTCTGCCTCTCGGGTCTGCCTCTCGGGTCTGCCTCTCGGGTCTGCCTCTCGGGTCTGCCTCTCGGGTCTGCCTCTCGGGTCTGCCTCTCGGGTCTGCCTCTCGGGTCTGCCTCTCGGGTCTGCCTCTCGGGTCTGCCTCTCGGGTCTGCCTCTCGGGTCTGCCTCTCGGGTCTGCCTCTCGGGTCTGCCTCTCGGGTCTGCCTCTCGGGTCTGCCTCTCGGGTCTGCCTCTCGGGTCTGCCTCTCGGGTCTGCCTCTCGGGTCTGTCTCTCGGGTCTGCCTCTCGGGTCTGCCTCTCGGGTCTGTCTCTCGGGTCTGTCTCGCGGGTCTGTCTCGCGGGTCTGTCTCTCGGGTCTGTCTCTCGGGTCTGTCTCTCGGGTCTGTCTCTCGGGTCTGCCTCTCGGGTCTGCCTCTCGGGTCTGCCTCTCGGGTCTGCCTCTCGGGTCTGCCCTCTCGGGTCTGTCTCTCGGGTCTGCCTCTCGGGTCTGCCTCTCGGGTCTGCCTCTCGGGTCTGCCTCTCGGGTCTGCCTCTCGGGTCTGCCTCTCGGGTCTGCCTCTCGGGTCTGTCTCTCGGGTCTGCCTCTCGGGTCTGCCTCTCGGGTCTGCCTCTCGGGTCTGTCTCTCGGGTCTGTCTCTCGGGTCTGTCTCTCGGGTCTGTCTCTCGGGTCTGTCTCTCGGGTCTGCCTCTCGGGTCTGCCTCTCGGGTCTGTCTCTCGGGTCTGTCTCTCGGGTCTGTCTCTCGGGTCTGTCTCTCGGGTCTGCCTCTCGGGTAGACCCGCTGTCTCTCGGGTCTGTCTCTCGGGTCTGTCTCTCGGGTCTGTCTCTCGGGTCTGTCTCTCGGGTCTGCCTCTCGGGTCTGTCTCTCGGGTCTGTCTCTCGGGTCTGTCTCTCGGGTCTGTCTCTCGGGTCTGTCTCTCGGGTCTGTCTCTCGGGTCTGTCTCTCGGGTCTGCCTCTCGGGTCTGTCTCTCGGGTCTGTCTCTCGGGTCTGTCTCTCGGGTCTGTCTCTCGGGTCTGCCTCTCGGGTCTGTCTCTCGGGTCTGTCTCTCGGGTCTGTCTCTCGGGTCTGTCTCTCGGGTCTGCCTCTCGGGTCTGTCTCTCGGGTCTGTCTCTCGGGTCTGTCTCTCGGGTCTGTCTCTCGGGTCTGTCTCTCGGGTCTGTCTCTCGGGTCTGTCTCTCGGGTCTGTCTCTCGGGTCTGTCTCTCGGGTCTGTCTCTCGGGTCTGTCTCTCGGGTCTGTCTCTCGGGTCTGTCTCTCGGGTCTGTCTCTCGGGTCTGTCTCTCGGGTCTGTCTCTCGGGTCTGTCTCTCGGGTCTGCCTCTCGGGTCTGTCTGTCTGTCTCTCGGGTCTGTCTCTCGGGTCTGTCTCTCGGGTCTGTCTCTCGGGTCTGTCTCTCGGGTCTGTCTCTCGGGTCTGTCTGTCTGTCTCTCGGGTCTGTCTCTCGGGTCTGTCTGTCTGTCTCTCGGGTCTGTCTCTCGGGTCTGTCTCTCGGGTCTGTCTCTCGGGTCTGTCTCTCGGGTCTGTCTCTCGGGTCTGTCTCTCGGGTCTGTCTGTCTGTCTCTCGGGTCTGTCTCTCGGGTCTGCCTCTCGGGTCTGTCTCTCGGGTCTGCCTCTCGGGTCTGTCTCTCGGGTCTGTCTCTCGGGTCTGTCTCTCGGGTCTGTCTCTCGGGTCTGCCTCTCGGGTCTGTCTCTCGGGTCTGTCTCTCGGGTCTGTCTCTCGGGTCTGTCTCTCGGGTCTGTCTGTCTGTCTCTCGGGTCTGTCTCTCGGGTCTGTCTGTCTGTCTCTCGGGTCTGTCTCTCGGGTCTGTCTGTCTGTCTCTCGGGTCTGTCTCTCGGGTCTGTCTCTCGGGTCTGTCTCTCGGGTCTGTCTCTCGGGTCTGTCTCTCGGGTCTGTCTCTCGGGTCTGTCTCTCGGGTCTGTCTGTCTGTCTCTCGGGTCTGTCTCTCGGGTCTGTCTGTCTGCCTCTCGGGTCTGTCTCTCGGGTCTGTCTCTCGGGTCTGTCTGTCTGTCTCTCGGGTCTGTCTCTCGGGTCTGTCTCTCGGGTCTGTCTCTCGGGTCTGTCTCTCGGGTCTGTCTCTCGGGTCTGTCTCTCGGGTCTGTCTCTCGGGTCTGTCTCTCGGGTCAAGGCATTTTCCAGAATGTTTCTAAGTCGTTTGTGTTTCCAGCTGAAGGAAGCGTTGAGTCGCGTTCCTCCAAACCATGTGGGAGACCCGCTGTTGAAGAAGCCTCTGGGCCCTGTGCACATAGTGAGTACTACTGGGCCGCATGGTACGAGATGACTGTCTCTCCCTGGTCTCTGCCCCTGGTCTCTCTCCCTGGTCTCTCTCCCTGGTCTCTGCCCCTGGTCTCTCTCCCTAGTCTCTCTCTCTGGTCTCTCTCTCTCTGGTCTCTCTCTCTGGTCTCTCTCTCTCTGGTCTCTCTCTCTCCCTGGTCTCTCTCTCCCTGGTCTCTCTCTCTCTGGTCTCTCTCTCTCCCTGGTCTCTCTCTCTCCCTGGTCTCTCTCTCTCCCTGGTCTCTCTCTCTCCCTGGTCTCTCTCCCTGGTCTCTCTCCCTGGTCTCTCTCTCTCTCCCTGGTCTCTCTCTCTCCCTGGTCTCTCTCTCCCTGGTCTCTCTCTCCCTGGTCTCTCTCCCTGGTTTCCTCAGACCCTCAGACCCTGGTCTCTCTCCCTGGTCTCTGCCCCTGGTCTCTCTCCCTAGTCTCTCTCTCTGGTCTCTCTCTCTCTGGTCTCTCTCTCTGGTCTCTCTCTCTCTGGTCTCTCTCTCTCCCTGGTCTCTCTCTCCCTGGTCTCTCTCTCCCTGGTCTCTCTCTCTCCCTGGTCTCTCTCTCTCCCTGGTCTCTCTCTCTCCCTGGTCTCTCTCTCTCCCTGGTCTCTCTCTCTCCCTGGTCTCTCTCTCTCCCTGGTCTCTCTCTCTCCCTGGTCTCTCTCTCTCCCTGGTCTCTCTCTCTCCCTGGTCTCTCTCTCCCTGGTTTCCTCAGACAGTTTCTCTTGTCTGTGTTTCTCAGGAGAAGATCGAGGCCATAAACCAGGCTTTGGTGAACGAGTACGAGGTCCGGAGGAAGATGTTACTGAAGAGGCTGGACGTCACTGTGCAGTCGTTTGGATGGTCCGACAAAGCAAAGGTTCACGCCCGATTTAACCGAGAGAGTGAGAGAGACCAGCGAGAGAGGGAGAGACCAGCGAGAGAGAGGGAGAGACCAGCGAGAGAGAGGGAGAGACCAGCGAGAGAGAGGGAGAGACCAGCGAGAGAGAGGGAGAGACCAGCGAGAGAGAGGGAGAGACCAGCGAGAGAGAGGGAGAGACCAGCGAGAGAGAGGGAGAGACCAGCGAGAGAGCGAGAGAGAGGGAGAGACCAGCGAGAGAGAGGGAGAGAGACCAGCGAGAGAGAGGGAGAGAGACCAGCGAGAGAGAGGGAGAGAGACCAGCGAGAGAGAGGGAGAGAGACCAGCGAGAGAGAGGGAGAGAGACCAGCGAGAGAGAGGGAGAGAGACCAGCGAGAGAGAGGGAGAGAGACCAGCGAGAGAGAGGGAGAGAGACCAGCGAGAGAGAGGGAGAGAGACCAGCGAGAGAGAGGGAGAGAGACCAGCGAGAGAGAGGGAGAGAGACCAGCGAGAGAGAGGGGAGAGAGACCAGCGAGAGAGAGGGAGAGAGACCAGCGAGAGAGAGGGAGAGAGACCAGCGAGAGAGAGGGAGAGAGACCAGCGAGAGAGAGGGAGAGAGACCAGCGAGAGAGAGGGAGAGAGACCAGCGAGAGAGAGGGAGAGAGACCAGCGAGAGAGAGGGAGAGAGACCAGCGAGAGAGAGGGAGAGAGACCAGCGAGAGAGAGGGAGAGAGACCAGCGAAAGAAGGAGAGAGACCAGGGAGACAGACCCGCGAGACAGACCCGCGAGACCAGCGAGAGAGGGAGAGAGACCAGGGAGACAGACCCGCGAGACAGACCCGCGAGACCAGCGAGAGAGGGAGAGAGACCAGCGAGAGAGGGAGAGAGACCAGCGAGAGAGGGGGAGAGACCAGCGAGAGAGAGGGACCAGCGAGAGAGAGGGACCAGCGAGAGAGGGAGAGAGACCAGCGAGAGAGAGGGAGAGACCAGCGAGAGAGGGAGAGAGACCAGCGAGAGAGAGGGAGAGACCAGCGAGAGAGGGGGAGAGACCAGCGAGAGAGGGGGAGAGACCAGCGAGAGAGGGGGAGAGACCAGCGAGAGAGAGGGAGAGACCAGCGAGAGAGAGGGAGAGACCAGCGAGAGAGAGGGAGAGACCAGCGAGAGAGAGGGAGAGACCAGCGAGAGAGAGGGAGAGAGACCAGCGAGAGAGAGGGAGAGAGACCAGCGAGAGAGAGGGAGAGAGACCAGCGAGAGAGAGGGAGAGAGACCAGCGAGAGAGAGGGAGAGAGACCAGCGAGAGAGAGGGAGAGAGACCAGCGAGAGAGAGGGAGAGAGACCAGCGAGAGAGGGGGGAGAGACCAGCGAGAGAGGGGGAGAGACCAGCGAGAGAGGGGGAGAGACCAGCGAGAGAGAGGGAGAGACCAGCGAGAGAGAGGGAGAGACCAGCGAGAGAGAGACCAGCGAGAGAGAGAGAGGGAGAGACCAGCGAGAGAGAGGGAGAGACCAGCGAGAGAGAGGGAGAGACCAGCGAAGAAGAGGGAGAGAGACCAGCGAGAGAGAGGGAGAGAGACCAGCGAGAGAGAGGGAGAGAGACCAGCGAGAGAGAGGGAGAGAGACCAGCGAGAGAGAGGGAGAGAGACCAGCGAGAGAGAGGGAGAGAGACCAGCGAGAGAGAGGGAGAGAGACCAGCGAGAGAGAGGGAGAGAGACCAGCGAGAGAGGAGAGAGCCAGCGAGAGAGAGGAGAGACAGCGAGAGACCAGCGAGAGAGAGGGAGAGAGACCAGCGAGAGAGAGGGAGAGAGACCAGCGAGAGAGAGGGAGAGAGACCAGCGAGAGAGAGGGAGAGAGACCAGCGAGAGAGAGGGGAGAGAGACCAGCGAGAGAGAGGGAGAGAGACCAGCGAGAGAGGGAGAGAGACCAGCGAGAGAGGAGCGAGACCACGAGAGAGGGGACCAGCGAGAGAGGGGGAGAGACCAGCGAGAGAGGGGGAGAGACCAGCGAGAGAGGGGGAGAGACCAGCGAGAGAGAGGGAGAGACCAGCGAGAGAGAGGGAGAGACCAGCGAGAGAGAGGGAAGAGACCAGCGAGAGAGAGGGAGAGACCAGCGAGAGAGAGGGAGAGAGACCAGCGAGAGAGAGGGAGAGAGACCAGCGAGAGAGGGAGAGAGACCAGCGAGACAGACCCGCGAGACCAGCGAGAGAGAGAGGGAGAGAGACCAGGGAGACAGACCCGCGAGACAGACCCGCGAGACCAGCGAGAGAGGGAGAGAGACCAGCGAGAGAGGGAGAGAGCAGAGGGAGAGAGAGAGACAAGGGAGATAGGGAAGAGACCAGAGAGAGCGAGACCAGCTTATGTTCAAATCAGCTTCTTCCGCATTAAGGCGGACACTCACCAACATGTGATGTCACACGTTGGTGACGTCACACGTTGGTGATGTCACACTCGGTCAGTCCTCTCCTCACACACGTTCTGTGGTTGTTTCTCTCTGCAGACTCACGCGGACAAACTGGCTAAAGTGTACCAGCCTCTGCGCTCCGTGCTCTTGGCCAAAAGCAGAGTTTCTGTGGCTCATCTTCTGGCTGCGAGACAAGACTTCTCCAAGATCCTGAGGACGAGCAGCGGAAAGATCCGAGAGAAAACGGCCTGCGCCATCAACAAGGTCTGTTCGTCTGTGAACACTGTCAGTCAGATGGTACTAATCACACCTGACTGAATGGTCTGTGAGAGAGAGCAGGGCTGAAGTCTAGAGCAGCAGACGACATGGCCCAAACATAGACTCTGTGTTCTTAGGTCTCTCTCTGGTCCCTGGTCTCTCTCTCTGGTTCCTAGTCCTTCTCCCTGGTCCTTCTCTCTGGTTCCTAGTCTCTCTCTGGTCCTTGATCTTTCTCTCTCGCTCTCTCTGGTCTCACCTCTCTCTCTTTCTCTCCTTCTCTTGGGCCTCTGTGGTTCCTGGTAACTCTCTGGTCCCTCTCTGGTCTTTCTTTCTCTGGTCCCTGGTCTCTCTCTCTCTGGTTCCTGGTCTCTCCCTGGTCTCTCTCTCTCTGGTCCCTGGTCTGTGTCTCTCCCTGGTCTCTCTCTCTCTGGTCCCTGGTCTCGCTCTCTCTGGTTCCTGGTCTCTCCCTGCTCTCTCTCTGGTTCCTGGTCTCCCTGGTCTCTCTCTGACACCTGTCCTGTGTCCCAGGTGCTGATGGGCAGAGTCCCGGACAGAGGAGGTCGTCCCTGTGAGATCGAGGCTCCTCCCCCTGAGATGCCCTCGTGGCAGAAAAGACAGGATGGTCCACCAGGAGGCCACTATGGAGGCGGGAGGGGGGGAGGAAGTGGCTACCAGGGAGGGGGAGGTGGCGGTGGTTACCAGGGGGGAGGTGGAGGAGGAGGCTACCAGGGGGGAGGTGGAGGAGGAGGCTACCAGGGAGGAGGTGGTGGCGGTTACCAGGGAGGAGGAGGAGGCTACCAGGGAGGGGGCTATGGGGGAGACAGGGGGGAACGGGGGCGAGGGGAGCATCATGGTGGAAGAGGAGGAGACAGAGGAGGAAGAGGAGGACGTGGTCGCGGAGGTTACAACCAGGTGAGGCTGCAGGAAACTGAAATTTTGCATAAAAGAATATGCCCTTCTCTCTGGTCTCTCGCTCTCTTCAGTCCCTCTCTGGTCTCTTTCTTTAGTCTCTGGTCTCTCTCTCTGGTCTCTTTCTTTAGTCTCTGGTCTCTCTCTCTGGTCTCTTTCTTTAGTCTCTGGTCTCTCTCTCTGGTCTCTTTCTTTAGTCTCTGGTCTCTCTCTCTGGTCTCTTTCTTTAGTCTCTGGTCTCTCTCACTGGTCTCTTTCTTTAGTCTCTGGTCTCTCTCTCTGGTCTCTTTCTTTAGTCTCTGGTCTCTCTCTCTGGTCTCTTTCTTTAGTCTCTGGTCTCTCTCACTGGTCTCTTTCTTTAGTCTCTGGTCTCTCTCTCTGGTCTCTGATTTTTAGTCTCTATCTTTGGTCTCTCTCTGGTCTGATTTTTTTCTCATCTGGTAATCTCTTTGTCTCCCACTTTCCAGGGCCAGTCCCACCACCAGGACTCGGGGGGCAGAGGCCACAGCGGTCCCCCACAGCAGCACCATGACCAGGGCTTCAGTCACAGCAGCGGGGGTGGAGGGGGAGGAGGAGAGAGAGGAGGGGACAGAGGAGGGGACAGAGGAGGGGACAGAGGAGGGGACAGAGGAGGGGACAGAGGAGGGGACAGAGGAGGAAGAGGGCGCGGGGGCAGAGGTCGGGGCAGCAGAGGAGCTCCAGGAGGGGGAGGCTGGGGAGGCCGAGGGGGAGACAGAGGAGGAGGACAGTTTGAGCAGTTTTTTCAACAAGGAGGACAACAGTACAACCAGTCCGGCTTCAACCAGGGACGCCAGTACACCAGCTGAGACCAGCTGAGACCAGCTGAGACCAGCTGAGACCAGCTGAGACCAGCTGAGACCAGCTGAGACCAGCTTCACCTGAACACCATGAACATTTGCCTCTCTGGTTCAGAGCGACCGGTGCCATTTAAAAACTGAATATTTCATCTTTTGAGATGAGTAAATGATCCTTATGAACACTATTAAAGCTCGGGTACGTAACTTTCAGACAATAGAATAAAATCACTAGTTTTTGGTACTGGTCTCTCTTTCTTTCTGTTTTTTTCAGACCAGTCCCAAATAGTCAGATAGTGACTCAGAGCTCTTCTTCACACAGAACACATGTTTTCTAAACGGACAAAGACTGCATGCATTTTTTTCAAAATATTTTACTTTTTGACTCTTTCTGTTCAAACCAAGTGTTTTATCTATGAGGCTGAAGGTACGTCCCCGAGCTTTAAGTCTGATGTCTCTCACTTCTGCGTTATAACAAATTTGGCTTTATTTTGTTCAAATGCAACACTATAAACAGCTGCTGAACAGAAACGGCACAAATAACTGTGTATGACCCAAGTGGAAAATTATAGAATCTTGTGACATCAACCGTTTCCACTTTCTCTACTCACAACTAATCAGTCTCCGCTTTAGTGCCAGCTCGGCCTGGATAGAACCAGGACCAAGAGGGACTGAAGAAAGACCTGGTACTTCCTGCGCTGGTGAATCCGGGGCATTAATGTGAGATTCATATACTCGCCAAGGCAGGTTTGCGGTGGAGGTGAAGGATTACTCAAAACATTTTTATTTTGGTGAAGTATTGGAATGGATTGTTTTATTTAAAGTTGTGTATGTAAGTGCATAGAGCTAGTGTGAATGAGCAATAAAGTCTGACCTCACTGTCAAACTGAAGATTCTGATCTGACTCATGTGCTGATTATTAACATAGCAAATACTTACTCATATTCCATACGTTTTGTTCCGTTTTATCCGCTTCCGGGAGAATCCTGAGGCGTTTCCAGCTGAGGGACACGATGCCCCTGTGTCCTGGGGCTTCCCTGGTCTCCTCCTGTTGGGACTTGCCCAGAACACCTTCCACAGAGAGACCAGGAGGCATCTCAAACAGACGCCATAGCCACCTCAACTGGTTCCTCTTGATGTGGAGAAGCAGCAGCTCTACTCTGAGCTCCTCCCTCCATGTCTGAGGGAGCTCTGACTGCAGGCGCTTCTCCCTCTTCTCCACTACAGCGTCAGTGTCTACATAACACTGAATGAGATTCCAACTGGTCACATACTTATGTGATGAGCGGACACTTATATGAGGACACAAATATTATAAAGTTAAAGTTTTTTTACATTATACTTTGTAATTTATACTTTTCGTTATACTAAGTAAACGTTTCACATTTCATTTCACAATGACGTAGGTTTGTGACTGTTGTGGTCTGAAAGTTAGGTAGCCGAGCTTTAACTGCATGTTTCACTTCCGGTACCAGGCGCGGGTCAGACTGAAACCAAAGCCAAACGAAAAGCGAATCATTCGGACTCCCAGATTCGGCTCCTAGGTCTCCCCGGAGCCCATGTCCTGGCTGTAGAGCGACCCTGCGCGGTCATGTACCCTCACCGTAAAGGCGAGCCCCCGGCTCCCTACCCACACATGCCCCATATGATGTACCGGCCTCACGGTGCTCCTCACCCGGGCATGAGAGGAGCCCCTCACCCGGGCATGAGAGGAGCCCGGCCTGGCCCCCCTCACTACCCACCGCCTCTGCCTTACAGCCGACCTCCTCCACCCGCTGCCGCGCTGGCGTCCCGGGTACGTACGCAGATCCATAAGCCCGGGGAGCGAGAGCCAGTGTGGGGCATTAGCATGGTTAGCATTAGCATGGTTAGCATTAGCATGTTAGCATTAGCATGTTAGCATTAGCAGCTAACCTTTTCAGTGTGTTTACGTTGCGTTCCTCACTCTCGGTGTGTTTTGTTGCTAACCACATTTTTATTTCTCAGGATTTTACCTTTTTATTGCGATTTCCGTCAATTTGAAGCTACTGAGGCCGTAGCTCTCCCCAGAACCGGGTCACTGGGTCCATATGACTACTCTCCCCTGATTAGTAGTGTTTTCTCTGGTCCTTTGTAACCAGTACCAGGTCCTTCTTTAGTCCCTCTTGGTGCTGGTTCTATCCAGGCAGAGCTGGTACTGAACTGTTCTGACAGTGATTGGCCAGAGTGCTGCTGGAAGCCATGGTTACCAAGGAATTTCCCTGCATACCGGTGTGTTATCTGTAGGTTGCTAGGAGACGGTACCATATACTAGGCAGGGTAGAGTAGAGCTCATATACAAATAGTGCTTATTGAATATAGACAGATTGTGAGAACGCCCTCTGTACCTGTGACACCGGGTGAGTTTTAGAACGTACCGGTCCGTAAAGGCGAGCCCCCGGTACATCACATGTCCCATATGATGTACCGGCCTCACGGTGCTCCTCGCCTGGCCAACAAAGAGTCCCGCTAAAGTTAAATGTTGCGAATAAATTGGACCACTACATGTTCTTTTGTGTAAGAAAGAACCCTGGGAGTCACTATTTGGCCTCTTTGGGCTGAGAGCGTACTGGTTCTCTGGTCTCTCTCTGGTCTCTCTCTGGTCTCTCTCTGGTCTTTCTGGTCTCTCTCTGGTCTTTCTGGTCTCTCTCTGGTCTTTCTGGTCTCTCTTGATTCACTCTCTGGTCTCTCTCTGGTCTCTCTCTGGTCTCTCTCTGGTCTCTCTCTGGTCTTTCTGGTCTCTCTCTGGTCTTTCTGGTCTCTCTTGATTCACTCTCTGGTCTCTCTCTGGTCTCTCTCTGGTCTCTCTCTGGTCTCTCTTGATTCACTCTCTGGTCTCTCTCTGGTCTCTCTCTGGTCTCTCTCTGGTCTCTCTCTGGTCTCTCTTGATTCACTCTCTGGTCTCTCTCTGGTCTCTCTCTGGTCTCTCTCTGGTCTCTCTCTGGTCTTTCTGGTCTCTCTCTGGTCTTTCTGGTCTCTCTTGATTCACTCTCTGGTCTCTCTCTGGTCTCTCTCTGGTCTCTCTCTGGTCTCTCTTGATTCACTCTCTGGTCTCTCTCTGGTCTCTCTCTGGTCTCTCTCTGGTCTCTCTCTGGTCTCTCTTGATTCACTCTCTGGTCTCTCTCTGGTCTCTCTCTGGTCTCTCTCTCTCTGTCTCTCTGCATCTGAAAACTAGCGATTGAATCAAACTGATTTAGATCCATGAGCGAGACACGGACTTCATTCGAGTTTTACTATTGTCTAAAAGTTACGTACCTCAGCTTTAAGTTGCCAAGTACTGATTTTAACTTCGACCTGTTTGCATCGACAACTTGTGGATTTGAAGAGTTTTTGCATTCCCCTCCAGCGGTAAGTCTTTCCTCTTACATAAATTCCAACGCTTTCATCTCCCGCTAACTACGGTTATAGTTTAACAGTGAGTTCAGAGCCAGAGTTCCAGGGGTGTCCAAACTTTTCAGTACGTGACAATTGATTCAAACCACAGTTATCGTTTCGTCTGAGACTTTGCCGATAAAGTTATGTCCGTACAGTGGTATCTCGCTACAACGCGGTTCAGCTTCGTGACTTTTTAGTTTACGACAACATTCATCATATTTAGTTGAGAAGAAGTATCTCTGCCACCAGTTGTGTATGTTCTCCCACTTAAAAAGATACTTTAATGATCCCTGTCGGAGAAACTAAAGTGTCCAGTGGCCGCAAAAACACATCCATCCACACAAACAAAACAAATGAATTCTAAAACGCTAACAATAACAAGACAAGGGAAGTCATTTTCGTCACAGGTAAAGCTGTGAGAGACCGAACGAGAAAAAGAAAGGCTCTCACTCAATCTGTCTGGTCTATCATTAAACTTGGTTCTTTGTAACCTGATCCTTCCTCTTTCAGATCAAATGGACTTTCCATAAATGTAAGTTCAAATGTTCACGCCGGCCAGACTCCTCACTTTCTATACAGCGACCTGGTTTCACGTCCCCACAGACTGTAAACAGATGGACCATGCCAACACTGGTGATGTCACACTCGGCCAGTCCTAATGTACGCTCCATGGTGTATCTATGGACTTTCGATGTTGCTACTGCAAGCTGATTGGTCCAGAGCCAGAGAGAGGAGCCCAAACCTGAGTTAGCGGGTTAGCATTGCCCATCTGTAGACTGTCTATGATTGTGCTGTTTGCAAAATCAGTCAGGTTTTAGCTTTAGTCAATTATAAATAACTTAATGTTTGTTTTTGCAGTAGATTTGTTAAACTTTTTTCCGGCTTCAGATGCAGCTCGGACAGACCCACAGACTTGGGGATTACAGAAGCGGCTCTAATGTTGCCACCCGCCGTATTAAAGTCATTTCTGAATTGTGTTATGTGTTTATTATATGCTTTGAAATGACAAAAGCTCATGTGATCCTCGGCAGCCCCAGAATTTGACCCAGAACACCTCTGGACCCACTGAACCGGTCTCTCTGGGTACTTTCCAGGCTGCATTCCTGAAGAGAGAAGAGCGACTGGTTCTTCCATCGTTTTGTTGCACGTTTCTTTGTAAATGTGATAAATGCATCCAACACTCAGTGGTTCTTAGTGTTGTCTCAAGGGGGCGCTGTTCTCAGTCCAGTTTGTGCTCATAATGAATGAACCTTTGATGCAGGGTGTGATCTGTCAAATCACTGAGGCTGTAGACCCTGGACTAGACCCAGGACTGAGGCTGAAGACCCAGGGCCGAGGCTGTAGACCCAGGGCCGAGGCTGTAGACCCAGGACCGAGGCTGTAGACCCAGGGCCGAGGCTGTAGACCCTGGACTAGACCCAGGACTGAGGCTGAAGACCCAGGGCCGAGGCTGAAGACCCAGGGCCGAGGCTGTAGACCCAGGGCCGAGGCTGTAGACCCAGGGCCGAGGCTGTAGACCCAGGGCCGAGGCTGTAGACCCAGGGCCGAGGCTGTAGACCCAGGGCCGAGGCTGTAGACCCAGGGCCGAGGCTGTAGACCCAGGGCCGAGGCTGTAGACCCAGGGCCGAGGCTGTAGACCCAGGGCCGAGGCTGTAGACCCAGGGCCGAGGCTGTAGACCCAGGGCCGAGGCTGTAGACCCAGGGCCGAGGCTGTAGACCCAGGGCCGAGGCTGTAGACCCAGGGCCGAGGCTGAAGACCCTGGACTAGACCCAGGACTGAGGCTGAAGACCCTGGACTAGACCCAGGACTGAGGCTGAAGACCCAGGACTGAGGCTGTAGACCCTGGACTAGACCCAGGACTGAGGCTGAAGACCCAGGACTGAGGCTGTAGACCCTGGACTAGACCCAGTAGACCCAGGGCTGAGGCTGTAGACCCTGGACTAGACCCAGTAGACCCAGGGCTGAGGCTGTAGACCCTGGACTAGACCCAGTAGACCCAGGGCTGAGGCTGTAGACCCAGTAGACCCAGGGCTGAGGCTGTAGACCCTGGATAGACCCAGGACTGAGGCTGTAGACCCAGGACAAGACCCAGGACTAGACCCAGGACTGAGGATTTTTTCTGCATGCTTCTGAGAGACCAGAGAGACCTTGTCCAATCTCTAAGTGCCCAGTTTTTTTGTGGAGGAAACTCAGTTTAATTATTTTGTGATCATTAAAACTTTTCTTATAAAATTAGATGAAATGAACATGAAGATTCAGACCCAATGACAAAATTCTAAATATCTCCTTAAAGTATAAAAAGTAAAGACCCACAAAAACGACCACGTACATTAAATACTGGATATTTTTCACATTTCCCTCTTATATCCATATTGCTAATTAGCGCATTAGCATTAGCATTAGCACCTCTCCCACGTTCATCTCGTTCAGGTTCATCACGTCTTGTTGGATTTTGTTATTAACATCTGTCTCACGTGGTTTAGAAGGACCTTTCAAATCTAAAAATATATTTTAGACAAATCACACCCTGCTCTTGTTTATTATTATTTATTTATTTATTACTTTGTTCAGACCTGTTTTAAGACTTTGTGTTTCATACAAAATGTAAAATGTTGTGTATTACTCATGAGGAGTGAGCTGTTCTGATGCTGCTCTCCAGTCTCTGATTCTCACTTTTACTCTGAGATTTAATGGAATCCTTGCGTTTCTTTGTCCAAATGCAGCCGTGGTTTAGTGTGAGATTCAGAGAGAGAAGTTGGCAACCTAAAGTTTTTCAATTTCAATGATGCTAAAGATCTTTGACCATGGTACACTACTGTCGTGTTCAGTAAGTATTTAATGGACACTATTTAAAACGGCCTTGGCAGAATTGCGGCCAGTAAGAGAGAGATTGTAGCAATGAGACCTCAAGGATGTCGACCAATCGGGTCCCTGCATGAGTGAGTGTGGGCGGGGCTAACGGGGCTTTCTCTTTAGTGTTAAAATAATCTTGGCGTTCACTTTAAGATCAGAATTATTATTATTTCATGTGAGTAACAAGAAAAACAACAGTAACCTGTTCTCAGCAGTTTCTCTGCGGTCAGTGAAACACGTTTACTCCAGGCTTCTACCACTGACCCGTATCTGACATGAGCTGTTCGAGGTTCAGCAGGTGGAGAAAACAAAAGCAGTCGCTCACTTCTGATGACGTCAGAATCACAACTTTCTCCAGTCGCTGCACAAACTATTTCCTCCGGTGATCGTCACACTGTAAAATACATTTCACTTTCTCTTTGGAGGAATGGATTCATGTTTAATTTTGGTTCATCCCTTTTCAAACCAAATCAAGAGACGTTTAGAACAAGGACAAATATGAGATTTACGATTCAATATAAAAATAGTTAACCACGCATAGATCCTTCAAAGAGAGGTGTAATGTAACATTTCTTTGAGAGCCGCCTTCAGGACTGGATCGCAGCATCAGTCCCCAGGTGTCTGTGATTAAAGTGCAGATTGTAAAGTTTAGATTTTTAAACATGTGTAAAACCTTTGACGCCTTCAGCCTCATCCTGGAGCTCCGCCCCCAAGACCATGGAAACCTCTGTCTGAGGCACCAGGCCCCAACAGGTACCAGAGACCAGGGGGAGTGAGACACCAGGGGGGGAGGGGGAGTGAGACACCAGGGGGGGAGGGGGAGTGAGACACCAGGGGGGGAGGGGGAGTGAGACACCAGGGGGGGAGGGGAGACACCAGGGGGGGAGGGGGAGTGAGACACCAGGGGGGGAGGGGGAGTGAGACACCAGGGGGGGAGGGGAGACACCAGGGGGGGAGTGGGAGTGAGACACCAGGGGGGGAGGGGGAGTGAGACACCAGGGGGGGAGGGGGAGTGAGACACCAGGGGGGGAGGGGGAGTGAGACACCAGGGGGGGAGGGGGAGTGAGACACCGGGGGGGGAGGGGGAGTGAGACACCGGGGGGGGGAGTGAGACACCGGGGGGGGAGGGGGAGTGAGACACCAGAGGGGGAGGGGGAGTGAGACACCAGAGGGGGAGTGAGACACCAGAGGGGGAGTGAGACACCAGATGGGGAGGGGGAGTGAGACACCAGAGGGGGAGTGAGACACCAGAGGGGGAGTGAGACACCAAATGGGGAGGGGGAGTGAGACACCAGAGGGGGAGTGAGACACCAAGGGGGGAGGGGGAGTGAGACACCAGAGGGGGAGTGAGACACCAGAGGGGGAGTGAGACACCAGAGGGGGAGTGAGACACCAGAGGGGGAGTGAGACACCAGAGGGGGAGTGAGGCACCAGAGGGGGAGTGAGACACCAGATGGGGAGGGGGAGTGAGACACCAGAGGGGGAGTGAGACACCAGAGGGGGAGTGAGACACCAGATGGGGAGGGGGAGTGAGACACCAGAGGGGGAGTGAGACACCAGAGGGGGAGTGAGACACCAGGGGGGGAGGGGGAGTGAGACACCAGGGGGGAGTGAGACACCAGAGGGGGAGTGAGACACTAGAGGGGGAGTGAGACACTAGAGGGGGAGTGAGACACTAGAGGGGGAGTGAGACACTAGAGGGGGAGTGAGACACTAGAGGGGGAGTGAGACACTAGAGGGGGAGTGAGACACCAGAGGGGGAGGGGGAGTGAGACACCAGAGGGGGAGGGGGAGTGAGACACCAGGGGGGGAGGGAGACACCAGGGGGGGGAGGTGAGACACCAGGGGGGGAGGTGAGACACCAGGGGGGGAGTGAGACACCAGAGGGGGAGTGAGACACCAGAGGGGGGGTGAGACACCAGGGGACAAACTCGTACATCCGACAAACCATACAGAATATTTGTCCTTTTAAAATAATCTAAAGTTGAATGAGTCTGATTTCCTTCTGACCTCCTGTGTTCCAACTGCAGCGACAAAGCGGGAGAGGAGTTTCTGCGATGTATTGCGGCTAACAAACCTCTGCCAAATTACCTGAAAGGAAACATGGAATACAACCTGGCAGAGGCTTTGAAGGACGCTCCAGTCCTGCAGATGCCCTGGAGCGGCAAGCGCAGCCGGAGCAGGAGCCGCGGCCGCAGCAGAGGAAGAAGTCGAGGCAAAAGCCGAGGAAGAAGTAGAAGCCACGATCGAGCCAAGAGCCGGGCGCGGAGCAAGAGCCGGGCGCGGAGCAAGAGCCGGGCGCGGAGCAAGAGCCGGGCGCGGAGCAAGAGCCGGGCGCGGAGCAAGAGCCGGGCGCGGAGCAAGAGCCGAGGCCGCAGCCGGAGCCACAGTTATGACCGAAAAAGTCGAGCCAAAAGCCGCTCGAGGAAATCCAGGTCTCGTAGCCGCAGCAGCGAGAGAATCCACCACAAAAGCCGCCACAACAGCCCGTCTCCCCGTCACGGCGCCTTCGGGAACCTGCGGGTGAAACAGGAGGTGAACGGAGGCGCGGCGTCTGCAGAGAACACCCTGATAGAAGGCCTGAAGATGGTGATCAACAGCAGAGAGCTGGAGAGCAGGAGCCACGCGCAGGTGAGGGCGGAGCCTAAGAGCCGTGTCATGATCTGAGCAGTAACAAGTCACAGTCAGCCCAGCCACAGGTCCTGGACTAGTCTGGTGTCTGTGAATCCTGCACTAGTCTCTCCTCTCTATATAGGGCTGGGCGATATGGAAACAAGTAAAACTTAGATTTCATTTCCTGCTTTGGTGACTTTAATGAAAAATCTATTTAAAATCAAAATTGTCCAAAGACATTGCCCTTAATATTGTTTGATCTTTCTGCTCAGTATTCAAGTTTTAAAACTCTTAAATTTTTTCCCCCCCAATACGTATTATAAGTTTTGTACAGACTGTGCTGGTATTGATGAGTATAATTCATGTGCTGCTGGAACTCTCAAAATATCCTTCATTCGATTTCACAATTTTCACATTTGTTTTTTTTTTTTCAAAAGCCAATTAATTGCCTCAATTCGATTTATTGCCCAGCCCTATCTCTATAGTGTCGTCTCTCTTCCCTCTTACTGTCTCATCTCTCCTCTTGTCTGAATCCTGTCTCTCCTCACAGCAGCCTCTGAAGTCGGCCCTCAGACCTGTGTCCTCTGACCTGTCCCTCAGCGCCCCCTATGGGCAGCTCCAGGGACCAGCAGCAGAACAGTCTGTCTTCTCCATGTTTTCTGACAGCGACTCGGTGCTGCCTCACGAGCGCGGCGGCTCAGACTTCTCCTGGATTCAGAGATCACAGGCAAGTTTCGTCCTACTGAAGTATTTACAAACCTGTGCTTTAACCATGAAGTGGAGACTAGCGAGGGAGAGACTAGAGAGACGAAAGAGGGGGACTAGAACGAGACCAGAGAGAGGATCGAGAGAGAGGATCGAGAGAGAGAGGTAACGAGATCATTGTTGAAATGTGATAGATGGGACGGTTTTGTAGATTGTTCCAGGAGTTATGTCTAAACTCAGACTAGGATCTGACTTTTGACACTTACCATAGTTACTATGGTTACCAAAGTTATCAGGAGAGATGTTTCTACTCAGTGAGTCACATGAGCGCAGACTGCTGTTACATCTGTCACGTTCCGTCTCGTAGGAAGAGCTGGAGAAGCTGAACGTCACTGAGATCGAAGACGAGGAGTCCTTTCTGTACGGGAGCGAGGAGGCGGCTCACAGCTCAAACTTGTACACACAGCCCTCCTCCTCCTCAGTGCTGCACCCAGACTCGGAGCTGGACCGACTCAAGAAGATCCTGCAGAACGCCAGCTCCGTGAAGCCTCTGCCTGCATCTGCCACGACGCCCCCTGCTGTCAGAGAGCCCACAGCGCCCCCTGCTGTCAGAGAGCCCACAGCGCCCCCTGCTGTCAGAGAGCCCACAGCGCCCCCTGCTGTCAGAGAGCCCACAGCGCCCCCTGCTGTCAGAGACCCTGCGGCACTCGCTCTCTCCACTGTCAACAACCCCAACGTGCGGCACGCGCTGGAGTCACTACAGTCGCTCATCAGAGGTAATGTCTCTTACAGACTGTATACATGTGGACAATGCTAACACAGACTGTATACATGTGGACAATGCTAACACAGACTGTATACATGTGGACAATGCTAACACAGACTGTATACATGTGGACAATGCTAACACAGACTGTATACATGTGGACAATGCTAACACAGACTGTATACATGTGGACAATGCTAACACAGACTGTATACATGTGGACAATGCTAACACAGACTGTATACATGTGGACAATGCTAACACAGACTGTATACATGTGGACAATGCTAACACAGACTGTATACAAATGGACAATGCTAACATGCTAGCTCAATGCAGTCCAATATGGAAGTGCTCATGGTTCAGTTCTGAGGCATTTCAAGCCCTGTGAGTCCAGAGAGTGTGAGTGTCCAGAGAGTGTGAGTGTCCAGAGAGTGTTAGTCCAGAGAGTGTGAGTGTCCAGGGAGTGTGAGTGTCCAGGGAGTGTGAGTGTCCAGGGAGTGTGAGTGTCCAGGGAGTGTGAGTGTCCAGAGAGTGTGAGTGTCCAGGGAGTGTGAGTGTCCAGAGAGTGTGAGTGTCCAGGGAGTGTGAGTGTCCAGAGAGTGTGAGTGTCCAGGGAGTGTTAGTGTCCAGAGAGTGTGAGTGTCCAGAGAGTGTGAGTGTCCAGGGAGTGTGAGTGTCCAGGGAGTGTGAGTGTCCAGGGAGTGTGAGTGTCCAGAGAGTGTGAGTGTGCAGAGAGTGTGAGTGTCCAGGATGAGTGTCCAGGGAGTGTGAGTGTCCAGAGAGTGTGAGTGTCCAGAGAGTGTGAGTGTCCAGAGAGTGTGAGTGTCCAGAGAGTGTGAGTGTCCAGAGAGTGTGAGTGTCCAGAGAGTGTGAGTGTCCAGGAGGTGTGAGTGTCCAGGGAGTGGAGTGTGAGTGTCCAGGGAGTGTGAGTGTCCAGGAGTGTGAGTGTCCAGAGAGTGTGAGTGTCCAGAGAGTGTGGTGTCCAGAGAGTGTGAGTGTCCAGAGAGTGTGGTGAGTGTCCAGAGAGTGTGAGTGTCCAGAGAGTGTGAGTGTCCAGAGAGTGTGAGTGTCCAGAGAGTGTGAGTGTGAGTGTCCAGAGAGTGAGAGTGTGAGTGTCCAGAGAGTGTGAGTGTCCAGAGAGTGTGAGTGTCCAGAGAGTGTGAGTGTCCAGAGAGAGTGTGCAGTGTCCAGAGAGTGTGAGTGTCCAGAGAGTGTGAGTGTCCAGAGAGTGTGAGTGTCCAGAGAGTGGAGTGTGAGTGTGTCCAGAGGTCAGTGTGAGTGTCCAGAGAGTGTGAGAGTGTCCAGAGAGTGTGAGTGTCCAGAGAGTGTGAGTGTCCAGAGAGTGTGAGAGTGTCCAGAGAGTGTGAGTGTCCAGAGAGTGTGAGTGTCCAGAGAGTGTCCAGAGAGTGTGAGTGTCCAGAGAGTGTGAGTGTCCAGAGAGTGTGAGTGTCCAGAGAGTGTGAGTGTCCAGAGAGTGTGAGTGTCCAGAGAGTGTGAGTGTCCAGAGAGTGTGAGTGTCCAGAGAGTGTGAGTGTCCAGAGAGTGTGAGTGTCCAGAGAGTGTGAGTGTCCAGAGAGTGTGAGTGTCCAGGGAGTGTGAGTGTCCAGAGAGTGTGAGTGTCCAGAGAGTGTGAGTGTCCAGAGAGTGTGAGTGTCCAGAGAGTGTGAGTGTCCAGGCAGTGGGACAGACCACTGTATTTTTAATGATGGTTTGTTATGGTTCTATAATCTGAACGTCTCTCCAGAGAAACCTTGATCCAGAAGGTAGTCCACAATTCCACTTTCATCTGTTTCTATTTTACTGCGATCTCTAATCTCTAATCTCTAAATCTCGTCTCTTTTCAGCCACGAAGGAGAAGCGTGCTCAGGATACAGGGGACCGGGAGAGCAGCGTCTCATCCCAAAACTCTGGCAAAACGGTGAGGATTCCACACAGTTCACACCGGGTTCATAACTTTAACGCTGCCCCATGGTTCTGGTTCTGCAGATCATCACAGGAGACCGACGCAAACAGCAGATGGAGTTTCTGCTGCAGGAGCTGGAGGGTCTGCTCAAACGCAGCGGTGAGAAGCTAACATTGGAATCCTCTCAAATCATCTCTGTCTAGAACTCGGGTTGGATTCGAACATGAAACGTCTCCACTTGTGCATATGATAAAGAGTTCCTTTATTCGTCCCACAGTGGGGACATTTTTAAGAAATAACTGTATATAGACGGACAATGCTAGACCACTAGTCTGCCTCCTATTGACTTATTACTTGTTTTTGTGTGCATCTCTGGTCTCTCTCCCTGCTCCCTCTCTGGTCTCTCGCCCTGCTCTCTCTCTGGTCTCTCGCCCTGCTCCCTCTCTGGTCTCTCGCCCTGCTCCCTCTCTGGTCTCTCTCCCTGCTCCCTCTCTGGTCTCTCTCTCTGGTCTCTCTCCCTGCTCTCTCTCTGGTCTCTCTCCCTGCTCCCTCTCTGGTCTCTCTCTGGTCTCTCTCCCTGCTCTCTCTCTGGTCTCTCTCCCTGCTCCCTCTCTGGTCTCTCTCCCTGCTCCCTCTCTGGTCTCTCTCCCTGCTCCCTCTCTGGTCTCTCTCTCTGGTCTCTCTCCCTGCTCCCTCTCTGGTCTCTCTCCCTGCTCTCTCTCTGGTCTCTCTCCTTGTGTCTCCAGGTCTGGGGTTCCTGACTCCGGTCATTGGTTTCTATTGCCACAGATGTGAAGAGTTCATTGGAGATTTAAACACAGCAGAGAAACATGGAGCTGATCATCGATCTGGGAAAGTGAGCAGACTATTTAATTATTAAATACAGTACCTTGCGAAAGTATTCGGCCCCCTTGAACCTTTCAACATTTTGCCATATTTCAGGCTTCAAACAAAGATATAAAAATTAAATTTTTTGTCAAGAATCAACAACAAGTGGGACACAATCGTGAAGTAGAACGAAATTTATTGGATAATTTAAACTTTTTTAACAAATAAAAAACTGAAAAGTGGGGCGTGCAATATTATTCGGCCCCCTTGCGCTAATACTTTGTAGCGCCACCTTTTGCTGCAATTACAGCTGCAAGTCGCTTGGGGTATGTCTCTATCAGTTTTGCACATCGAGAGACTGGAATTCTTGCCCATTCTTCCTTGCAAAACAGCTGGAGCTCAGTGAGGTTGGATGGAGAGCGTTTGTGAACAGCAGTCTTCAGCTCTTTCCACAGATTGTCGATTGGATTCAGGTCTGGGCTTTGACTTGGCCATTCTGACACCTGGATACGTCTATTTGTGAACCATTCCATTGTAGATTTGGCTTTATGTTTTGGATCATTGTCCTGTTGGAAGATAAATCTCTGTCCCAGTCTCAGGTCTTTTGCAGACTCCAACAGGTTTTCTTCCAGAATGGTCTTGTATTTGGCTCCATCCATCTTCCCATCAATTTTAGCCATCTTCCCTGTCCCTGCTGAAGAAAAGCAGGCCCAAAGCATGATGCTGCCACCACCATGTTTGACAGTGGGGATGGTGTGTTCAGGGTGATGAGCTGTGTTGCTTTTACGCCAAACATATCGTTTTGCATTGTGGCCAAAAAGTTCGATTTTGGTTTCATCTGACCAGAGCACCTTCTTCCACATGTTTGGTGTGTCTCCCAGGTAGCTTGTGGCAAACTTTAAACGAGACTTTTTATGGATATCTTTGAGAAATGGCCACTCTTCCATAAAGGCCAGATTTGTGCAGTGCACGACTGATTGTTGTCCTATGGACAGACTCTCCCACCTCAGCTGTAGTTATCTGCAGTTCATCCAGAGTGATCATGGGCCTCTTGGCTGCATCTCTGATCAGTCTTCTCCTTGTTTGAGATGAAAGTTTGGAGGGACGGCCGGGTCTTGGTAGATTTGCAGTGGTCTGATACTCCTTCCATTTCAATATAATTGCTTGCACAGTGCTCCTTGAGATGTTTAAAGCTTGGGAAATCTTTTTGTATCCAAATCCGGCTTTAAACTTCTCCACAACAGTATCTCGGACCTGCCTGGTGTGTTCCTTTGTCTTCATGGTTCTCTCTGCGCTTTAAACAGAACCCTGAGACTATCAAAGAGCAGGTGCATTTATACAGAGACTTGATTACACACAGGAGCATTCCATTTATCATCATCAGTCATTTAGGACAACATTGGATCATTCAAAGATCCTCACTGAACTTCTGGAGTGAGTTTGCTGCACTGAAAGTAAAGGGGCCGAATAATATTGCACGCCCCACTTTTCAGTTTTTTATTTGTTAAAAAAGTTTAAATTATCCAACAAATTTTGTTCCACTTCACGATTGTGTCCCACTTGTTGTTGATTCATGATTTATATTTGAAGCCTGAAATGTTGAAAGGTTCAAGGGGGCCGAATACTTTCGCAAGGCACTGTATATAACTGACATGAGACCAGAGACAGAGACTGAGCGAGACCAGAGCGACCGACCAGAGGGAGAGGCCTTCTGTGCAGTTGTGTTGTGTCTGATTGTTTCTGGTGTTTTCAGTTAAAGCGAAAGACGTCAAGAAGAGAAACCTCAGTGAAATCTAAGAAACGGGTGAGAACCTCAGGACGAGCCTCACGTTTCTCTAAAACCTTAAATCCACTTTTAATCTTTATCTATAACTGCAGTGTTCTCCTACAGAAGACTCAGCACGGCAACAAGAGAGAGGCCTCCAAGAAAGGGGCCTCCAAGAGAGAGACCTGCAAGAGAGAGACCTCCAAGAGAGAGACCTCCAACAAGGCTTCAAAAGAGACGAGAAGCGACGAGAAGCAAAGAGAGAAGGACAAACCAGCAGAGAAACCAGCGCTAAAACCAGGGACCATAAAGACAAACTCTTTCCTGCAGGAGAAACTGCAAGGAGAGCGCATGCTGATCACCGTGTCATGTGACAAACCACCTGACCTCAGACCGACCAATCAGAGCGCAGTGTCGAAGCGTTCGCGGAGCAGAAGCAGCAGCAGTGACGCCGACAGGAAACGCAAGAAGAAGAAAGGCAAAAAGAAGAAGAAGAATAAATAGGATTTAATTGTTTGGTGCAAACAAGGGCAGTGTCTGTGTTATCGATCTCTCTCTGGTCTCTCTCTGGTCTCTCTCTGGTCTCTCTGGTCTCTCTCTGGTCTCTCTCTGGTTTCTGTCTCTCTCTCTGGTTTCTGTCTCTCTCTGGTTTCTCTCTCTCTGGTTTCTGTCTCTCTCTCTGGTTTCTGTCTCTCTCTGGTTTCTCTCTCTCTGGTTTCTGTCTCTCTCTGGTTTCTGTCTCTCTCTCTGGTCTCTCTCTGGTTTCTGTCTCTCTGGTTTCTCTCTCTCTCTGGTTTCTGTCTCTCTGGTTTCTCTCTCTCTCTGGTTTCTGTCTCTCTGGTTTCTCTCTCTCTGGTTTCTGTCTCTCTCTCTGGTTTCTGTCTCTCTCTCTGGTTTCTGTCTCTCTCTCTCTGGTTTCTGTCTCTCTCTGGTTTCTGTCTCTCTCTCTGGTTTCTGTCTCTCTCTGGTTTCTGTCTCTCTCTCTGGTTTCTGTCTCTCTCTCTGGTTTCTGTCTCTCTCTCTCTGGTTTCTGTCTCTCTCTCTCTGGTTTCTGTCTCTGGTTTCTGTCTCTCTCTCTGGTTTCTGTCTCTCTCTCTGGTTTCTGTCTCTCTCTGGTTTCTGTCTCTCTCTGGTTTCTGTCTCTCTCTCTCTGGTTTCTGTCTCTCTCTGGTTTCTCTCTCTCTCTCTGGTTTCTGTCTCAGATTGTACGCCCCATGGTTTTAAAACTCAAGTGTTATGTCTCCATCTGACCGACCGTATTCATTTTCACTTCCTGAGGCCGGCAGCTCGCACCTGTAAAGTAAAGGACTCTTTCTGGTCTCTCTCTCTCCGGTCTTTCTCTTGACTCTGGTTTCTTTCTGGTCCCTCTCTCCGTTGTATATTTAGCAAATATGTTTGGTTATCTCTCCGTCCTTACTTTTTCTTTTGAGATGTAGAAAACTTGCTGATGTGTTTGTCTTTTTCATTTTCTTTTTGCAGGTTTTTTCCGTCGCTGGTTTCACCGTAAATAAAAACGTTCCTTAGTCCTTTAAACGTGTGGTGTGTGTTACTGCAGCTGCACCAATCAGATTAAAGGAGGTATTTGAAACGGCGGTTGTGATTTGGCGCCGTGTCGGACAAGTCTTGGGAGGTTTGCAGTTGTGCCGTACTCATGAATTGGTGATTTGTGAGATTTAAACATTTAGACATGTTGATATTGGTTCATCCTCCCTGACCTCTGACCTCTCTGGTTCTTCCTCCCTGACCTCTGACCTCTCTGGTTCTTCCTCCCTGACCTCACTGGTTCTTCCTCCCTGACCTCTCTGGTTCTTCCTCATGACCTCTCTGGTTCTTCCTCCCTGACCTCTGACCTCACTGGTTCTTCCTCCCTGACCTCTGACCTCTCTGGTTCTTCCTCATGACCTCTGACCTCTCTGGTTCTTCCTCCCTGACCTCTCTGGTTCATCCTCCCTGATGTCTTCAATTTTACCATTTGCACTTTAAAAAATAGTCCAGCTCTATTTTGTGCGAATAGACCTGAACACTGCATCAGTGATGAAGACCGGTCCTGTGCCACTATTCGACTCCTGACTCACCCGGAACCCCCCCCCCTCTAGAACCTCCCCCCTCTCCGTCCTCCCCCGCCCCTCTTTTGTCTAAACACTAGGTTGCACACGGTCTCTGTTTTGCCGCCACCAACAGTTAAGTTAGAAGAGACCCTGGGCCGTTTCCTTAAAGAATTGACAAATATTCAGCCAAATGTAATTATTTTTCTGTTTAAGAATCGACCACAACAGCTGACACTGAAACTTTGATTTCTTGCAGTTTTATTTGAAGAAAATTGAATTTGAAATGCAAAAGGGGCTGTGTTGTATTACGTGTGTTACTAGTAAACCACCAGACTTTGCAATTGTTCAAAGACCCTTAAAAAAACACTGAACTCATTACACTTATTTGTTTTTATAAATGTCATGAGTTTGCAGTTTATCAGTGACTATATTTTTCATGCCTTGAACCGAATTCTCACAGATGTGTTGCTTCCAAGAGTCATTTATTAAGACCATCTGTGTGACGTTTCATTTGACATGAAGACATTGGTTTTGTGACATCTTAGGTTCAATGATAAACGCCATCTCTACAAGACTCGTAACAATAACAGGCAGCGAGGCTTTAATGTTCTCACTTTACACCTGTAGATAATCTCGACCTCCACATGCTGAGGTGTGACCAGGAGGTTTCTAAAGTCTGTTTTGAGTCCTAGACTACAGATGGAAGTAGCATGGTGCTAAATCTGCAGCCACATTTTTAACATAACTGCACATTGTCCTTAAACTAAAGTCTGTTACCTTCTCTCACGCAGATAGTAAACTCTTCATTCTGGAATATTCCCAAAGGCCCTGAACCCCACAGTCATCGGGCTCCTCCTACAGAGCAGTTTGGTGACCAACAGCTTACCAAATGTCTTAAATCATCTGATATGTTCCGGTCTGGCTTTAGACCCCACCACAGACTGAGGCCGCCGTTGTCAAGGTAACCAACTGAACACTGAGGCAAAGTCTCGGTCTTAATCCTGTTAGATCTGAGTGCTGCTGGTTGGTGCAGGTCTTACCTTAAAGACAGGAAGTACTTTGTGGAGATTGGAGAAAGTGGCCCAATCCCAACACCCACTCTGCCCCTACACACCTACGAAGTGTGCGTCTGTTTGAAGTGCACACAAGGGTTTGAGTGGCAGGTTACAGCAAAAAAGGTGGAATTGGGACAGTGCACACTGAGCGCAGGATACATTTCATTTTCAGACCTAAACTTTATAAAAATTGGAGGTAATTTTGTCTGACCCTGTGGGAAACTAAATGAGTTGCTCCACACGTTAAAATAAATATATATTGGTTATTCGTAATTTGAGATAGCTGTATAATTTAAAGTTAAATGTGGGTAACTTATCTGGTCAGTTTTTATACATCCTAAGTTTATTGTACTAAGTGTAAAGTTCAAATTTAATGTTTTGAACTTTACTTTAAAAAGTTAAGTTGTTTAAATACAACGTCCGTAATTCTTCATCAGACATTGCTGCTTCTTTCCAAGTAACAGCAAAACTTATGTACACACATACAGCATATATATTGAAAGAATTATGGGCAATATCCTTCGCCAGAGTCCGCTTAGATGCAGGCTACGGCACAGTGTGGATCAGGGGAGCAAAGGGGGCGGGGCCAAAGACCTACCTGGAGGATTGGGACGCCCTACGCACCCATCATCGGGAACGCCCAAATAAGGGGCGCGAGGGTGGAAGTGCGAGCATTGGGACTGGGCCTGTGTCTCCTCATATGGCCCTGACCTGTGGAGTACCACAGGGGTCCATCCTGGGACCTCTTGTTTTATGCAGCTAAAGTCTGAAAGTCTTCCTGAAAATGTGAAACAGGCTTCTACTTCTACAATGTTCAAATCCAGTTTAAAACAGTTCTGTTTTGTTCACCATTTTGAGTTACCTTGTGTATGAACTTTGTTATACAAATACACTTGTCTAATCAAATACAGTGTCATCTCCTTGAGCAAATTCTTTTCAATTTACTGCCAATAATGATAAAGATTGTAGAGACCAGAGAGACACACCGAACAGAGACCTGAGAGAGAGCAGAGAGAGACCTGAGTGAGACCTGAGTGAGACCTGAGTGAGACCAGAGAGAGAGCAGAGGGACCCTGCATAACAGATTACATTCAGACATAGTTTAGGGTTGAGCAGTCAAACCTACAGACACAGGGAGAACATGCAAACTCCTACAAAAGCCCAGGAGGTGGAATCGAACACAGTTCAGAGAGAACTCTGCAGGTTCCGATCTTTTGGACAAACTTCAAAAACAAACTCCTGATTTTCATCACATTTATTACATGTAAAAAGTCCATACGTTTCTTCATTATTTACAGACCATCTGCTCAAACGGCCAATAAATATGTGAATCTAAAATGAACAGTGTCCTGGGTCAGAGGCATGATCAGATTCCTGGTCTGGGTCTGGATCTGAGTCTCTTTGGCCTCAGTCCTCATCTGTCACTCACTACAAGACATCATTCAAGGTCTCGAAGACTCCTTCTTGGATTCTGGGCGGCCATGTTTGAAGTCTGTCCTTGGTTCTGTCAGTTTGGATTCTTCACAATCATTTATCTGAATAATAAGAGTCTGGTTCTTATCTTGGTTGTGATGAAGTCTTCTAGTCTAGTGCGGTGGCCATATTTGTAGTTTGTTATAAATATCTCTGGTTTGATCAGTTTTTGTTTTTGTCTTGGACCTCTCCCCACAGGCTCCACCTCCTTTCCTCCTTTAAACGCTCCATCAGTAATAAAACGTCTCATGTTCTAAAATAAACATTTACAACAGTTACTTCTGAATCATAAAAATCATTATTTCTTGTTTCTGAGAAAATAAAAGTCCACTTTTATTGTGTTTATTTTCAGCAGCTTCTCGTCGTCGGCCATGTTGGATTTAAGACGTTTTCATTCATGCGTCTTCCTCTAATCTGTGTTTTCCATATTTGTAGTCTTTGCAGTCCTGATTCTTGTCGATGTTGGCCATGTTTACAGTCCTAAACCTTGACAGTTGGCCATGTTTGTAGTCCTCTACTTGTCAGTGTCAGCCATGTTTGTAGTCCTGTTACTTGACTGTGTCACTGTCCGCAGTTCCTCCTCTTGGCACTGGGGGCAGCAGAGGTACCGGAGACGTGGCCTCAATCAGTGCTGGGTTCAGGATGATTGGCAGAGACATGGGCGGGACTCCCACCTGCAGCGGCGATGCCAGTGGCTGAAGGATCAGGGGGGAGGGGCCTAATGGGGAGGGGGTGGGGCTGAGTGTGGGAAGGGAAGGAGTCTGAGCATGGGAGGGCGGAGCCTCAGAACCTGAGGAAACAGATGTTAGAGTGAGCAGTGAACCCTTTTAAAGCTGAGGTTCGTAACTTCCTCTTCTTCAGGTCTGAAAAAGCTGATTCGAAGACGTGACAGAGGCTATAAACATATAAGAGAGACCAGAATGAGACCAGGGGAGACGAGGGAGGGACCAGAGAGAGACAACGAACTCGTGACAGATGTTATTACAGAGTTCCACTGAAGTGGAAGAAGGGGAAGGTAATGTCACTGTTGGCTGTCACGACGCCAAGCCAGTGCTTCTCAATTATTTTCTTCCAGGACCCCCTTAGATAGAAGAAAACATTTTGCGCCCCCCCTTTACACCTTAAAATTGGCTCAAAATTGGCTCAAAATGACTCACAGGGCTTCTGAACAAACCACAACAGCCTGTTGTACAATTACAGTTTATTCAAGTGCGTTCCCCAGAGACGCCCCTGGCTGAGGCAGTCACTCACCCTGGCCTGGGGGACCCTCCTGTGGTGAGGCCGATCGGCTCGGGCTCTCAGACTGTGGAGGAGTCACTGGGGGGGAGGGGGGTCGAGCTGGGGGAGGCGTCTGGGGTGAGGGAGGTCTGAGGGACTCTGCAGGAGGACACGGCTCTGAGGAGAAACACACAGAGGTTAAAGACCTCACAGGAGTCAGACTTTAAACATGTTCATGAGACTAAAGTTACAGACCCGAGCTTTAAACATGTTTATGAGACTAAAGTTACAGACCCCAGCTTTAAACATGTTTATGAGACTAAAGTTACAGACCCGAGCTTTAAACATGTTTATGAGACTAAAGTTACAGACCTGAGCTTTAAACATGTTTATGAAACTAAAGTTACAGACCTGAGCTTTAAACATGTTTATGAGACTAAAGTTACAGACCCCAGCTTTAAACATGTTTATGAGACTAAAGTTACAGACCTGAGCTTTAAACATGTTTATGAAACTAAAGTTACAGACCTGAGCTTTAAACATGTTTATGAGACTAAAGTTACAGACCCGAGCTTTAAACATGTTTATGAAACTAAAGTTACAGACCCCAGCTTTAAACATGTTTATGAGACTAAAGTTACAGACCCCAGCTTTAATGGACTTGCCTTCTCGGACAGTCTGTTTGAACAGCTCCTCCTTCAGATGTGGCAGGAAGCACACGATCCTCTCCCACGTGATGCTCCACAGGTCGGAGTAACCAGAACCAGAACCAGAGTCTGAGCAGTGGAAGATCCCAGCCGTGTCCATGACCAGCAACATGTTCTTCAGAGACTCAGGGATGGCCTCCTGCTGAGGAGGAGGAGAAAGATGTGTTACAATTACACCCCCAGCTGAGGAGGAGAGAGGAGAGAGACTGGAGAGAGGATCACAGAGAGGAGAGAGACTGGAGAGAAGATCGCAGAGAGGAGAGAGGATCGCAGAGAGGAGAGAGACTGGAGAGAAGAACGCAGAGAGGATCGCAGAGAGGAGAGAGACTGGAGAGAGGATCACAGAGAGGAGAGAGACTGGAGAGAAGAACGCAGAGAGGAGAGAGGATCACAGAGAGGAGAGAGGATCGCAGAGAGGAGAGAGACTGGAGAGAAGATCGCAGAGAGGAGAGAGACTGGAGAGAGGATCGCAGAGAGGAGAGAGGATCGCAGAGAGGAGAGAGACTTGGGAGAGGATCGCAGAGGAGAGACTTGGGAGAGGATCGCGGAGAGGATCGCAGAGAGGAGAGAGACTGGAGAGAGGATCGCAGAGAGGAGAGAGACTGGAGAGAAGATCGCAGAGAGGAGAGAGACTGGAGAGAGGATCACAGAGAGGAGAGAGACTGGAGAGAAGATTGAAGAGAGGAGAGAGACTGGAGAGAGGAGAGAGGATCGCAGAGAGGAGAGAGACAGGAGAGAGGAGAGAGACTGGAGAGAAGATCGCAGAGAGGAGAGAGACTGGAGAGAAGATCGCAGAGAGGAGAGAGACTGGAGAGAAGATCGCAGAGAGGAGAGAGGATCGCAGAGAGGAGAGAGACTGGAGAGAGGATCACAGAGAGGAGAGAGACTGGAGAGAAGATCGCAGAGAGGAGAGAGACTGGAGAGAGGATCGCAGAGAGGAGAGACTGGAGAGAGGATCGCAGAGAGGAGAGAGACTGGAGAGAAGATCGCAGAGAGGAGAGAGACTGGAGAGAGGATCGCAGAGAGGAGAGACTGGAGAGAGGATCGCAGAGAGGAGAGAGACTGGAGAGAGGATCGCAGAGAGGAGAGACTGGAGAGAGGATCGCAGAGAGGAGAGAGACTGGAGAGAGGATCGCAGAGAGGAGAGAAGATCGCAGAGAGGAGAGAGACTGGAGAGAGGATTGCAGAGAGGAGAGAGACTGGAGAGAAGATCGGAGAGAGGAGGTCTACAGTCTCTCACCAGGAGGTCGCTGGAGCCTGCGTGCATGTACTTGTCCATGAAGTCCAGGATGGTGAGCCACAGAGCAGCAAAGGTCGGCAACGAGAGGAGAGGAGAGAGGTGCTGGAGGAAGACCTGAGGAGGAGAGGAGGAGAACCATCATACACCTGCATGTGAGAGGGGACGAGAGAGAGAACACTTATACACTGCAGCTGAGAGGAGAGAGACGGGAGAGGAGAGGGGGAGGAGGGAGAAGGGAGAGGAGAGAAAAAACAGAGTAGGAGAAACATCTTAGGAGAGCTGTAGATGTCTGCAGCTCCTCCACAGTAACCATGGGCCTCGTGTGTGCATCTCCTTGTTGTAGCTTTGAGTTTGGGCAGAGACCCATGTGTTGGTAGGTTTGCAGTGAATCATGAATTATTGTATTTGTTTGTTTATAGAGTTATACGCCGCTTTAACGTCTCCACACCACCTCCCTGACCTCTGACCCCTGGTACCTTAGACAGCAGGGTGCAGGCTCGCATCCTGGTCTCCTCCATCCCTCCCACATCTGCAGGACTGATGTTCTCCAGGAGTTTGGTGAGGAGCGGAAACAGGACCTGTGGAAAAAACCACCAATCAGAAAAGACTTTCATTTACAGGTCTGAGAGGAGAGAGAGGAGGGAGAGGAGGGAGAGAGGAGGGAGAGGAGAGAGAGGAGAGAGAGGAGAGAGAGAAGAGGGAGAGAGGAGAGAGAGAAGAGGGAGAGGAGGGAGAGAGGAGGGAGCGGAGGGAGAGGAGAGAGAGGAGAGAGAGAAGAGGGAGAGAGGAGGGAGAGGAGAGAGAGAAGAGGGAGAGGAGAGGAAAGAGAGGGGCGAGAGAGGGGAGGGAGAGAGAGAGAGGAGGGGGGGGAGAGAGGAGGGGGAGGAGAGGGGCGAGGGAAGAGAGGAGGGAGAGGGGAGAGAGGAGGGGGGGTGAGGAGGGGGAGAGAGGAGAGAGAAGAGAGAGGAGAGGGAGGAGAGAGGGGAGAGAGAGAGGAGGGGGAGGGGAGGGAGAGAGGAGAGAGAGAGAGGAGAGAGAGAGAGAGAGGGGAGGGAGGAGAGAGGGGAGGGAGGAGAGAGAGGAGGGAGGAGAGAGGGGGAGGGAGGAGAGAGGGGAGGGGAGGGAGGGGGAGGGGAGGGAGAGAGGAGGGAGAGAGGAGAGAGAGAGAGGAGGGAGGGGAGAGAAAAGAGAGGAGGAAGGGATGGGGGAGGAGAGAAAGAGCGAGAGGAGGGAGAAAGGAGAGGTTCACTCAGGTCAGAGTTGATGAGGAGCAGAGAAAGTCTCCTTTAACTTAAACCCCTGTGCCATCAGCAGTGAATACAATAACACCTCCTCCCCCTCCTCACTTTATTAAAGCAGGACTCCCTCCCTTCCCTCACCCTACCACTCTCCCCCCTCCTCTCCTCACCTTGTTGAAGCAGGACTCCCACTCTGCTGCCTCCAGAGCCTGCAGGTCGTGCACCAACAGCGCCCTCTGCAGGTAGGTCAGCGCCTGCATCCGCACCTGTCTGCGCGCGTCAGTACAGAGCCAGGCCATCCCTGCAACAGAGACCAGACTGAGACCAGACTGAGACCAGGAGCAGGAGCGAGACCAGGACCGAGAACTGGACCGAGACCAGGACTGAGGCCAGGACCAGGGCCGAGACCAGGAGCGAGACCTGGACTGAGGCAAGGACCAGGACCGAGACCAGGACCTGGACCGAAACCAGGACTGAGGCCAGGACCAGGACCGAGACCAGGACCGAGACCAGGACAGTAGACCTGTTTTCATGGTAACAGTAAACGCTCACCCTGCAGCAGAGGACACCAGCAGCTTGTCCAAAGAGTCTGGGAGTCGGCCTCGATCCTCCTGCTCTCCTCCTCCAGGAGGCGCTGCTCCTCTGCCCAGGAGCTGTAGATACTGGCAGCACGAGTGTGGAGGGTGTGCATCAGGTCCAGCAGCTGTGAGGAGAGAGGAGGTGGTTACTACAGCTGTGAGGAGAGAGGAGGTGGTTACTACAGCTGTGAGGAGAGAGGAGGAGGTTACTACAGCTGAGAGGAGGAGGTTACTACAGCTGTGAGGAGAGAGGAGGTGGTTACTACAGCTGTGAGGAGAGAGGAGGAGGTTACTACAGCTGTGAGGAGAGAGGAGGAGGTTACTACAGCTGTGAGGAGAGAGGAGGTGGTTACTACAGCTGAGAGGAGAGAGGAGGAGGTTACTACAGCTGTGAGGAGAGAGGAGGTGGTTACTACAGCTGAGAGGAGAGAGGAGGAGGTTACTACAGCTGTGAGGAGAGAGGAGGAGGTTACTACAGCTGTGAGGAGAGAGGAGGTGGTTACTACAGCTGAGAGGAGAGAGGAGGAGGTTACTACAGCTGTGAGGAGAGAGGAGGTGGTTACTACAGCTGTGAGGAGAGAGGAGGAGGTTACTACAGCTGTGAGGAGAGAGGAGGTGGTTACTACAGCTGTGAGGAGAGAGGAGGTGGTTACTGCAGCTGTGAGGAGAGAGGAGGTGGTTACTACAGCTGTGAGGAGGAGGTTACTACAGCTGTGAGGAGAGAGGAGGTGGTTACTACAGCTGTGAGGAGAGAGGAGGAGGTTACTACAGCTGTGAGGAGAGAGGAGGTGGTTACTACAGCTGTGAGGAGAGAGGAGGTGGTTACTACAGCTGTGAGGAGAGAGGAGGTGTTTACTACAGCTGTGAGGAGAGAGGAGGTGTTTACTACAGCTGTGAGGAGAGAGGAGGAGGTTACTACAGCTGTGAGGAGAGAGGAGGAGGTTACTACAGCTGTGAGGAGAGAGGAGGTGGTTACTACAGCTGTGAGGAGAGAGGAGGAGGTTACTACAGCTGTGAGGAGAGAGGAGGTGGTTACTACAGCTGTGAGGAGAGAGGAGGTGGTTACTACAGCTGTGAGGAGAGAGGAGGTGGTTACTACAGCTGTGAGGAGAGAGGAGGAGGTTACTACAGCTGTGAGGAGAGAGGAGGTGGTTACTACAGCTGTGAGGAGAGAGGAGGAGGTTACTACAGCTGTGAGGAGAGAGGAGGTGGTTACTACAGCTGTGAGGAGAGAGGAGGAGGTTACTACAGCTGTGAGGAGAGAGGAGGAGGTTACTACAGCTGTGAGGAGAGAGGAGGTGGTTACTACAGCTGTGAGGAGAGAGGAGGTGGTTACTACAGCTGTGAGGAGAGAGGAGGTGGTTACTACAGCTGTGAGGAGAGAGGAGGTGTGCTATAGGTGAAAAACGCTGGTACTTACGTCCTGACTAACCTGTAAAGACACCGTGTGGTAGCTCGCCGGCACGCCCTCGTCCTCTTCCTCGTCACTATGGTTACGAGCTGGTCTGTGATTGGTCGACCTGCCCCCCCCTCGCCGGCCCCCTGCTCCTGCTTCCTTATCGCGACCGCCGTTCTTCTTCCTCAAACGGGACTTGGACGAATCGTACTTATGGCTCCTCTTTTTGTCGTGGTTCCGGTATCCTGCAAACAAACAATGGTCAAACCTGGGTCAAACCTGGGTCAAACCTGGGTCAAACCTGGGTCAAACCTGGTCACCTCTTCAGAATGTCCACAAAAACCCAGATGGCTTTCACACACACCTGAATGGTCTCTGGGGTCTCTGGGGTCTCTGGGGTCTCTGGTCTTACCTCCGTTCAGACTGGCCTCCACAAACACCCGGATGGCCTTCACACACAGTTCGAAGTTGTCTGGAGTCACGTGGGCCGCGTCCCTCACGATGAAGGACAGAGTCTCCACACACTTCAGGAGGGACTTGGTGTCATGTTGTCCCAGGTCCTGTCCCACCGTGAGACTGAACTGGTTCACGAGAGCGTGCCGGACCTCTGACCTGCCCGCGGGTTTCAGCTCGGGTACAGGGTCGGGTCTGAGGTCAGGTTTAGACTCTGGCATGGGGTCCGGCTTTGAGAGAGACGGCTTAAGATCCAAGTCGTCTTTACCAACCTGAGACAGAAGAAGGTTCAACAGTCCGTTTAAGACCTGTCTGGGTCCAGTCTAGCCTGGTCGTACCACACCATAGTACAAATTACATTTCATTCTAAGGTCTGGAGGTGCTCCATTGAGCTCCGTGAACAGGTGGGAGGGGCTAACTCCTTTTGCAGATTGAAACGATTGGATCTGAGTTTACCGTGACGTATGTAATGCGCCCGAGTCTGTTGTTAGCATTTAGCATTTAGCCTAGCTTTAGCCTGCTCTTGAAGCCTGTTCTCTCACTCTCTCTGGTCTCTCTCACTCTCCCACTCGCTCTGGTCTCTCTCACTCTCTCTGGTCTCACTCACTCTCTCTGGTCTCTCTCACTCTCCCACTCGCTCTGGTCTCTCTCACTCGCTCTGGTCTCACTCACTCGCTCTGGTCTCACTCACTCTCTCTGGTCTCACTCACTCGCTCTGGTCTCTCTCACTCGCTCTGGTCTCTCTCACTCGCTCTGGTCTCTCTCACTCGCTCTGGTCTCTCTCACTCGCTCTGGTCTCTCTCACTCGCTCTGGTCTCTCTCACTCGCTCTGGTCTCTCTCACTCGCTCTGGTCTCTCTCACTCGCTCTGGTCTCTCTCACTCGCTCTGGTCTCTCTCACTCGCTCTGGTCTCTCTCACTCGCTCTGGTCTCTCTCACTCGCTCTGGTCTCTCTCACTCGCTCTGGTCTCTCTCACTCGCTCTGGTCTCTCTCACTCGCTCTGGTCTCTCTCACTCGCTCTGGTCTCTCTCACTCGCTCTGGTCTCTCTCACTCGCTCTGGTCTCTCTCACTCGCTCTGGTCTCTCTCACTCGCTCTGATCTCTCTCACTCGCTCTGGTCTCACTCACTCTCTCTGGTCTCTCTCACTCTCTCTGGTCTCTCTCACTCTCTGGTCTCTCTCACTCTCTGGTCTCTCTCACTCGCTCTGGTCTCTCTCACTCGCTCTGGTCTCTCTCACTCGCTCTGGTCTCACTCACTCGCTCTGGTCTCACTCACTCGCTCGCTCTGGTCTCTCTCACTCTCTCTGGTCTCTCTCACTCTCTCTGGTCTCTCTCACTCTCTCTGGTCTCTCTCACTCTCTGGTTTCTCTCACTCTCCCACTCGCTCTGGTCTCTCTCACTCTCTCTGGTCTCTCTCACTCGCTCTGGTCTCACTCGCTCTGGTCTCTCTCACTCGCTCTGGTCTCACTCACTCTCTCTGGTCTCACTCACTCTCTCTGGTCTCACTCACTCTCTCTGGTCTCACTCACTCTCTCTGGTCTCACTCACTCTCTCTGGTCTCACTCACTCTCTCTGGTCTCTCTCACTCTCTCTGGTCTCTCTCACTCTCTCTGGTCTCACTCACTCTCTCTGGTCTCACTCACTCTCTCTGGTCTCACTCACTCTCTCTGGTCTCTCTCACTCTCTCTGGTCTCACTCGCTCTGGTCTCTCTCACTCGCTCTGGTCTCACTCACTCTCTCTGGTCTCACTCACTCTCTCTGGTCTCACTCACTCTCTCTGGTCTCACTCACTCTCTCTGGTCTCACTCACTCGCTCTGGTCTCACTCACTCTCTCTGGTCTCACTCACTCTCTCTGGTCTCACTCACTCTCTCTGGTCTCACTCACTCTCTCTGGTCTCTCTCACTCTCTCTGGTCTCTCTCACTCTCTCTGGTCTCTCTCACTCTCCCACTCGCTCTGGTCTCACTCACTCGCTCTGGTCTCACTCACTCTCTCTGGTCTCACTCACTCTCTCTGGTCTCTCTCACTCTCTCTGGTCTCTCTCACTCTCTCTGGTCTCTCCCTCTCTCTGGTCTCTCTCACTCTCTCTGGTCTCTCTCACTCTCTCTGGTCTCACTCACTCTCTCTGGTCTCACTCACTCTCTCTGGTCTCACTCACTCTCTCTGGTCTCTCTCACTCTCTCTGGTCTCTCTCACTCTCTCTGGTCTCACTCACTCTCTCTGGTCTCACTCACTCTCTCTGGTCTCACTCACTCTCTCTGGTCTCTCTCACTCTCTCTGGTCTCTCTCACTCTCTCTGGTCTCTCACTCACTCTCTCTGGTCTCTCTCACTCGCTCTGGTCTCTCTCACTCTCTCTGGTCTCACTCACTCGCTCTGGTCTCTCTCACTCGCTCTGGTCTCTCTCACTCGCTCTGGTCTCTCTCACTCTCCCACTCGCTCTGGTCTCACTCACTCGCTCTGGTCTCACTCACTCTCTCTGGTCTCACTCACTCTCTCTGGTCTCTCTCACTCTCTCTGGTCTCTCTCACTCTCTCTGGTCTCTCTCACTCTCTCTGGTCTCTCTCACTCTCTCTGGTCTCTCTCACTCTCTCTGGTCTCTCTCACTCTCTCTGGTCTCACTCACTCTCTCTGGTCTCACTCACTCTCTCTGGTCTCACTCACTCTCTCTGGTCTCTCTCACTCTCTCTGGTCTCTCTCACTCTCTCTGGTCTCACTCACTCTCTCTGGTCTCACTCACTCTCTCTGGTCTCACTCACTCTCTCTGGTCTCTCTCACTCTCTCTGGTCTCTCTCACTCTCTCTGGTCTCACTCACTCTCTCTGGTCTCTCTCACTCGCTCTGGTCTCTCTCACTCTCTCTGGTCTCACTCACTCGCTCTGGTCTCTCTCACTCGCTCTGGTCTCTCTCACTCGCTCTGGTCTCTCTCACTCTCTCTCACTCTCTCTGGTCTCTCTCACTCTCCCACTCGCTCTGGTCTCTCTCACTCTCTCTGGTCTCTCTCTCTCGCTCTGGTCTCTCTCACTCGCTCTGGTCTCTCTCACTCGCTCTGGTCTCTCTCACTCGCTCTGGTCTCTCTCACTCGCTCTGGTCTCTCTCACTCGCTCTGGTCTCTCTCACTTGCTCTGGTCTCACTCACTCGCTCTGGTCTCACTCACTCTCTCTGGTCTCACTCTCTGGTCTCTCTCACTTTCTCTGGTCTCACTCACTCTCTCTGGTCTCTCTCATTCTCTCTGGTCTCTCTCACTCGCTCTGGTCTCACTCACTCGCTCTGGTCTCTCTCACTCGCTCTGGTCTCTCTCACTCTCTCTGGTCTCACTCACTCGCTCTGGTCTCTCTCACTCGCTCTGGTCTCTCTCACTCTCTCTGGTCTCTCTCACTCTCTCTGGTCTCTCTCACTCTCTGGTCTCTCTCACTCTCCCACTCGCTCTGGTCTCTCTCACTCGCTCTGGTCTCTCTCACTCGCTCTGGTCTCACTCACTCGCTCTGGTCTCACTCACTCGCTCTGGTCTCACTCACTCTCTCTGGTCTCACTCACTCTCTCTGGTCTCACTCACTCTCTCTGGTCTCACTCACTCTCTCTGGTCTCACTCTCTCTGGTCTCACTCACTCTTTCTGGTCTCTCTCATTCTCTCTGGTCTCTCTCACTCGCTCTGGTCTCACTCACTCGCTCTGGTCTCTCTCACTCGCTCTGGTCTCTCTCACTCTCTCTGGTCTCACTCACTCGCTCTGGTCTCTCTCACTCGCTCTGGTCTCTCTCACTCGCTCTGGTCTCTCTCACTCTCTCTCACTCTCTCTGGTCTCTCTCACTCTCTCTGGTCTCTCTCACTCGCTCTGGTCTCTCTCTCTCGCTCTGGTCTCTCTCACTCGCTCTGGTCTCTCTCACTCGCTCTGGTCTCTCTCACTCGCTCTGGTCTCTCTCACTCGCTCTGGTCTCTCTCACTTGCTCTGGTCTCTCTCACTCGCTCTGGTCTCACTCACTCTCTCTGGTCTCACTCTCTCTGGTCTCTCTCACTCTCTCTGGTCTCACTCACTCTCTCTGGTCTCTCTCATTCTCTCTGGTCTCTCTCACTCGCTCTGGTCTCACTCACTCGCTCTGGTCTCTCTCACTCGCTCTGGTCTCTCTCACTCTCTCTGGTCTCACTCACTCGCTCTGGTCTCACTCACTCTCTCTGGTCTCACTCACTCTCTCTGGTCTCACTCTCTCTGGTCTCACTCACTCTCTCTGGTCTCTCTCACTCTCTCTGGTCTCACTCACTCGCTCTGGTCTCACTCACTCGCTCTGGTCTCTCTCACTCGCTCTGGTCTCTCTCACTCTCTCTGGTCTCTCTCACTCTCTGGTCTCTCTCACTCTCCCACTCGCTCTGGTCTCTCTCACTCTCTCTGGTCTCTCTCACTCTCTCTGGTCTCTCTCACTCGCTCTGGTCTCACTCGCTCTGGTCTCACTCACTCGCTCTGGTCTCACTCACTCGCTCTGGTCTCACTCACTCGCTCTGGTCTCACTCACTCTCTCTGGTCTCACTCACTCTCTCTGGTCTCACTCACTCTCTCTGGTCTCTCTCACTCTCTCTGGTCTCTCTCACTCTCTCTGGTCTCTCTCACTCTCTCTGGTCTCTCTCACTCTCCCACTCGCTCTGGTCTCTCTCACTCTCTCTGGTCTCTCTCACTCTCTCTGGTCTCTCTCACTCTCTCTCACTCTCTCTGGTCTCTCTCACTCTCCCACTCGCTCTGGTCTCTCTCACTCTCTCTGGTCTCTCTCTCTCTCTCTGGTCTCACTCACTCTCTCTGGTCTCACTCACTCTCTCTGGTCTCTCTCACTCTCTCTGGTCTCTCTCACTCTCTCTGGTCTCTCACTCTCTCTGGTTTGGTCTCAGAGCCTGGCCCTGGTCCAGGTCCTGGTCCAGGTCCTGGTCTTACCATGAGCCAGCCGCTGTCGGTGGTGGAGCGTGGGAGGCGGGGCTTGTTGTGTTCGTTGTAAACCTCGGGGTCAGAGGTGTAACCGCGATCCAGCGTCTCAGCGTGAGAGTGAGAGGAGAGCTCGCTGTCCGACTGAGCTCCTGCACACACATATACACATCAAGTTAGCGAGCAGTAGAATTTGTTTCCTTCGAGCAAAAATGCAGAATCTTCCACCCATCACAGATTAAGAAAACATTTGTGTCCCGTTCGAAGAAATTGACCAAAAAAACTACCAGTATTGACAATATCAACATACAGACAATACTGGTCTCTCTCTGGACACACTCTCGCTCTCTCTGGACTCTCGCTCTCTCTGGACTCTCGCTCTCTCTGGACTCTCGCTCTCTCTGGACTCTCTGGACTCTCTGGACTCTCTGGACTCTCTGGACTCTCTGGACTCTCTGGACTCTCTGGACTCTCTGGACTCTCTGGACTCTGGTCTTACCCGTGTCGTGGTCTCCAGTGGGGGTAGAGACCCTGAAACTGGCTGGAGCCCTGACCCCAGCTCCCGTGCACTCGATGAGGGTGAAGAGCGTGTACCAGTGCTCGGTCCTGTGGATGTTGGCAGCGTTGGTCTTCAGGAGCTCATGGAGACCGTAAGACACCTCCCTGCTCACTCTGCTGAGGACGTGAGGCTTCATACTGAGGAGGAGGCGCAGAGAGAGGAGCACCTGTGGAGGAGGAGACACTGAGACATGTGTGCTGAGACAAACCGAGGAGGAGGAGCAAGGAGAGGAGGACCTGAGGAGGAGGAAACACTGAGACGTGTGGATGTTGGTGGGAGCTGATTCCACAGTGTAGGAGCTTGGAGCTAAAGTTCTGCCTCCTACTGCACTTTACTCTTTAGGACCCAGCAGCGCAGTGAGAGTTTGGTTGGTAGGAGGAGCCTTGCTATTTATTGAGATGACGACAGCGTCACATTTAGGATATTCCTGATTTTAGCGATGCAGTGCAGGTGAAATACGCTGTTTTCGTTGCTCAATCTGCTCTGAAGGAAAGTTCTTGGTCAATTATGACTCCAAGATTCCTCAGTGTTGCTAGGAGCTACGCTAATGTTAGGGAGAGTGATTATCTGATCAGCGAGGGAGTCACAGATGTAACAGAGTAAGATTACTTCGGTTTGCAACCTTGATCTCGCTCTCTCTGGTGTCTCTCTCTCTCTGGTCTCTCACCTGTGAGCTGATGTCCTCTCTCCTCAGCAGGCGGATGCTCAGTCGGATCAGTCCCACCACGGCTCGCTCCAGCAGGAAGCAGGTCTCGTTGGCCTGAACACAGAGCTGGTACAGATGGTCCCGGACCGTGTGCCAGACCAGCGCCACCCGGTCTCTGAGGATCAGAGGAGAGACCATTAGAGCAGGACCAGTTAAAGAATCCCAGGTTCACACAGAGTAAATTAAACAAGAAGCAAGACCAGAGAGAGACCAAAGAAAAACCAGAAAGAGACTAGAGAGACTAGAGAGAAAGATACCGACCAGTGAGAGGAAACAAATCAAAACACTATAACACATGCAGAGAGACTGTGTGCTGATCACATGATCAGAATGAGGGCGTGGCCTATGTGAGTACATATATCATGTAAGCATGGATCATCTACTGACCCCTCTCAGGAGGATTCAGTTTCACTTGTGGTTTTCAAACATACTGTTCACGGTGAGGTTTGAGTCAGACCTGTTTTCCAGAACGATCCACAGCAGCATCTCCAGACAGAAGGCTGCGTCCTCCTCGTCGTACGTCTCTTCGTCTGGAGTCACCGAGATCAGAGCCTGTCAAGACACACACAGGGTTAGAGCTGACCCTACACCAGGGACAGTAGCTGTCCACATGGTACATGATGAAGGCTTTGGTCTCTGCTCTGGTCTCTTTCTGATCCGTCTCTGGTCTTTCTCTCTCTTTTATCTCCCTCTCTCTCTGGTCTGGTACTCCTCTCTCTCTGGTTTGGTACTCTAGTCCCAGTTTAGGGCTCTGGGGTCCAGGTCCTTGTCTGCGCCCTGGTCTAGGTCCTGGTCTGCGCCCTGGTCTACAGTGTGACTGACCTTCATGAGCTCCTGTAGAGACTCCAGCTGCAGAAACTTGCTCTCTGTGATGAGTTTCTCCGGGTCACAGTTCTGAAACACACACACACATCTTTAGACCAATCACAGTGCAGAGCTCTGGTTTGTACAGAGAGACCAGAGAGAGACCAGAGAGAGGCCAGAGAGAGACCAGAGAGAAACCAGAGAGAGACCAGAGAGAGAGACCAGAGAGAGAGACCAGAGAGAGAGACCAGAGAGAGAGACCAGAGAGAGACCAGAGAGAGAGACCAGAGAGAGAGACCAGAGAGAGAGACCAGAGAGAGAGAGACCAGAGAGAGAGAGACCAGAGAGAGAGAGACCAGAGAGAGAGACCGGAGAGAGACCAGAGAGAGACCAGAGAGAGACCGGAGAGCCTGCTGAGGGGGAGCAAACCGTCCTGATGCCTGTGGCACACATCAGAACCGTGACGTGTCTGAACATTATTTCATCTTAGAAATCACTGAAAATAATTTTATGTGAAATACTTTTGCTTTAAATGCAGAAAATTGCTGAGTGTGATGTCATAGTGGTAAATGATATCATACTCTTACAGGACAGATACAGCTGTGATACAGAAGGGGCGGAGCTACATGTGTGAATAGAGCTCACCTTGATGCAGAGCAGAGCCTGCTGTTTGGCCTCCTGGTTCTCTGTCGATGGTCCTCTAAGTCCTGATGGTTCAGCTCCACTCAGAGTGAGCCAGTTCACAAAACTCAGCACTGCAGACTCTCCTCTGGACACACACAACACAAACATATGAGATACACAGACACAATACACATGAGAGACACGCACACAAACACACACCTGTTTGAGGGAGTCTCCTCTCTCTGCAGTGAGATCTTCCCATTGGGTTCCACAAAGTCCTCCACCTGAAAGAGCAGAGAGTGAGCTGTAGAGGGCGCCACAGGACAGAGCAGGTTCAGGGCAGAACATCAAACCTGTTCAGTTCACACAGACATTAATACAGCTGAGGTCAGAGGTCACACCCAGGACATAATTCAGAGATTATAAAGGAAGAAACGCTTCTCTCTCATTATTTGTGGTGTAAAGTAATTTCTTTCTGTGCCTCTCTCTCTGGTGCCTCTCTCTCTGGTGCCTCTCTCTCTGGTGCCTCTCTCTCTGGAGTCTCTCTCTCTGGTCTCTCTCTCTGGTCTCTCTCTCTCTGGTCTCTCTCTCTCTCTGGTCTCTCTCTCTCTGGTCTCTCTCTCTGGTCTCTCTCTCTCTGGTCTCTCTCTCTCTGGTCTCTCTCTCTCTGGTCTCTCTCTCTGGTCTCTCTCTCTGGTCTCTCTCTCTGGTCTCTCTCTCTGGTCTCTCTCTCTGGTCTCTCTCTCTGGTCTCTCTCTCTGGTCTCTCTCTCTGGTCTCTCTCTCTGGTCTCTCTCTGGTCTCTCTCTGGTCTCTCTCTGGTCTCTCTCCGGTCTCTCTCTCTGGTCCCTCTCTGGTCTCAGTACCTCACACATGGCCTTGGGCAGCAGCTCTGCTCTGAACAGCTGGAGCATTGACTCTATGATGTTTTTCCATCCCTCTCTCAGGATGTTGCCGTGACGATGAGACAGCTCGAAAAACGTCTTCGCCGCCGTCTGTGCTTTGGCGTTACTCCCAAACACGGTGGGCAGGTTTTCTACAGACTGAAAAATACACCAGTACAGGACATATTGTGAGTGTATACAGATGGAGAACGCTAACCCGCTAGCTCTAGCAGTAGCAGTACCTCGCTGCTGAGTGTTGTGAACTTGCAGAGGGAGATGATCAGATTGTCGAACACGTCGCTGAAGCCGTAGTGAGCAGCGATCGTCGCACACTTCCTACAAAAACAACACAACAACACACACATTTTCAACAACACGTCCACGTACAGGTCTCTGGTCCGGTCTCCGGTCTCTGGTCTCACCTGAACCCTGTGATAGCCTTCTGCAAGATGTTCTGCTCCAGACTCTTATCGTAGACGTAAGAGAGAGCGGCGATGGTTGGACCCCAGATCATGGAGAAGAGCTCGTGGTCGTATCTGCCCTGGGGCACTCTGAGGAACAGTCCTTCAGGAGACGAGCCGCGGTGAAGCAACACGCTCCACACATAGTTCTCCTTCACCAAACCAGTCTGTTCATCTGGCATCACGATCTCCTCAGTCCTGGAGAGAGAGGTCTCAGTGAGGTCAGAACCAAGTCTGAACCAGGTCTAAAGCTGGTCTGAACGAGATCCAAACCTGGTCCAAACCTGGTCAAAACCCGGTTTGAGCCAGGTTTTCTAACATGTGTAAGGTCTCTAACAATCACTTGATGGCGTAGAAAAGATCTTCTAAGGTCCTGTTTAGACAAAGACACTGCAGACACGCTGCCAAGCAATTAGAAAAAACGACCAGGCTCCTTAATTGAAACTAGAGCTTTGCATGGTTTCAATTGGACGCAGGAGTAGAATTCTCCCCCATATGGCGCTCGAAGCACACGTAGTTAGTACCCGCTGCCATTGTTGTTTACCTTGTTCTCGGCTACAGCGAAGTGGAGGTCAGAGCAGGCAGAGAATTCACACAGCTCTGACACAGCCCCCGCAGAGTAGCGTATCTTTTATGTTCTACTCTGGAGGCTGTTTCTCAACACAGAAACACCGTCTCCGTGTAAACAGGAGGTCAAACCAAAACCTAATTCTAATGTTTTACAGTCGCGGCGTCTCCGTCCAAACGGGGCCTAACATGTCCAAGGTCTCTACACTCACTTGATGGCGTTATAAAGATCTTCTAACATGTCCTGGTCGAAGTCCTTGTTGCCGTTGACTCCCTTCAGATTCTTCTTAAATTGCTGCAGAAACAAACAACATTGAGTAAACAGAGTTAATGAGACGTTTGTTTGTCCAGGAGCAGCTGCAGTGAAACTTTAGAGACGGATTAACCCCGAGTCCAGAGGACTGAGGCCACAACAAAGAGCTCCAGAAGGAGACCTCAGACTGTGAGAGGTCTGATGGTCCCGGTGATGTCACATGACACCACAGCCCTCGCACTGATTCCCGGTCCTGGTGATGTCACATAACATCACACAAAACCAAACCACCATCTCACCATCGATTATCACTGATTTCAAACATCAATGTGGTTAAATCAACGTCAATCAACAACAGGGATCATTCAATTTAGAAATGCAATGTTTTGGCGCCACCTGCAGGTGAAAGCCCCGCCAGAATCTGCTCAGGCCTCAGTCTGATGTCAAAGCTCTGAAGCACTCTGCCTCACTCTTTTTGGCCAAATAACAATAATAATAAGAATTATACAGTATATTTTGATGCTGCATTACGAGGCACTCACAAAGGTAACAGTAAAAATAGTTAAATGGACTCTGACAGTGGGTCAAAGCCTGAACACATGTGTTTTAAAAGTGTTTGTAAATGTGGAAGCGTTTCAGTGTCCAGCTCTGGAACCCTCTTGAGGAGGCACCAGGAGGAACCAGGAGCTTGAGGGAAGAGGCACCAGGAGGAGGAGGGAGCAGGCAGAGGCTCCAGTCCCCGCTGACTGTGATTAAAATGCCTCAGACTCTTGACTCAATCACAGTTGTTGAGCCGCACGCGTTAAAGGCATTCGTCAGATTTCAGTAGCAACAAAAATGCGACTTAAGCATGTGTCGTACAGAAACACACACACAGACACACACACGCACACACACACACAGACACACACACACACAGCTCAGACTAGGGTCCTGCTCTTTGTAGAAGTGACATCATCGGGGTATATGGGATAGCATATATACAAAATGCAAACTCCACTCAGAAAGCCCCCGTTCCGATCGGGATTCGAATCTAGGACCTTCTCGCTGAGAATCGAGGATGCGATCCACTGTCGCCCAGTTACAGACCGCCATGTGACCAGAGACTAAACTGACCCGTTGTACAATCACACTGAAGTACATAAGGGACAAGCTAAACAGGGAGAGATATTTGTGTGAGGGACAACAAGGGTGGGGTCCCAAAAGGGTCAATACTGGGACCTTTCTCTGGTCCTGAACATGGTCTTTCTGTGGTCCAGAACCTGGTCTTCCTCGGGTCCAAACTCAGTGCAGAGGATTGGGGGGCGCTGGTCTCTCATAAACATGTGTGAATCCTGCTCTTTGGTCACTGGTATGTGGTGGAATCCTGGGCCCTCTGCTGCAGCTGTCCTCCTCCCCCTCAACCTCTCCTCCTCCAGTCCTCCTCCCCCATGGCTTCTCTCCTCCTCCCCCCCCCCAGCTTCAGCCTCCCCTTCGCCATCTAATCCTCCCCAGTCAGCCTCTCCTCCTTCTCCCCTTCAGCATCTCCTTCTCCCCCTCAGCATCTCCTCCCCCTCGGCGTCTCCTTCTCCCCCTCAGCATCTCCTCCCCCTCGGCGTCTCCTTCTCCCCCTCAGCATCTCCTCCCCCTCGGCGTCTCCTTCTCCCTATCGGTTCTATTCTCAGGTCTCCTTTGTTGTGGTAGAGATGGTGTTTCACAGACTGAGCAAACAAAGGATTTACAAATTTGTCGCTGGAGCCAGACCCTCCGGAGAATTCAGACCGCGCTCGGAATTTATATTTGAACAAGACGTAGTTAGAATCTGGGATCGCCGTTTGGCAACACATCCCAGTGTTTTTAAATAGGTGTTTGGACGCAAAATGCCCTGGGTTTTGCTTTTGTGAGCAAGACCAGAGAGAGACCAGAAAGAATAGAGAGAGATCAGAGCTTTCTCGTTGGTTTCTTTCTCTGGTCTATTTCCGGTCTTTCCCTGGTGTGTTGCTGGTCTCTCCCTCTGGTCTCTCTCCCTGGTCTCTCCCCCTGGTCTCTCCCTCTGGTCTCTCTCCCTGGTCTCTCTCCCTGGTCTCTCCCTCTGGTCTCTCCCTCTGGTCTCTCCCTCTGGTCTCTCCCTCTGGTCTCTCCCTCTGGTCTCTCTCCCTGGTCTCTCCCTCTGGTCTCTCCCTCTGGTCTCTCTCCCTGGTCTCTCCCTCTGGTCTCTCTCCCTGGTCTCTCCCTCTGGTCTCTCCCTCTGGTCTCTCACAGTGGTATTAGTGAAACTCGTCAGAGGAGCTCAGATATTTGTTTATTTTCTGATCTGGAGCCGGTGACCTCACACTAATACTGTGTTTAGACTGAAGCAGCAGTCAATCAAACTACACCCTCCCCCAGGACGTGTGTGTGTGTGTGTGTGTGTGTGTGTGTGTGTGTGTGTGTGTGTGTGTGTGTGTGTGTGTGTGTGTGTGTGTGTGTGTGTGTGTGTGTGTGTGTGTGTGTGTGTGTGTGTGTGTGTGTGTGTGTGTGTGTGTGTGTGTGTGTGTGTGTGTGTGTGTGTGTGTGTGTGTGTGTGTGTGTGTGTGTGTGTGTGTGTGTGTGTGTGTGTGTGTGTGTGTGTGTGTGTGTGTGTGTGTGTGTGTGTGTGTGTGTGTGTGTGTGTGTGTGTGTGTGTGCGCGTGTGTGTGTGTGTGTGTGTGCGTGTGCGTGTCTGCGTGTGCGTGTCTGTGTGTCTATGTGTGTGTGTGTGTGTGTGTGTGTCTGTCTGTGTGTGTGTCTGTTTCTGTGTGTGTGTGTGTGTCTGTGTGTGTGTGTGTGTGTCTGTGTGTGTGTGTGTGTGTGTGTGTGTGTGTGTGTGTGTGTGTCTTACCTCCAGAGTCATTGGGATGTTCTGTTTGCGTACGTTGTGGTTGTGTTGGTCGGTGTTCAACATGATGACGGCGTACGCCAGAGCGAAACCCGCATCGTTGGTCATAAAAGGACAACCGTTTACTTTCTGAAACACAATTATTATTGCAGGTGAAGAAGCAGTTGTAGTAGTAGCAATAGTAGAAGTGGCAGCAGCAGTACTTGCAGCAGCAGTACTTGCAGTAGCAGTACTTGCAGTAGCAGTACTTGCAGTAGTACTCACATGCCAGTTGTCAGTGAATGTCTCGAGCAGTCTCTGGATGACTGGAGCTTCCCCTGGGAGCCTGAAGGCCTCAAGGTACAGTCTGAGGGCCTCATCCATGCGGAGGCCCTGGAACTGGAACGTGCTGAGAACCAGAACCAGGAGTTGGAACAAGAGGAACTCTCACACTCTGTCTCTGGTCGCTCTCTCTCTCTCTGCTCTCTCTCTGGTCGCTCTCTCTCTCTCTGGTCGCTCTCTCTCTCTCTGGTCGCTCTCTCTCTCTCTGGTCGCTCTCTCTCTCTCTGGTCGCTCTCTCTCTGGTCGCTCTCTCTCTCTCTGGTCGCTCTCTCTCTCTCTGGTCGCTCTCTCTCTCTCTGGTCGCTCTCTCTCTCTCTGGTCGCTCTCTCTCTCTCTGGTCGCTCTCTCTCTCTCTGGTCGCTCTCTCTCTCTGGTTGCTCACTCTATGGTCGCCCTCTCTATGGTCGCTGGTTGCTCTCTCATTGGTTGCTCTCTCGCTCTCTCTCTCTGGTCGCTCTCTCTCTCTCTCTGGTCGCTCTCTCTCTCTCTCTGGTCGCTCTCTCTCTCTCTGGTCGCTCTCTCTCTCTGGTCGCTCTCTCTCTCTCTGGTTGCTCGCTCTATGGTCACCCTCTATGGTCGCTGGTCGCTCTCTCTCTCTCTGGTTGCTCTCTCTATGGTCGCCCTCTCTATGGTCGCTGGTCGCTCTCTCTCTCTGGTTGCTCTCTCTATGGTATCTCTTTATGGCCTCTTTCTGGCCTGATACTAACTTGACAAAGCTGTCCAGGAGCTCTGTGTTCTTGCGGTCACTGACGAACTCTCCGATCATCTTTTTGTCCAGCCTGGGGTTCTCTCTGAGCCACTGGGCGACCTGTCCTGGCTCCATGGGTTCCGACAGAAGGCCTTTCTCCTGCAGGAACTGGATGCCCTTCCGCGGCTTCTGGTTGAACTGTTCGGTTCCCGTGATCAGCAGCTGAGCAGAGAGAGGCAATTAAAGATAGGCTACGTAACTTAAAAGACTTTCAAACCACAACACTGGAAATCTGTAATAAAATCCATGATACTAGTTCCATGGCCTTGTCTCTCTCTAGTCTCTCTTGCTAGCTCTCTAGTCTCGCTCAGTCTCTGATCTGGTCTGATTTATCTCGATTGGTCCCTGGCCTCTCCGGCCTCTCACTCTCCGGCCTCTGGTCACTCTACGGCCTCTGGTCACTCTACGGCCTCTGGTCACTCTACGGCCTCTGGTCACTCTACGGCCTCTGGTCACTCTACGGCCTCTGGTCACTCTACGGCCTCTGGTCACTCTACGGCCTCTGGTCACTCTACGGCCTCTGGTCACTCTACGGCCTCTGGTCACTCTACGGCCTCTGGTCACTCTACGGCCTCTCACACTGCAGTCTCTCACCTTCTTCTTGGACCTGATATCCAGTAGCTCCTGTGAGTCCGGTAAACAGGAGGAGAATCTGTGAGGCTTCTTCGTGGCTCTGTTCTCACCTGTAACACACACAAAGTCAAGACCACGCCCCCCAGACATGACCACCCTCTCTGAAACGACCGCCATCAGACAAGACCACGCCCCCCCAGACGTGACCACACTCTCTCAGACACTCCGCAATGGACACAGTCAGATACAGACCTGTCTCGCCCTCACCCGGCTCGGATCGGCCCAGCTTCATGTGGTCTGCCATCAGGGCTCCGCTGGTGGGGGCAAGGCTCAAGGCGGGGTCAGTGTGAATGGGCAGCAGCGGAATGGTCGGGCTCTGGAGCTCTGAGGAAGAAGAGTCAAAGGTCAGACCAGGAGAGTCCAACTGGTCCCACAGGTTCAGGTGGCACCAGTGAGTCACAGGAGGGATTATGAGGAGGACTGACAGAGTGTGACATCACAATAGCGCTTGCTTTAAAACATAAGAAGCTGTTTTGAACAAAAACTAGCTTCTTTTCTCTCAGTCTTTTCTCTCTCGTCTCTCTATATTCTCTCCCTCTAGTTTCTCTCTCTAGTAGAGTAGAGTAGGGTTGTTGTTGTTGTTATGGATGGCCCCTTTACCGTTTGGTTCTGGTCTCTCTGGTCTGGGCTCGGGTCTCTCCTCTTGGGTTTGGTCCGATCTGGTCTGGTCTGGGTCAGTCTTGTTGCTCGGCTGTTCGGTGTTTGCATTGGGGGCTTTGATGCTCTGACAGTGGGCTTCAGTGCTGTCAATCACAGTCAGAAGAGCCTCCAGAGACAACAGGTGTGTGGTGTAGAGCTGACCCGAGACCGGGAAGGCGTTCTGAGGAGGAGAGAGGATGTTAGAGCGGTGTGTGAGGAGGTCTGTTTAAGCAGCAGTAGCAGCAGCAGCAGTACCTTGGACAGCAGCTTGGTCAGGTCTTCAAACAGGTTGCTGCAGTAGAAGTCACAGTCGTAGTTAAGGTAGAGCTCAGGGACAAAGCTGGGGATCCTCCAGAGCTGCACCACGGCCTCCAGAGCCAGCTCCTTCATCTCATACGGCAGACGCACGTTCTCACACGTGATGATGTCCATCAGCTTCTTCAGGTACATCTGAGAACACATGGGTCTCACTCTCTGGCCTCTCACTCTCTGGCCTCTCACTCTCTGGCCTCTCACTCTCTGGCCTCTCACTCTCTGGCCTCTCACTCTCTGGCCTCTCACTCTCTGGCCTCTCACTCTCTGGCCTCTCACTCTCTGGCCTCTCACTCTCTGGTCTCTCACTCTCTGGTCTCTCACTCTCTGGTCTCTCACTCTCTGGTCTCTCACTCTCTGGCCTCTCACTCTCTGGCCTCTCACTCTCTGGCCTCTCACTCTCTGGCCTCTCACTCTCTGGCCTCTCACTCTCTGGCCTCTCACTCTCTGGTCTCTCACTCTCTGGCCTCTCACTCTCTGGCCTCTCACTCTCTGGCCTCTCACTCTCTGGCCTCTCACTCTCTGGCCTCTCACTCTCTGGCCTCTCACTCTCTGGCCTCTCACTCTCTGGCCTCTCACTCTCTGGTCTCTCACTCTCTGGTCTCTCACTCTCTGGTCTCTCACTCTCTGGTCTCTCACTCTCTGGTCTCTCACTCTCTGGCCTCTCACTCTCTGGCCTCTCACTCTCTGGCCTCTCACTCTCTGGCCTCTCACTCTCTGGCCTCTCACTCTCTGGTCTCTCACTCTCTGGTCTCTCACTCTCTGGTCTCTCACTCTCTGGTCTCTCACTCTCTGGTCTCTCACTCTCTGGTCTCTCACTCTCTGGTCTCTCACTCTCTGGTCTCTCACTCTCTGGTCTCTCACTCTCTGGTCTCTCACTCTCTGGTCTCTCACTCTCTGGTCTCTCACTCTCTGGTCTCTCACTCTCTGGTCTCTCACTCTCTGGTCTCTCACTCTCTGGTCTCTCACTCTCTGGTCTCTCACTCTCTGGTCTCTCACTCTCTGGTCTCTCACTCTCTGGTCTCTCACTCTCTGGTCTCTCACTCTCTGGTCTCTCACTCTCTGGTCTCTCACTCTCTGGTCTCTCACTCTCTGGTCTCTCACTCTCTGGTCTCTCACTCTCTGGTCTCTTACCTCCAGCTGGAACTTGAGGTGGACTCTCATCGACTCAAACAGAAGAAAGCACACACGGATTGACGACGCATATAGATTCATCCTCTCCACACTCAGCAACTGTGGACAAGAGACCTGGTTCAGTCCTGGCTCAGTCCTGGCTCAGGCTCAGTCCTGGCTCAGTCCTGGCTCAGTCCTGGCTCAGTCCTGGCTCAGTCCTGGCTCAGTCCTGGCTCAGTCCTGAAAGTTTTAGGGCAAAAAACTTTCTGATCAGTCTCTCTGGTGTCTCTCTCTGGTGTCTCTCTCTGGTGTCTCTCTCTGGTGTCTCTCTCTGGTGTCTCTCTCTGGTGTCTCTCTCTGGTGTCTCTCTCTGGTGTCTCTCTCTGGTGTCTCTCTCTGGTGTCTCTCACCTGGATCATGTGTCGGCACAGTTCGTCCTTTACCAGCCCCAGCAGACTAGTGTAGTTGGAGATGGGTCCAGACTCCAGAGCGACCGTGAGCAGCTGTAGTCCCATGTGCATCATGGCGTCGGTGTTGTGCCGGTCGTGAGGATTAGTGAGAGAAATCAGGAACCGGAACAACTCACGCAGACACGGGAGACCATAGGGGACCAGGGACGAGCCTGAGGAGAGGGGGACAGTCAGCACGAGAGAGCAGAGAGAGAGCAGCGAGAGACTGGAGAGAGACTGGAGAGAGACTGGAGAGAGACTGGAGAGAGACTGGAGAGGGACAGGAGAGGGACAGGAGAGGGACAGGAGAGGTACAGGAGAGGGACAGGAGAAGGACAGGAGAGGGACAGGAGAGAGACAGGAGAGGGACAGGAGAGGGACAGGAGAGGGACAGGAGAGGGACAGGAGAGAGACAGGAGAGAGACTGGAGAGGGACAGGAGAGAGACTGGAGAGAGACTGGAGAGGGACAGGAGAGGGACAGGAGAGGGACAGGAGAGGGACAGGAGAGAGACAGGAGAGGGACAGGAGAGGGACAGGAGAGAGACAGGAGAGGGACAGGAGAGGGACAGGAGAGGGACAGGAGAGGGACAGGAGAGAGACTGGAGAGAGACTGGAGAGAGACTGGAGAGGGACAGGAGAGAGACCAGAGAGAGACCAGGAGAGAGACCAGAGAGAGACCAGAGAGGGACCAGAGAGAGACCAGAGCGGGACAGGAGAGAGACAGGAGAGGGACAGGAGAGGGACAGGAGAGAGACTGGAGAGAGACAGGAGAGAGACAGGAGAGGGACTGGAGAGGGACAGGAGAGGGACAGGAGAGGGACAGGAGCGGGACAGGAGAGAGACAGGAGAGGGACAGGAGAGGGACAGGAGAGAGACTGGAGAGAGACTGGAGAGGGACAGGAGAGGGACAGGAGAGGGACAGGAGAGGGACAGGAGAGAGACAGGAGAGGGACAGGAGAGGGACAGGAGAGGGACAGGAGAGAGACTGGAGAGAGACAGGAGAGAGACAGGAGAGGGACAGGAGAGGGACAGGAGAGGGACAGGAGAGAGACTGGAGAGGGACAGGAGAGGGACAGGAGAGGGACAGTAGAGAGACTGGAGAGGGACAGGAGAGGGACAGGAGAGGGACAGGAGAGGGACAGGAGAGAGACTGGAGAGGGACAGGAGAGGGACAGGAGAGAGACTGGAGAGAGACTGGAGAGGGACAGGAGAGGGACAGGAGAGAGACAGGAGAGGGACAGGAGAGGGACAGGAGAGGGACAGGAGAGGGACAGGAGCGGGACAGGAGAGAGACAGGAGAGGGACAGGAGAGAGACAGGAGAGGGACAGGAGAGAGACAGGAGAGGGACAGGAGAGAGACAGGAGAGGGACAGGAGAGGGACAGGAGCGGGACAGGAGAGAGACAGGAGAGGGACAGGAGAGAGGACAGGAGAGACCAGAGAGCCAAGAAAAACTAGAGAGAGATGAGTGTTTTTGGGTGGTACCGTCTCTATGTGAGCTCTGGGTGAAGCGCACGCCTCTGGGGTTGACGTAGTCCATGTCGTGCACAGAGGAAGTGTCCGATACAGAGTTATTGTCTTCTAAAACCTCAGGAATCGACTCGACCGAAGCAGACTGGGAACTGGCCACGTTGCCCTGGAAACATACGAACATGAGAACATAAGGGGAAGGAGAGAGGACCAGCATAACCTTTGGTCTCTCTCTCCCTCTGGTCTCTCTCTCCCTCTGGTCTCTCTCTCCCTCTCGTCTCTCTCTCCCTCTCGTCTCTCTCTCCCTCTCGTCTCTCTCTCCCTCTCGTCTCTCTCTCCCTCTCTCTCCCTCTCCCTCTCGTCTCTCTCTCCCTCTCGTCTCTCTCTCCCTCTCGTCTCTCTCCCTCTGGTCTCTCTCTCCCTCTTGGGTCTCTCTCTGTCTGGTCTCTCACCTGTCCCTCCACAGTCTCATGTGTGGGGCTGATCTCGGACAGGTCTTCTCTGGACGGAGTCTTGGAGGACACCTCCACGCCACTGTCAGAGGGACTGGAGACAGAACCAGTGCTGTCTGAGGAGGGGAGGACAGAGGCAGTGTCCAGGAACGGGACTGCTGCAGGAAAAAAAGACAGATTACACTCCAAACCAATATAGGTGTAGGAACTGGTCTCTGGCCCCTCTCTCTGGTCTCTCTCTCTGGCCTCTCTCTCTCTCTGGTCTCTCTCTCTCTGGCCTCTCTCTCTCTCTGGCCTCTCTCTCTCTGGCCTCTCTCTCTCTGGCCTCTCTCTCTCTGGCCTCTCTCTCTCTGGCCTCTCTCTCTCTCTGGCCTCTCTCTCTCTCTGGCCTCTCTCTCTCTCTGGCCTCTCTCTCTCTCTGGTCTCTCTCTCTCTGGCCTCTCTCTCTCTCTGGCCTCTCTCTCTCTGGCCTCTCTCTCTCTGGCCTCTCTCTCTCTGGCCTCTCTCTCTCTGGCCTCTCTCTCTCTCTCTGGCCTCTCTCTCTCTCTGGCCTCTCTCTCTCTCTGGCCTCTCTCTCTCTCTGGCCTCTCTCTCTCTCTGGCCTCTCTCTCTCTCTGGCCTCTCTCTCTCTGGCCTCTCTCTCTCTCTGGCCTCTCTCTCTCTCTGGCCTCTCTCTCTGGCCTCTCTCTCTCTCTGGCCTCTCTCTCTCTCTGGCCTCTCTCTGGCCTCTCTCTCTCTCTGGCCTCTCTCTCTATCTGGCCTCTCTCTCTCTGGCCTCTCTCTCTCTGGCCTCTCTCTCTCTGGCCTCTCTCTCTCTGGCCTCTCTCTCTCTGGCCTCTCTCTCTCTGGCCTCTCTCTCTTTGCTTGTACCTGTCAGGTTGTTGTTGCTCAAAGCTGATTGGTCCATGCCGCCGCTCGCACTGCGCACCATGTGATGTGCCGGACGCGGAGATCTCTTTGGCTTCTTCCACTTTGATGATTCGGTCATTCCCCCGGCTCGCATCTTCAGCTGAGGACAGACGGAGCACACTGCATCAACTACCAACTGACTCAGGAATGACATGGAAACTGGAACAACAGATTATCAAAAATCTAATATAGTGCTATAAGCTAAAGCTGGGATACGTAACTTTCAGACACACTAATGTAAAGCTGGAATTTTCTGGCTTTTCTGTCCCTCTCTCTCTGGCCTCTCTCTCTGGCCTCTCTCTCTGGCCTCTCTCTCTGGCCTCTCTCTCTGGCCTCTCTCTCTGGCCTCTCTCTCTGGCCTCTCTCTCTGGCCTCTCTCTCTGGCCTCTCTCTCTGGCCTCTCTCTCTGGCCTCTCTCTCTGGCCTCTCTCTCTGGCCTCTCTCTCTGGCCTCTCTCTCTGGCCCCTCTCTCTGGCCCCTCTCTCTGGCCCCTCTCTCTGGCCCCTCTCTCTGGCCCCTCTCTCTGGCCCCTCTCTCTGGCCCCTCTCTCTGGCCTCTCTCTCTGGCCTCTCTCACTGGCCTCTCTCTCTGGCCTCTCTCTCTGGCCTCTCTCTCTGGCCTCTCTCTCTGGCCTCTCTCTCTGGCCTCTCTCTCTGGCCTCTCTCTCTGGCCTCTCTCTGGCCTCTCTCTGGCCTCTCTCTGGCCTCTCTCTGGCCTCTCTCTGGCCTCTCTCTGGCCTCTCTCTTTGGTATCAGTTGTATTTCTGGTCTATATCACATATTTAGATATGGACCACCCTCACTCAGCTAATCAGCTCTCAGCCCAAAGAGTCAAATAGTGATTCACAGAAGATAAATGTTTCTAAAGACTACTGTGGTACCTATGAGCCTGAAGTTACGTCTCTCAGCTTTATATCCAACTCTCAGACCATCTCCTTCTGTTAGAATCTTACCTGCACGCGTTTGTTTTTCCACATTATATTGTAAGCCTCAGGAGAGAAGGCAGTGTTAGATTAGAGTGCACGTGAACACAGGAGCGTGCTCGTGGACACAGGAGCGTGCTCGTGGACACAGGAGCGTGCACGTGGACACAGGAGCGTGCACGTGGACACAGGAGCAGGCATGAGAGTACAGGAGCGTGCACGTGCGTAGACAGAGCAGGCATCACTGGGAAAGCTTCAATCGTCTGTGTTCATGTGACATCACATATGGCATATCTTTCAAAAGTCAGATTCTAGTCTTAGTTTAGAGCCCGCTCTCGTCACTCACTCTCGTCTCTCCCCCTCTTGTCTCTCCCCCTCCCTCGTCTCCCCCCCTCTTGTCTCCCTCACTCTCGTCTCCCTCACTATCATCTCTCCCCCTCTCGTCTCCCCCCCTCGTCTCCATCTCTCGTCTCCCTCTCTAGTCTCCCTCTCTAGTCTCCCTCTCTAGTCTCCCTCTCTAGTCTCCCTCTCTAGTCTCCCTCTCTAGTCTCCCTCTCTAGTCTCCCTCTCTAGTCTCCCTCTCTAGTCTCCCTCTCTAGTCTCCCTCTCTAGTCTCCCTCTCTAGTCTCCCTCTCTAGTCTCCCTCTCTAGTCTCCCCCTCTCTAGTCTTCCCCTCTCTAGTCTTCCCCTCTCTAGTCTTCCCCTCTCTAGTCTTCCCCTCTCTAGTCTTCCCCTCTCTAGTCTCCCCCTCTCTAGTCTTCCCCTCTCTAGTCTTCCCCCTCTGGTCTCGCTCTCTCATCTCTCCATCTCGTCTCCCTCTCTCGTCTCCCCCTCTCTCGTCTCCCCCCTCTGGTCTCCCCCTCTCATCTCTCCATCTCGTCTCCACAGTGAAATATTCTTCCAAAACATGAACACAAACTATTGGAGGTTAAAACTTGATAATGTTTGAGCAGAGAGCATTCGGGCTCGAGCAGATGTAGAAGGGAAGAGGGGAGAGAAGAGGGAGTAGTGGAGAGAGGAGAGAGAAAAGATGGGAGGAGAGAGACAGGAGAGCGAAGAGAGAGGAGAGATAAGAGAGGGAGCACACAGAGACATGCAGACAATTACAGATGTTACAGTCGTCACCTTCTTCATATTTGCGCCGACAAAACTCTTGGATTCTTCTTTGAACTGTGGCAACCTGAGAGAACACAACACATGGTTAAAGAGGATAACCATGTTCAGCACCAGAAGAAAAGGCACTCTCTGGTCTCTCTCTCCCACTCTCTGGTCTCTCTCTCCCACACTCTGGTCTCTCTCTCCCACACTCTGGTCTCTCTCTCCCACACTCTGGTCTCTCTCTCCCACACTCTGGTCTCTCTCTCCCCCACTCTGGTCTCTCTCTCCCCCACTCTGGTCTCTCTCTCCCCCACTCTGGTCTCTCTCTCCCCCCACTCTGGTCTCTCTCTCCCCCACTCTGGTCTCTCTCTCCCCCACTCTGGTCTCTCTCTCCCCACTCTGGTCTCTCTCCCCCACTCTGGTCTCTCTCTCCCCACTCTGGTCTCTCTCCCCCCCTCTGGTCTCTCTCTGGCCCCCCCACTCTGGTCTCTCTCTCCCCCCACTCTGGTCGGTCTCTCCCCCACTCTGGTCTCTCTCTCCCCCCACTCTGGTCTCTCTCTCCCCCACTCTGGTCTCTCCCCCACTCTGGTCTCTCTCCCCACTCTGGTCTCTCTCCCACTCTGGTCTCTCTCCCACTCTGGTCTCTCTCCACTTGGTCTCTCTCCCTCTGGTCTCTCTCCCACTCTGGTCTCTCTCCCACTCTGGTCTCTCTCCCACTCTGGTCTCTCTCCCACTCTGGTCTCTCTCTCTGGTCTCCCACTCTGGTCTCTCTCCCACTCTGGTCTCTCTCCCCACTCTGGTCTCTCTCCCACTCTGGTCTCTCTCCCACTCTGGTCTCTCTCCCACTCTGGTCTCTCTCTGGTCCACTCTGGTCTCTCTCCCACTCTGGTCTCTCTCCCACTCTGGTCTCTCTCCCACTCTGGTCTCTCTCCCACTCTGGTCTCTCTCCCACTCTGGTCTCTCTCCCCACTCTGGTCTCTCTCCCACTCTGGTCTCTCTCCCACTTGCTCCCTCTGGTCTCTCTCCCACTCTGGTCTCTCTCCCACTCTGGTCTCTCTCCCACTCTGGTCTCTCTCCCACTCTGGTCTCTCTCCCACTCTGGTCTCTCTCTCCACTCTGGTCTCTCTCCCACTCTGGTCTCTCTCCCACTCTGGTCTCTCTCCCCACTCTGGTCTCTCTCCCACTCTGGTCTCTCTCCCACTCTGGTCTCTCTCCCACTCTGGTCTCTCTCCCACTCTGGTCTCTCTCCCACTCTGGTCTCTCTCCCACTCTGGTCTCTCTCCCACTCTGGTCTCTCTCCCACTCTGGTCTCTCTCCCACTCTGGTCTCTCTCCCACTCTGGTCTCTCTCCCACTCTGGTCTCTCTCCCACTCTGGTCTCTCTCCCACTCTGGTCTCTCTCCCACTCTGGTCTCTCTCCCACTCTGGTCTCTCTCCCACTCTGGTCTCTCTCCCACTCTGGTCTCTCTCCCCACTCTGGTCTCTCTCCCACTCTGGTCTCTCTCCCACTCTGGTCTCTCTCCCACTCTGGTCTCTCTCCCACTCTGGTCTCTCTCCCACTCTGGTCTCTCTCCCACTCTGGTCTCTCTCCCACTCTGGTCTCTCTCCCACTCTGGTCTCTCTCCCACTCTGGTCTCTCTCCCACTCTGGTCTCTCTCTCCCACTCTGGTCTCTCTCCCACTCTGGTCTCTCTCCCACTCTGGTCTCTCTCCCACTCTGGTCTCTCTCCCACTCTGGTCTCTCTCCCACTCTGGTCTCTCTCCCACTCTGGTCTCTCTCCCACTCTGGTCTCTCTCCCACTCTGGTCTCTCTCCCACTCTGGTCTCTCTCCCACTCTGGTCTCTCTCCCACTCTGGTCTCTCTCCCACTCTGGTCTCTCTCCCACTCTGGTCTCTCTCCCACTCTGGTCTCTCTCCCACTCTGGTCTCTCTCCCACTCTGGTCTCTCTCCCACTCTGGTCTCTCTCCCACTCTGGTCTCTCTCCCACTCTGGTCTCTCTCCCACTCTGGTCTCTCTCCCACTCTGGTCTCTCTCCCACTCTGGTCTCTCTCCCCACTCTGGTCTCTCTCTCCCACTCTGGTCTCTCTCCCACTCTGGTCTCTCTCCCACTCTGGTCTCTCTCCCACTCTGGTCTCTCTCCCACTCTGGTCTCTCTCCCACTCTGGTCTCTCTCCCACTCTGGTCTCTCTCCCACTCTGGTCTCTCTCCCACTCTGGTCTCTCTCCCACTCTGGTCTCTCTCCCACTCTGGTCTCTCTCCCACTCTGGTCTCTCTCCCACTCTGGTCTCTCTCCCACTCTGGTCTCTCTCCCACTCTGGTCTCTCTCCCACTCTGGTCTCTCTCCCACTCTGGTCTCTCTCCCACTCTGGTCTCTCTCCCACTCTGGTCTCTCTCCCACTCTGGTCTCTCTCCCACTCTGGTCTCTCTCCCACTCTGGTCTCTCTCCCACTCTGGTCTCTCTCCCACTCTGGTCTCTCTCCCACTCTGGTCTCTCTCCCACTCTGGTCTCTCCCTCCCACTCTGGTCTCTCTCCCACTCTGGTCTCTCTCCCACTCTGGTCTCTCTCCCACTCTGGTCTCTCTCCCACTCTGGTCTCTCTCCCACTCTGGTCTCTCTCTCCACTCTGGTCTCTCTCCCACTCTGGTCTCTCTCCCACTCTGGTCTCTCTCCCACTCTGGTCTCTCTCCCACTCTGGTCTCTCTCCCCACTCTGGTCTCTCTCTCCACTCTGGTCTCTCTCCCACTCTGGTCTCTCTCCCACTCTGGTCTCTCTCCCACTCTGGTCTCTCTCCCACTCTGGTCTCTCTCCCACTCTGGTCTCTCTCCCACTCTGGTCTCTCTCCCACTCTGGTCTCTCTCCCACTCTGGTCTCTCTCCCACTCTGGTCTCTCTCTCCCACTCTGGTCTCTCTCCCACTCTGGTCTCTCTCCCACTCTGGTCTCTCTCCCACTCTGGTCTCTCTCCCACTCTGGTCTCTCTCCCACTCTGGTCTCTCTCCCACTCTGGTCTCTCTCCCACTCTGGTCTCTCTCCCACTCTGGTCTCTCTCCCACTCTGGTCTCTCTCCCACTCTGGTCTCTCTCCCACTCTGGTCTCTCTCCCACTCTGGTCTCTCTCCCACTCTGGTCTCTCTCCCACTCTGGTCTCTCTCCCACTCTGGTCTCTCTCCCCACTCTGGTCTCTCTCTCCCACTCTGGTCTCTCTCCCACTCTGGTCTCTCTCCCACTCTGGTCTCTCTCCCACTCTGGTCTCTCTCCCACTCTGGTCTCTCTCCCACTCTGGTCTCTCTCCCACTCTGGTCTCTCTCCCACTCTGGTCTCTCTCCCACTCTGGTCTCTCTCCCACTCTGGTCTCTCTCCCACTCTGGTCTCTCTCCCACTCTGGTCTCTCTCCCACTCTGGTCTCTCTCCCACTCTGGTCTCTCTCCCACTCTGGTCTCTCTCCCACTCTGGTCTCTCTCTGGTCTTTGCAGACTCAGGACTCATTTAAAGTGGTGTGTGTGGACAATGATGTGTTTAATGTCAGGTGGTTATTAGCAGTGTCCTCATTAGCATAAGTGTCCTCAGAACCAACATCTTAATATTCTAAATGAGGTGAACTGAGACTAGGGGATGAGGACACACTCCCCCCTTCCCATATCCCCCTCCCCCCCTGCTGATCCCCTCGTCTGCTGGTTGTTTCCACACAGGACTCACCTGGAGAACAGCAGCTGCACCATGTCCACCAGAGTGTGTTCCGCCGACTTCCTCAGCAGCTCTGAACAAACAAGAATTTAAGACTTTAACAACAGTCTCTGGTCACTCTCTCTCTCTCTCTCTCTCTCTCTCTCTCTCTGGTCACTCTCTCTCTCTGGTCACTCTCTCTCTCTGGTCACTCTCTCTCTCTGGTCTCTCTCTCTCTCTGGTCACTCTCTCTGGTCACTCTCTCTGGTCACTCTCTCTCTCTGGTCACTCTCTCTCTGGTCACTCTCTCTCTGGTCACTCTCTCTCTCTCTCTGGTCACTCTCTCTCTGGTCACTCTCTCTGTCTCTGGTCTCTCTGTTTCTCTGGCCACTCTCTCTCTGGTCACTCTCTCTCTCTCTCTCTCTCTCTGGTCTCTCTCTCTCTCTCTGGTCTCTCTCTCTCTGGTCACTCTCTCTCTCTCTCTGTCTCTGGTCTCTCTGTCTCTCTGGTCTCTCTCTCTCTCTCTCTCTCTCTCTCTCTGGTCTCTCTCTCTCTCTCTGGTCTCTTTCTCTCTCTCTCTCTCTCTCTGGTCTCTCTCTCTCTCTCTCTGGTCTCTCTCTCTCTCTCTGGTCTCTCTCTCTGGTCTCTGACACTTGGTCCTGAAGAAAAGCAGCCCCACAATATCACACTGGGGATGGGGCACCAGCCAATAGAACGATGGGCAAGTGCACCATCGACCCCCCCTTCTCACTCTCCTCCATCCACCCCCCCTCCCCTTACCCCACCCCCTCCCTCCTACTCCAACTCACCGCTGAGTCTCATCTCGAAGCAGATCCTGAAGCAGGACTGCATGATCTCACACACAGACTCGTTAGTGAGATGAGCTCCGACTGGAGTCAGGAGCAGAGTCCTGAGAACCTGACACACAACAGAGTGAGGGTTACACACAGACATACACACACACAAACACACACACAGACACACACACAAACACACACACAGACACACACACAGAGACACAAACACACCTGCAGTATCTTCATCAGCACCACTTCGTCGCTCGCAGGATCCGTTCCCACAAACCGAGCGTGAGTCACAGCGTCAGCCATATTCTCGATGGCCTCCGCCGCCGCCTCATGGGACGGATCTGAATCAGAGAATAAAGCTCAGGGACCTAATTTTACACTCATCAATAACACAAGTTTAAAGCTGAGGTCTGTTACTTTACTCTCATAAAGAACATTTGTTTAAAGCCGGAGTCTGCAACTTTAGTCTCATCAATAACACAGGTCCAGCTTCTACTACTGTCTCCATTAGACATTAAAACATTCAGTAGAGGGAGCTATAGGACCACTGCAGGAGAGAACCTCAGTCCTGGGTCTACAGCCTCAGACCTGGGTCTACAGTCTTATGCAGAATCCGGCCTAACTCCCTGAATGGGGCTCTTCCCTGTCTCTGCTGAAGAAAAGCAGCCCCACAACATGATGCTGCACCCCCCCCCATCCATCCATCCATCTAACTAAATTACCGATGAGTCCATACGACAGAAACTTGTTGACGGAGGTGAGAGCGAGGCCTGTAATGGGTCCGGTCGTGTCCTCAGACCGGACCACCTCCAGAAACGGGCGCAGGAATACGTTGGGCTCCACCTCCGACAAATCTGGAAGACACAGAAAAAGACATCATAGTGTGAGGAGGTTGAGTGCAGAGTGATTGGGCAGAAAGGGCAGGGGGAGCTCCACTGCTGAGCTTCAGAAATACAATCTGTCAGAACTAAATGGAGACGTCAATACAGACCAGAACGAGACCAGATGAAGTCCTAAGTCCTAGATCGATGTGTATGTGAGTGTGTGTGTGTGTGTGTGTATGTGAGTGTGTGTGTGTGTGTGTGTATGTGAGTGTGTGTGTGTGTGTGTGTGTGTGTGTGTGTGTGTGTGTGTGTGTGTATATGTGTGTGTGTGTATGTGTGTGTATATGTGTGTGTGTGTATGACCGCACAGTGACTTTCACAGAAATCGCAGCCAAACACTGGATTATGGGATCAGAGACTAAACCCAGACCAGAGCTGGACTAAACCTGGATCACAGACTGGACCAGAGCGAGACTGGACCTGGACCAGAAGCACGTGTGTGTATGTACACATATACACATACACACCAGAGCCCAGAGAGACCAGAGCGAGACCAGAGAGAGACCAGAGAGAGAAATACAAGAGACACAACAGAGAGACTAAAGAGAAAGACCAGAAAGACCAAAAAGAGATCGGATCTGTCAAATTATCCCGAACTTCTTGTGGACCATGTGTGGTTGGTGTGTGGACCATGTGTGGTTGGTGTGTGGACCATGTGTGGTTGGTGTGTGGACCCTGTGTGGTTGGTGTGTGGACCGTGTGTGGTTGGTGAGTGGACCATGTGTGGTTGGCGTGTGGACCATGTGTGGTTGGTGTGTGGACCCTGTGTGGTTGGTGTGTGGACCATGTGTGGTTGGTGTGTGGACCCTGTGTGGTTGGTGTGTGGACCATGTGTGGTTGGTGTGTGGACCATGTGTGGTTGGTGAGTGGACCATGTGTGGTTGGCGTGTGGACCATGTGTGGTTGGCGTGTGGACCATGTGTGGTTGGTGTGTGGACCATGTGTGGTTGGTGTGAAGACCATGTGTGGTTGGTGTGTGGACGATGTGTGGCTGGTGTGTGTTTGGTGTGTGGACGATGTGTGGTTGGTGTGTGTTTGGTGTGTGGACCATGTGTGGTTGGTGTGTGGACCATGTGTGGCTGGTGTGTGGTTGGTGTGTGGACCATGTGTGGTTGGTGTGTGGACCATGTGTGGTTGGTGTGTGGACGATGTGTGGCTGGTGTGTGGTTGGTGTGTGGCTGGTGTGTGGTTGGTGTGTGGTTGGTGTGTGGACCATGTGTGGTTGGTGTGTGGACCATGTGTGGTTGGTGTGAAGACCATGTGTGGTTGGTGTGTGGACGATGTGTGGCTGGTGTGTGTTTGGTGTGTGGACGATGTGTGGTTGGTGTGTGTTTGGTGTGTGGACCATGTGTGGTTGGTGTGTGGACCATGTGTGGCTGGTGTGTGGTTGGTGTGTGGACCATGTGTGGTTGGTGTGTGGACCATGTGTGGTTGGTGTGTGGACGATGTGTGGCTGGTGTGTGGTTGGTGTGTGGCTGGTGTGTGGTTGGTGTGTGTTTGGTGTGTGGACCATGTGTGGTTGGTGTGTGGACCATGTGTGGTTGGTGTGTGGACCATGAGTGGACCCCGGATGTTCACGGTGAGTTCAGGCGTCCTGTGAAACGTGGGAAAAAGGAGGTGTGAAGTGAACAGCTGCAGCAGCAGAATGTGGAGCTGTAATGACTGAGGCCTCAGAGCATTCAGGACCATGAGAACCGGGAAGAGACACAGCTGCTGGTGAGACTGGGACCAGGGAGACAGACCAGGGACCAGAGAGAGAGACCAGGGAGGGACCAGACACCAGAGAGAGAGAGAGAGACCAGGGAGGGACCAGACACCAGAGAGAGAGAGAGAGAGACCAGGGAGGGACCAGACACCAGAGAGAGAGAGAGAGACCAGAGGGACCAGAGAGAGAGACCAGAGAAGGACCAGAGAGGCCCATGATGATTTTGAAATATAAATGAACCAAAAGGGCATCTGACCCTATATCTAAATATCGCATGGCTCTAATGAACTAGACGGACAGAAGCTGAGGACAGGCGTTTTGGCTCAGATGAACAGGACATTTTGGCTCAGATGAACTAGAACGACAGCAGTATCAAATCGCCCAGCCCAGAGTTTTAGTCAAAGCTGGTTGTCAGTTCTCAACTAAAAGAGGAAAATTTGACTGACATGGCTAACAAAACAAACCTAGAAACCACATAAGAAAAAAGTTGTGTACCCCGGCTTTAACCGTGTGGAAAGCCCCCCTCCCCCTCTTCCCCCATAATCCCCCGTCCCTGGGCAGAGCCCCGGAGCTGCTGTGTGAATGGGAATGCTAACGAAATTCCAGCGCGTGGAGGAAAACTTTTAATTTCTCGTGGGTTTAGTTTGCGTCGTGCGCTGGTCTGTAACCGACGGAAACAGAGACACACTTTAATTGTACCGAGTCAGGTCTGCGTTTAGGGGCAACAAGGGAAGGGTGGACTCACAGCAATCAGCACCAAAACAAGAAGCAGAAAGCAGAGAGGAGAGAGGGAGATAGACCTGAATGAACACGGATTTAGACCTGGGTCAGGCCTCACACTGGACCCAAACAGACGACAGAGCAGAGAGAGACCAGAGAGGGAGACAAGAGAGCGACCAGAGAGAGAGACCAGACAGAGACCAAAGAGAGACCAGAGAGAGACCAGAGAGTGACCAGAGAGACACCAGAGAGAGACCAGAGAGTGACCAGAGAGAGAGACCAGACAGAGACCAAAGAGAGACCAGAGAGAGACCAGAGAGTGACCAGAGAGACACCAGAGAGAGACCAGAGAGTGACCAGAGAGAGAGACCAGACAGAGACCAAAGAGAGACCAGAGAGAGACCAGAGAGCGACCAGAGAGTGACCAGAGAGAGACCAGAGACAGAGACCAGAGAGAGACCAGAGACCAGAGTACAGAGACCAAAGAGAGACCAGAGAGAGACCAGAGAGAGAGACCAGAGAGAGACCAGAGTACAGAGACCAAAGAGAGACCAAAGAGAGACCAGAGAGAGACCAGAGAGAGCGACAAGAGAGCGACCAGAGAGAAAGCGAGACCAGAGCAGGGACCAGACCAGAGACAGACCAGAGACCAGACTCAGCACTTGTTAAGATATAAAGTCACATTAAGTTATCTATACCACAGTTTGTCAGAAGTAAATGTCATGGTTTACAAAATGCAGGGTTATCTGTATGTGTGTTTGTGTGCGTGTGTGTAACATATACATATATATATATATATATATATATATATATATATATATATATATATATATATATATATAATGTAGGGATTTATCAGAGCCGTAGTTACAGCGGTGAGGAGCAGTGGAGTGTGAGGCCCTCGTGACCTCCTGCAGATGACCATCGATCCAGGACCAGAGGCCTCACTCTGAGCTAACGAGACCAAACAGAGACTGAGACCAGGAAGACCAGGGCTGTGAAACTACTGCAGGAGCCCATCTGCCTCTGGTCATTCTCTCTGTGGTACCTCTGCTCACTCTCTTTCTCCCTGGTCTCTCCCTGGTCCCCCTAGTCCCCCTGGTCCTCTAATCCCCTGGTCCCTTGGTCCCCTGGTCCTGGTCCCCCTGGTCGTTGTCCCCTGGTCCTGCTCCCCTGGTTGGTGGAACAGCAGGCGACAGTGTGTCTCTTGTTGTCATAACTAGAATCACTCTCTGACAGCTCCATAATGGCGTCCAGGAAGTGTCCCTAAATAAAAACAGAGCAACATTTCCAGCCCAGTGGTTCTGAAAGGTGCTTTTCCGACATGAATGGGAAAAATGTGGACTTCAGCATTCCAGCGTCGTGAGGTTAGGTTTGCGGAGAGGAGAGCAGGGGACAAAGTTTATACAGGACAAAACAACAGAAGCACAGGGCGCGAGGGGACGAGGACACCGGCCAATCAGAGAGGACGAGGACACCAGCCAATCAGAGAAGACGAGGACACCGGCCAATCAGAGAAGACGAGGACACCGGCCAATCAGAGGCCAAGTTCCATCGTCAACCCTGGCCCTCACTGCACAGCTACAACAACTACTACTGCTACTACTGCAACTCCATTACTACTAGTACTGTACTGCAGCTGCTACCACTAATATTACTACGACTACTACTGTTTATCTCCAGGACATAGAACAGAGGAAGTCCTGACCCCAACACCCTAACCCATGGATTGTACTTCAACTACAGCTAACAATACTGCAACTACTACCACTACTACTCCTACTGCTACTACTTTCATGAATTGTAGTTGTGAAAATTGCGCTAGTAACCATTTACTCACAACCAAAAATGCATTTTTGCTTTTAAAATTCAATTCAATGTCATGGAAGGGTTAGTCCGGGAGAAAACACAAGAACATGGACCGAAGCAGCATGGTCTCTCTCTCCGGTCCCTCTCCGGTCCCTCTCCGGTCCCTCTCCGGTCCCTCTCCGGTCCCTCTCCGGTCCCTCTCCGGTCCCTCTCCGGTCCCTCTCCGGTCCCTCTCCGGTCCCTCTCCGGTCCCTCTCCGGTCCCTCTCCGGTCCCTCTCCGGTCCCTCTCCGGTCCCTCTCTGGTCCCTCTCCGGTCCCTCTCTGGTCCCTCTCCGGTCCCTCTCTGGTCCCTCTCCGGCCCCTCTCTGGTCCCTCTCCGGCCCCTCTCTGGTCTCATTAGCCCGATGCCCTTTCACACAGCAGGATTATGTCCAGAGCCACAAGCTTCAGTTTGGTCCCAGCTCTGATCTAACAACCCGAAGAGCAACACACACGTCTGCAACACGCACGTCTGCAACACGCACGTCTGCAACACGCACGTCTGCAACACACAGACGCAGACCAAACAAGTGAGGTTAGGGTTGTCCTCTGATGAGGATCCTTTGGACACATGGTTTGGTGAGGACCATGGAACGCATGTGTCCCAAACCATGTGTCTCCTGATCCTCATCAAAGACTGCTCTCTGCTTCTCAACGTTTGTCAGTCTGTGATGTGTTTGTTTCACCAACATGATTTAGATGAATGATTAATGATTTAAGATGTGATTTTTAAATGTTATTGAGTAAAAACTATAAATATCAGAGACCAAAGAGAGACACCAGAGAGAGAGACCAGAGAGAGAACAGAGAGCGCAAGACCAGACACCAAAGGGAGACCCAAGTGAGACTAGAAGGAGAACAGAGATCAGGGCGACAGATCAGAGAGAGAGACCAACCACCAGTGAGAGAGCAGTGTGGTCTGAACAGAGCCTGCAGGGTCTTTACTGTGGCGTGTGTATATATAGCTGCTGTATTGTTCTTCTTTGATGGATGCCCTCGGAGCAGATGCCATAAGTCGCTCTGTCACCAGGTCTCTCATCGCCGCGTTAACCAGACAGATTTACAGCAGTCACCACAGATTTGGAATAACACTGAGGGAGAGGGGGAGTTGAGGGGGGCTTTAGAATGACACTGAGGGAGTGGAGAGTCGAGGGGGCTTTAGAATGACACTGGGGGAGTGGAGAGTCGAGGGGGCTTTAGAATGACACTGAGGGAGTGGAGAGTCGAGGGGGCTTTAGAATGACACTGGGGGAGTGGGGGGGCGAGGGTGTAGTGGGGAAACCCTTCAGAACTTTGAAATATTCTAAACATTTGTCTAACCCCCAAATGACAAGACCCCTGCACTTCAGAACTCTTACAGGTGCTTGATGAGGCGGTTATTTTAGGGACGGGGGGGGGGGGGGGGGGGGGGGAGATGACAGGAGAAAAGTCAGAGACAAAGGCATGCAAGGGTTAACCTGAGGAAACTATGGACTAAAGAAAGACCGGACCAGGACTAGAAGCAAGACCGCACCAGGACTGGACCAGGACTGGACCAGGACTGGACCAGGACCGGACCAGGACTTAACATTGTCCATCATAACACGGACTATAGAATGGATGTAACAGATCTCAAATGCATGTAGCACAATCTCAGTGAACTCTGAGCTTTGTTCTGCTCCAGTTCATTAATCATGGAGGACGAACACATCTGGACCTGGACCAATGAGAGACGACCGTCACAGAAATGTGGGAGAAGCCTCAGACAGTGACCAGGGAGAGAGACTAGAGGGAGACTTATGAGAAAGACCTGAGAGACCGGAGAAACCAGATAGAAAAAAAGACCCGAGAGAGACCAGAGAGAGAGACTAGAGCTAAAGACAAGAAAGAGAGACCAGAGAGAGACGAGAGAAAGATCAGAGAGACAAGAGAGAACAGAGATCGATCAGAGAGAGAGATCAAAGAGACGTGAGACCAGAAATCAATCAAAGAGAGAGACAGAGAGACTGTTTAGTCTACAATATGAACCACGTTGGAACGGACCCTGGACCTGCTGCAGTCTCTGGTTTTTCATAATCCGGTTGTGATCCCAGTTTAGCGCCTGCTTTTATGAGGAGCTATGAGCGATCTCTGGAGACGGCGTCAAGTTCAGCACGGCGCGTGCCAGTTTAAAGGCTTAACCCCAGGACTAGTTAATCCAGGTTTAATCTAGTCCGGCTTTAGGCTAAGTGACAGGCCACTCTGATTTATAGTTGCTAAATTCTGTTTTGGGAATACACAGGTAAAACGTGTCCTCTGTACACCAGAAAGACCAGAAGGAGAAAAAAAGAGGGAACTGAGAGTGAGA